TGCAAATGTGACTCTTTGGGCTCTGGTTATAAGAGCTTGATAAGTTGCAAATAAAAGATAGAAGAGTAAGTAAGTATCAAGTGAGAAATTGCATATTAGCGTTAGTTGAGATTTATAACTGAGTGTGCGATGACCCTAGTTAGGGCTGTCATCCCTTTAAGCGTAATATTTCAAGCTAAACAAGAACTATTTTAGCCTACAGTTTATGGGCTAGAAACAGCCGGTTACAGCTTTTACATTTGGTCAGTTAAGGCGGTGCATTACCAATTTTTTTAGGGTTAAACTTTACCTAACCTTTTCACCTCTTGGTTTTGCTAATAGATGGCAATGGATGACATTATGTCACAGGGAACTAATTAAAATTACCACTCTTTTTCCATTTTCTTTAATAAATTTTTGTACTGAAATTAGTATCTTTGGTTATACGCCACTTTTGGTACAACATTTAAGAAAGCTTTTACTGTGCTGACACAATGTCAAGTATCGTATATTGAGATACAACCTTCCACTGGATGCTTCAACGTCGTAATTTGAAACTATGATAACATTTCTTACTACGTTATTCTCATTGCAGTTAACAGTTGTAATGTGTAGCTAATATCTACAATATGGCCGCCAGCGGATTAATAACACCCGTATTTACAAACATTACTATGAGGTCTCACAGTGCGCGTGGACGCACAGGGTGACACATGAACCAATCACAGAGTTCTGTTCAACGCTGTGCGTTCGATTTGCTGATTCACTTAAGCAAGCATCGTTTGTGAATACGGGCGTAAGTTTTAGTCTGTCTCCAGGAAAAAAATCTAAGAAATTACTATCACTATTATTATTAGTTTCTAAATCTTTAAAAGATCTCTAAGAGATCTAGACTTACTATGGTAGCCCTGGCCCGCCAATTGGCCACACAATTGAACATTAATTGGCACTGTTTATAAAAGTGGAGCAGACAGTGTTTTATCAACATGACATCTGCGCGGATTCAAATCAAGACATATGGGTGCACATGCGATATTATATCGACCAAATATTCGATTAGGTATAATTCACGCGAGAAAGTCTTTCGGTAGTAGGTAAGCTTCTTCAACCATTATTGCTGTTGCCTATATGTAACTAGTGTAAATAACTAAATAAAATAAACTAAACAAAATAATGCAATAAACAGATCATTTTAGGTGATCAAAAATCTAAATAGAACGTTTAAACAAAAAAATTAAGTAATATTACGCATATTCAAAGAATCATACTGGAACACAACTCCATAACTTCTATAAATACTCACTTACCTTCTATACTGCAAATTTAATTCATTTTATCATCGCATCATTTCACTTAGAACAAACAAAATTGCATAACAAAAACATAAAATTTACAGATCCTCAATTTTCATACAAACATGCTTGTTAAAAGAGCCTTTATATCCTAAAGCTTTGGTTAGCAACAACTTTTCCCATGTATACTTAGTATTGTCTTATGTTAGTATTGTAAGCTGAGCCCTGCTCATACAAAAATGCTAGCAAACATTCCCGGTAAGGCAATACATTATCTGAGTAAAAGAGCATGGCTTAATGTGTAAACGGAAATACTTAACTCATACAATATTGCCTTTGCGGTCGTACTTATAACAGTCACATTAGCTTATCTTATAACACCAAAGTTATCGGGAGAAGATTTCATTGTAAAATAAGACAACCGTTATATTACTATTGATCTTTGCAGTCATTTGCAGATTACTTTTCTTAAATGACGTAAATACTGTTATAATTTTTGTATATCTTTATTACTTTTATTTAGGACTTGTTTAGGTATGAATATGAATCACAATTATATCAAGAATGAATTTATTATTGTTATAATACTGCTATCTGATAAACAATGTTTAGCGGTAATTTACAAAATAGGAACAATGATAAACACAGACATTGTATTACAACTTGTACATAATAAACCGGGATCATAGAAAGTTGAACACAAAACCTAACTTAAAATTTACATTGAGCATCATTGTTAAAGCGCCTAAACCTTTTCACTCCTTTTTCAGTCGTCACCATCACCGAAGCATACAAATTGTCCATTACATATCTCGTACTTTCCCTAAAAATGCAGATTTCGGTGGTTATCCGTGTCTCTGACAGGGGGAATGAAATAAATGTGTATTACACGATCAATATTCAAAAAGTACTGTCGTGGCGCGCTCAGAAATCGTGGGCTAGTGGACGGAATGCTAATAGAGAGTTTGTTGATTTGTATTCCAGTAGATGGACTTGGCTCGTAGTAGACTGGACACTTAGTTGGATTACAAAACGATACAAAATGCTTTAGTCTTCTCACTGGGAGAAATAGTAAATAGATACCTAAAAGACAGAAATGGAAGTTACAGATTTGTAACAATTTGTGCCATTATAAATTAGGTTCCCTGATAATATGGTTATAAATTTTTTAGAACTTCGATTTGATCATCTGTCTGTAATGTTTACATATTAACAAATAATTAAATAACATAATAATATTATATTTTTAGCCCTTCTGTCCATTTTTTACAAAATTATAAACCTTCTGTGGAGTAAGCTTCTTTCGTGGTAGTATTTCTTCTATACCCGCTTTTTGCTTGACAGCTAGATTAATGTAAAAATTAGTAGATCTACGATAAAAGCCAACTACAGAAGCTGTTGTTTTTGTTTTAAATCTGTTATTTAAGATTTATGAGCTTTCCGATTCGAATAGAATCATGTTAGCCAGTTATGAAATAAGTAAAGCTTTTCAACTAACATTTCTACGCCAAATTTAATACTAACTACTTTTACAGATAGGCCTATACTACCATGTCCAAGTCCTTCAATAATAACGGTTTTAGACAAGAATAACTACATAAGCTAGTTCAATAAAATGTCTGACTAAAAGGTTAAAAGAATCGTTGAATATTATTCTCTAAACAGGTAGCACTAACGGTCGCCTGATCAATCTACTTAATGCGAAATTTGATCCGATGTCATGCAACGGTCGGCTTAACTACAAGTTCACCAAGAAACGCGCACAGAAAACATTAAAAAACGCGATGCGTTGACTTAACTCCAGTTTTAAAAGGCTCGTTTCACAAGTCCGCACTAAGTGTGAGAACGGAGGTAAACCGACCGGTGCGCGAGCGCAGCGCACAACGAAAGCTCGCACCGCCACCGAGACTTTTTCCCGCGGCACCATTACATCCGCGCTTTCATAAGCTCCTATCTTACACTACACCTACCTTCGACACCATCGATCCTCGCTGCCAGCGACAGCAGAACAGCTAGAGACAGCAGTCTAATCCCATAATCCGGTATAAAGTTTCTAGACCACATTTTGTAGCACAACATTCACACATGGATCGCACACATTTGTTTTACTTCTGCTATGTCGTTTAATCACTCAATAATATGCACTCACGGAACCAAATGTAAGAACTGACACTTCATTTTGTTTTTGAACTGTTGTTACGTTGAAAACATTGCGGAATTTGTCATTTTAGCGGTAAAAAAACGTTTGAACGAAACGTACAGAGCCCGTTTGGCATGCGCAGCCGCGTCCCGCACGCATCTGACGGCTTTGTTCGTAAATACGAGCGTACAGTAAATCAAAATGGCCGCCGGCGCGCGTGTGTGCGTGCGCGCGGTCCACACCGCCTGCGTTTAGGCGATCTAAACCTTTTAATCACATTCGCGAATTAGGTTTGAGTGTTTGAATAATGTTAGTATACTATCTAAGTCATGACAATGTAGGATTGCAGATAAAAAGGCGTGAGAACAGATGCACGCACACAAGTAAACGTACGCGCAGGAATGTTGATTCAATGGAGAAATCAAGTAATTCAACACTTGGAAGCGAGCAGCCAATCGAGAGCTTTCGTAGCCGTTGCTTCGTGGTGCGGGCGCGGCGACACAGATGGCGCTTTGATGGTGTTTCGGAGGGGTGGGAGGGTGAATTGCAGCTTTCGTCTACTTAGATAAAGTTCGAGTAGCACATGTTGTTTTGTTGATTGTATTTATTATAATGGATTGCGGTTGTTTGCATTGCAGTTTAATTTGAACACAATTAATGAAATGTTAGTACTTGAAACAGCGGATTTGTGATTTTATTATTTAAAGAATAAGAATATAAATGAGTAAAATGTCAGAAATATATTTACATATTATACAATACAACATGTATGTATACTTTTGTCTCCTTTTAGACAGATTGTTGTATAAAACATGATTTTTATTTTTCGTAATAATAATCAAAAACAACAACCAACTACAATAATAACATTATACAAGAATAACTATAACTAATATTATGGATACTTGAAACAGGTTATTCCAGACACAAGTAGTAATGTTAATTCACTCTTACTGAATTTATTAACAATAAAACTAGGTTTTTTCAGGTAAATTCTTGAAATAAGTCCAAGTAAAATGTCGTTGATGTCTTTTGCCTCCAAAAGCTCACTTTTGACGTAACTTCATACAGTCAGCGTTAAATAGTTTCAAAAAACACCCAAAGTAGCCAAAAAGTTCGCAACACGTCTTTGTTACAATTTGAATAAGGTTGTGTTGTCACTTTGGGTGTCACGAAACTATTTGACGGTGACTGTATCTACCTCACTTACGCCCGTATTCACAAACGATGCTTGCTTAAGTGAGCAGCAAATCGAACGCACAGCGTTGAATAGAGCTCTGTGATTGGTTCGTGTGTCACCCTGTGCGTCCACGCGCACTGTGAGACCTCATACAGGGTGGAAATTATGCGTATTTTTTATGCAACTGAATATGGTTGGATAGAGCTCGTGAAGCTCTTTCAGGATCAGTATCCAGTTTTTCGATATCTTGTAGGTATAGTTTAGAAATAATCGAGTGAGATCACTTATCGTTTCCACCCTGTATAGTGTTTGTGAATACGGGCGTTAGTTACCCCAATGCCTTAAAGTTTGATCGATACTCCAGTAGCAAAGGCTCATCTTAAGCGATGACCGATGTATCATCCCAGCAGATAGTAACTTTACACAATGGCAATGTGTTACCAAAAACATCCGTTCGAAGTGGAGTCAGAAGATCGGCTTACAACTATAAACACCAAAATATTTGAGATTAAAAAGAAAATACAACTGTCAGGTTTGTTATTTTGCTTTGGAGACATAATAGAAATTGATTAGTCTAGCTAGATTGTAGTCATTACAGTTTAATGTACCTATGTAGGTACATAAAAGTAATCTATGTTTTATTATTCCTTTGCTCCAGTAATTTTTAACGACTATAAATTTCCATAACCCCATTAATATCCTGAATGTGAAAGTTGGTAAGGATGGCTGGATGAATGTTTATTTGTTACTCTTTCACGCAAAAAGTACTGAACGTATTTAGATGACATTTGGTATAAAAATACATAGTTTGATACCCAAGAACATAAAGTATTTTTTATCCCGGTATTTCAAAGGGAGTGGTCATATTTCACACATCATCATCATCATCATATTTCACACGCGTAGTCGTATTTCTATGATAGACCATAATTTACGCAAGTGAAGCCACAGGTAAAAGCTAGTCATCATCATCATCATCATTTCAGCCATAGGACGTCCACTGCTGGACCCAACATAGGCCTCCCCCAATGATTTCCACAAGGGCCGGTTGGTGGCGGCCTGCATCCAGCGCCTTCCCGCTACCTTTATGAGGTCGTAGTTCCACCTTGTGGGGCAGCAAGGTTCTGGAGTGGAGGCCACGTACCGGAAAGCGCAGCGAAAAGTTATTATTATAATAAAATTATTCTTATTGTTTTTTTAAACAGAGGGTCAAAGAAAATCCTGCTACGAAGTAAATGAAGTAGAAAAGCAGCAGAACAATGACCTCATTGATACTTTAAAGAAAGAAATAAAGCTGAGGCTAAATGAACTCACTCAGGCCAGGGCGGTCATCAGCGAGGAAGAGGTGCAGATTAAGAAGTATCTGAACGAGGTCTGCCCTCTTGGGAATAAGAACTCTGATCAGGTAACTATGTCTGCCTTTGTCATCATCATCATCATTTCAGCCACAGGACGTCCACTGCTGAACATAGGTCTCCCCCAATGACTTCCACATCACACGCTTGTTTAATATACCACGCAATTTTGTATACCCATTCTTATAAGATACACTATACAAGAATGCATGGTAAATTCAGTGAACTGCTCCTGAATCGAATGTCCTACTACTGCTATTTCTATTTATTTATATTAACCGGCAGACAGTGGTGACTGAGTTTGTTGCGGCGCTTCTTCTCAGCACTTGCCAAATGTTGGTCTCGAAGCCTGGTAGGGTAAAAAGATTATGAGACATGTAGAGGCTCCTTAAGAGCAAAATGAGGATTTGTAAGAGCTATTTATTACTCTAAACAAATAAAGAAATTTTGACTTTGACTTTGACTTTGACACGGTTGGTAGCGACCTATATCCAGCGCCATCCTGCTTATTTGGATAATCTTGTGTATTCTTTGAACTCCTCCCCTACCCGTCTGCAGCGTAGGGAGTAGCCTCCATTAGCCTCTGGTAAGCCAGGGTCGTGGTCCTGCAGTGGAGACTAAAATTACCGAATGATGATGATTCTTTTGAACAGTTGCGGGTTTCAAGATTGATAAATATCCCCTGGAATTATAATAGGTACTCCTATCTCTGGTTGGGTTTTATTGGCGGCCAAACAGTAGATCCTGGCTATAAATTATGTAGCAGAGTATGAAAAGGACTATTTTCGTGTCTTCACTCTCTCCCAGAGTGTCCTTCTTGTGTTGGAAAATTCTAAAATAATCCCAATTTCCTAATTTTTCTTTCTTTTCTTCTTCGTGGTATTTCCTAGTGGTACAGTAATTTTTGATTACGTACCTCTAGGTACACACACGCTTCTAAATAAATGTTCAAATTATCTTCATCTATTCATGCAGCAAACCTTCAGCATCCAGTTTTTAAGTCAGGAATCTATTGCTGCACCATTTGAAAAGCTCGGCCAGGCTTTCAAGTTTTTGCGCCGTTTGATTGGCATCTCGAGATGCGCCGCCGCATGTGCAAGAAACGTCATTATACACTGGTAGTAGATTCAGTAAGTTTGCTTAACTGAAGGATTTTTAGAGTTAATTAATATTCCTCAAACTTTGGAAACAAACGATAATTGGTGAAAAATAATATTCGACTTTTCAACTTATAATAATAGTAATAATATTTTTAAAAGCCTTCTTTCACGTGTTACATCAGATTTAAAGAGCCGCTATTGATACATATGATTCAAAACTGCAATGTTCACCATCGTTCGTTTCAGCCAAAAATGACGTCCACAGCTGGACAAAGGGGACACCCAAGGATTACCACAGACAGCGACCGGGCTTGCGCTGCCTACATCTAATTACTTCATCACGAATCCTCTGACATAAGAGGGCACACTTCTTTCTGTGATACAAGATGACCACAATTAAGTTCACTATTGATATCTGAATCAAGTAACCCTTCTGAACCCATCCCAAAGACGACGACGTCGTTATGTAATACGACAGCCATGTTGGTTTAGCATGCAGGCCCAGTTTTTGTGCTGATGATAAATCTATAAGAATTTTTATAAAGAGATATGGCTTTGAGAAGGCCTGCATCGATTGGCGGAACAAAAACTGAAATGCTTATGAAATTGAGAGGATAAAAATCTCTCGTGAAAATTACGCGTATGTGAATTATACATTTTAATGTTTGTTAATGGTTATTAAAATATCCCTTGTTGTGGTAGACCATGACCACTATTTACTGATTCCAGACATTGTTAGTCAAGGCATGTCTATACCTCTTTCAAATCCTAAAGATACTCGTACTCAATAAGAATGAGGTGTAATTATATCAACTACAAAAAAGCCATCATAGCAAATGGGGTAATAATTTATGATAAGCTTAATTTTGATTACCATACACTTTCAGATTATACACAACCTTGACCTGAAAGTGATAGAACAAAGGAAAATTCTTGACCTATTGAAGTATGAAAAGAAAAGCAAGAAGAACAAACTGTGCGAGTTGGAAAAAGTGTACGAACATCTTCTGATAGAGAGCACTAAAAGTGAACTTGTCAAATCCAAATCTTCCACGAGAGCTAGAAAAGTAAGTGAAATAAGCTAAAAAAGAAAGTGAAATAAGCTAGAAGTTAATAAGAAAATAACGTTAATTGTAAAACATAGGTGGCAGAATACAGGCAAAAGGCTGTATGTAGGTAACGTTTTCAAAAATTAAGAACTCAGAATGTTCATTTTTTATAAACTTATTATCATGACTTATTTTCAGCACGCATCGCATTTAGAAAACGAAATTCATAAAGTTCTGATACAATGGACAGAGGCTGAGCTGGTGAAGAAGAAATACCTTACAATAAGGTAAATACAGAAAAATAATTAAATGCCCAATTTGTCTTATGTGTTAATAATGTTTTTGTCAACAGACAGGCACTGGTCGACGACTCGGTAAAGTTTGAAAGCTCATTATCGAGAATTGAAGATATGCTGAACAAACAAAGGGAAGAAATTATGAAATTAGAAGTGAGTAACTAAATAGGGCATAGAGCAGGGGTGGCCAACAAGGGGTGGTCGATCGCGACTATTAGTCCAGTCGATCGTGGCAAGGTAAAAAATAATACATGATTGTGTACTAAAGTAAGCTGTTTCATTTAAGATTTCAAGAAGTATGTAAGTGGTAGATTACCCAGGGTTTCGTTAGTAAACAGTAGATGTTATGTCTAATCAAGTTGGCCACCCCTGCCTATCTACCTTGTAATTTGTTAACGATCGCATCAGGATCCTTCTGCCATATAAAACATCTCAATTTAAAGATGAAATTCTGATTTATATTATTACCCGTGGTACTTTTATGGACACAGTATCAACTAATTAAAAAAATCTATTACCTACATTATGTAGGTATTAACCCCTGCTAGTGATGATGATAATGGTCATCATTACAGCCACAGCGTTCAATACTGAACATGACCTCCCAAAGATTTCCAAATTGGCCTGCATCTGAAGCCTTCCTGTATGCAACTTTTATGAGGTCTTTTGTCCATTATGTAGGTGGACCCCATCACTAGATTACTATACCTACATATAAAAAAAACTTCTTGTGTCAAAAGTCCTTTCATTTATCAAACGAGCAAAATATTTGACGATTTGTAAGTACTATATAATAGCTAAACAAATAAAGTTTTGACTTTGACTTTGACTTCCTTACCCAGAACGTCCGCGAAGAAGCAGCAGAGATGCGCGTACGAGCGACCGCAGCGACCGCGGCGGAGGCGGCGCGGGCGCACGACGCGGAACACAACCGCGCTTCCGAACGCGTCTATTTTGCGCAGCGCTTCGCTGAGCGGAAACGCGAGCTGGAGAAGCTGGAGAAGCGCATCTTTCCGCCTCAGGGTAAGTGACAGAGAAGAGATGTGTTGAAGCGGCGCGTGCTCACGACACAGAGCACAACCGCGCTTCCGAGCGCGTGCACTTCGCGCAGCGCTTCGCTGAACGGAAGCGCGAGCTGGAGAAGTTGGAGAAGCGCATCTTTCCGCCTCAGGGTAAGTGACAGAGAAGAGATGTTTTGAAGCGGCGCGTACTCACGACACAGAGCACAACCGCGCTTCCGAGCGCGTGTACTTCGCGCAGCGCTTCGCTGAACGGAAGCGCGAGCTGGAGAAGCTGGAGAAGCGCATCTTTCCGCCTCAGGGTAAGTGACACAGTGACAGAGAACTAACTATAGTGGGCTTGATTAACAAAACATCCCTCCTTATGGCGCAGTCGGGTAAAAATGACACACATTAATGTGGTAGGAGACAATTTGTGTCTTTAATTTTAGAATTTTTATAATTTAAATAAATTATGTAGTTATTTGATATATATACTTACCTAAAATACTACACGTCATAGGTACAAGTGTAATGAATGATTGCCTTCAATAGAAATCAAAAACTCTGCAAGCAATTATGTCTATTGCACACTGGAAGGCAAAAAAATTTGAATGGAAAACTTAATAGATTCAACTTAGATAAAAGTCAATGGAAGTGCCTTTTCAGTAACAGTGCCTACTTCTATAGGTTGAAAAATGATAACGTAGTAAATTAGGTATATAGTGCGAAGTGTTCTTATTTTCCTGATCATTACGATCCCTATTTTCAGGACAGTTACCTTTTTTTTAACATCTCACCCACAGCACGTCAAGTGGTCCGCCAGGACTCCACCAGGTCCACGGAGGGAGAGGCCGTCACTGAGGAGTCTTCAGCCGCTGCTCAGATGGAGGAGATCTTCCAAAGGCTCATGAAACTTACAGGTAGATATTGAACAAACTTCAAAAGCTCACATTTTCGAAACTTTTTTGAAAACAAAAACTAACTTATTCTGTTAAAATTTGGTAAGAAAACGTTTTATACGGCTTATAGTATTTATAGCAAATTCAGAAAACAAGTAATAGGCAATCAACACCTATGCCCACACTGAGGTCTTCCAGTGCGCGTGGACGCACAGGGTGACACACGAACCAATTGCAGAGCTCCATTCAACGCTGTGCGTTCGATTTGCTAATTCACATAAGCAAGCATCGTTTGTGAATACGGGGATTAAGATCCTATATTCAAAACTTGACAGTCTTGACACATCCATACCTGCTACACTGACACGTTGCGTTAGGAAAAAAATCCCAACTGTGTGTGACTTGCTTTAAAACAATTACACTGCTCCATAGGCCAAATGCAAACCAAGAAATGAGTTTGTCTTCTAGGAGTCACAGACACTGACGAAGTGTTCGACCGTTTCCGCGCCCAGCGTGAGACGTCCAAGCGACTGAACTACCTCCAGCAGACGACTGAAGAAGAAAAGCTGGAATTGGAGTCCAGTCAGACTGCGCTAATGGCTGAACTGGAGGCGTTTAAATTCGCCTCCGTTAAGGACAAGGATGAGTGTGTATTGTTTTAAAACAGTTAAAGTAATTTACAATCTTAATTTTGAGCTAATATAGTCCCTAGTCAGTTCCTCTGTGGTTTTCGGGTAAAGCTCGCTTGTAACTACTACAGCCTGATCATCACTTTCCATCAGGTGAGACGCAGGTTAAAAGCCTCCCCGTTTTGGTTGAAAAAAGCTTAGTCCGTGACTTTCATTCAACATCTGATTTTGATTCTGATTCGCGACATACTGCAACAAACAAATATAAAAATATTTAATGGTAATAATGATGTTAATTTGTGCAAACGTCAATTAACAGAGGTCAAGATCAAATCAATGAGCTGAAAGAAGAAATACGAAAAGAAGAAGAAACACAAGCAGAGCTGGAGGATAAGCTTGAGGAACTTACTACGGTGCTTTTGGATATCAAGCGACTACTGTATGATCTCTGTAAAATGTTAGATGTAAGTATGGTAAAAAATTACCAAATGCCTAAAATGGTTGGCGGAAAATGATAAAATAATATTACAGCTAAGTAAATGGTTTCACACTTGATACATTCACTCTGCATTCCTCTGTGTTCCCGAACTTATGCAACCCTTACTAGAGCAACCTGGGTGGAGTTTCAGTGGAAGGTCGAGTGAAGCACCTAGATTCGGGCATAGCAGGACCGGTCATTGTAGACTAGGAGCTAGTGGACGCCAGACCTTTGATTAGATTCTAATTTATGTTGCGAGCATACGCTGACAAACCTCCATAATTAAACACCACTCTTCTAGCCCATTAGTAATGTCCATTAAAATATACAACAAACTGCCAGATTAATTAAGAAATATAAAAGATAATAAACACTTTCAAAGCGATCTCAAAAATGTACTAGGTAATAAAAAAATGCTATTACACTATAAAGGAATTTTTAGAAGATAAAAATATCAAATAGAATACACAAAATTAAATATCTAAAACAAATATAATATTAAACCAAACTACATAACCTATAATAAAATATATATTAGTTATAATGTAATAATACACTGGATACAATAATTTAATATTAAATTCTAATTAATAATATTTAAGAATCTAGTTTAATACAATAATAATAATTATTTTTTAAATTCCTCCTCTCCATTGTTGTTGTGCCCGACAGGGTTCATGGTGATCCAATTATATATTTAAGACCTAATGTACACTGTGAAATGCAATAAAGATTTGAGTATTGAGTATTGAAAAACTTTCAGCTTTTATAAAATGACGTAGGTCCGGCGTCCACTAGCCTAAATCCATGGAGGAGACCTTTATCTTACAGTGGACGACATTAGGCTGACCCGAACCAGATGCCCATACTAACATAGAAAAGGCCATGACAAGTTTGTTTTTCCAGGTAATCCCAGAGCCGACGATGCCCGAATGGACGGCGGAGGCGCGCGACGTGCAGGAGCTGGTACAAGTGCTGACGCAGCGCTACGACAAGGCGTGCGCGCGCGCAGACGAGATACGGATCAAGCACGGCGAAACCACGCTCATCGCTGTGCCTTCTAACGTGAGTATTGGCTGCGAAAATTGGGTACTAAGGCCCAGAACAGACGGTGAAACGCAACTGCAACTGCTAGTTACTTTTGAGTTGCATCTAAGTTTCTGCCATAGCGTCCATTGAGAGACCACACATGACGCGACCAGTTTGAAACTTTCAGTTTCAGTTTCATTCATCAGAATCATCAGAAAGTTGCAGTTTCGTTGCAGTTGCGATTCACCGTCTGTTCTGGGCCTAAAACTACCAATAAATTCCAAACCCCAACTTCTTTAAATCTAACCCTAAAAATCAAATTAGTTTTTCTTATCATCTGGGTAGGTTGTCTGGAAGAGATCGCTTTATTGTGATAAGATCACCTAAATTGTGCCGTTTCTTCTGTTTATTTCTTTTCTTACTTGTTTGTGTTAATCATTTTAGTAGTTTTTAAATTAATGAATAGGCAATTAATTATAAATAAATAAATATTCTTAGACATTTTACACTGCGCTTCTAGTCCCAAACTAAGCAAAGCTTGTACTATGGGTACTAGACAACGGATATAAACATACTTAAATACTTTTTTTTTTTTTTGTAAATACATACTTATTATTACATAGAAAACACCCAGTCCAATACAAACAAATATGTTCATGCACACAAATGTTTGTACTGTGCGGGAATCGAACCCGCTACCTCCGGAATAGTAGTCCGTTTCGAACCACTACACCAAACAGCCGACAAAATTTCGCTACCGTGACGTTTTATTGGTCTATCTTTGCAATAGAATAGGAGAGTCACGTTTTGATTGCTTTACAAGTTATGTCAATTGACTAGAGCAGTGGTTCCCAAAGTGGTCTGGGCTACGACTCATCTAATACAAGTTCCCAAACTCGGGACCCACCTATAGGAAATTTGGCCCGCTGCCCAGCGGTTGGATCGGTAGGGTGGTGGGTGGTGTTTCGTTCTACAGGCAAGGCCCACTCTATGTTCGCTCGCGACCCACCACACCATAGTTTGGGAAACCTTGGACTAGAGTGTTTACTACCATTCGAAAGTTACTCATAATGAGTACTTTAGAGCCTGAGACTAAAATGTCTTCGCGTCTCATACTCATAGCGTCATCATTTTATACATTTCGAGGTCCCTCTTAAGCGCTAAATTGTTGTTATTTCAGCCAACAAGTCGTCCATCGTCAGTGGCTGGAGTCAGCGTCAGCCACAGTACCCCCAAGGAGACAGAGAAAGCTGTTCCAACTTACAAGGAGCTGGTGCAGAAGGAACCTGTCAGAGGGCCTGGTATGTTCTTCGTAAAACGTTCATAAGGTGGACTGACGACCTCATAAAGGTAGCAGGAAGGCGCTGGAAGCAGGCCGCTACCAACCGGTCATTGCGCAAATTATTGGGAAGGCCTATATTCAGCAGTGGACGTCCTATGGCTGAAGTAATGATCATGAAATTACTTTGTTTCTATTTTTGTATTCAAATCAGCTCAGAATGGTTTCCCAGTAGGTACAATGCCTCGTGTAGGACAAAAAGTACTTTTATCACAGTGCTGGTCAGATTGATGTTTACAGGATGCCACGATAAATACGGACAGGATGTGGTTTAACCGCAATGCTGTCCTTTAAACTAGAATTTTAAATAACTAACTTAGATAAAATCACGGGATACAATATATACCAAGCACGTGTTAAGCATGTGTTAAGTAAATACATAATAGTCCAAAGAGAGAGTACAATGTGATATAATATGATATATTCAATATTTGGCAGCATCCTGCATCCAGGAAATCAATGCGGGAGGCCTATGTTCAGCAGTGGACATCCTGTGGCTGAAATGATGATGTTGTTGATATTCAAAATTAGAAGATTTTGTCCTTCAGTTCCGATTCATGGCCATGTGGCTGTTCTTCTGGTAACTTAATATGATCCCATTTCCACATACCTTGTCAATCGTCACATTCGTAAGCAACAGAACCCCTGGATCTCATGATCAATGATGCTGTTTAGTGTGCACAAAAACCATCATCATCTTCATCACGCACTAAGGCCCAGAACACACGGTGAAACGCAACTGCAACTTCTAGTTATGAGTTGCATCTAAGTTTCTGCCATAGCGTCCGTTGAAAGACCACACATGATGCGACCAGTTTGACCAGTTCAAATCGGTTTGTATTTTTGTATCGGTATGGCAGAAACTTAGATGCAACTCAAAAGTAAGTAGAAGTTGCAGTTTCGTTGCAGTTGCGTTTCACCGTGTGTTCTGGGCCTAAATCTTTCTATTAATCTACAGCCTCCGACGAAGAGGAAGACATTCCGTCACGTTGTTACCTGAAGAGGCAAGCGCAGCTCATCATCGACACCAAGTGCAGAAGGAAGGGCTTCAGGGGCTTCCCAAGGAAATAAGAATTTAGACCAAGATGTGTTCAACACTGCCCAGCGCCGCAACCCCCACTTACTAGAATTAAAATCACGTTAAATGTAGAAATAAATAATTTTGAAACACGAATGTTTTATTGTTATGTAGATCAAAGCAATTGAACTGTAATAACACTGATCATAAATGAGGTGTTGTCTAGGATGGTACGTAACATATCCTGCCCTATAGTGCCTTTCAATATAAAAATAATATCTATCAGGAATGCAATAAAAGTAAAAGGACAGATTATAAAAAATAAACTTTTATTCCAAAAAATTACACAACGGCACGGAATCCTTTACCCTAAATTTGGAACCTCCCAATCGAATAAAATACAATCACAATACAAAGAACATTGAGGTAGGTGAATTTAGCAACGACGACGACGACGCTTCTTCCGGCGGCGGCGACAGCTTCGGCGGCGACGGCGGCGGCTGCAGCTGCGTTTGCGGCGGCGGCGGCGACGCCTACCGCAGCTACGGCGGCGGCGGCGCTTCTTCCTACGCCTCCCGCAGCTTCTACGGCGTTTCCTACGTCTACGCCCGCACCTATCTGACGGCTCCCCAGACCGCGAACGAGAAAACGACCGACTGTTCATATTCTTGTCCCCGCGACGCTTCCCCACGCGAGTTTCGTCTTCGTCCCCTCCGCGGTGGTCTGTCACCTCGCCGGTCTTGTTCGTTTCCATGTCATTCCGTTTTCTAGAAGACGTAGTTCTTCTGAGCATCTGCTCGGAGTGGCGCCTGGCTGCGGCCGCTCGACGCCTCTTATGTTGGAGGTCGACGTAGGTCTTCAACCGGGCGGCATACTTGGGCGCGTTGGTCTCGCTGCGCTTCCTGAGGAAGACTATGACATCCTCGTTGATCTTCTTCTTCTTCTCCTCGTCTCCTTCGGCCTCCATGCCGCCGTTGAGGCTCATCAGCCTCACTCCGTCCTCATTCCGTTGCCATCCACAGGTCACGTAGAATTTTGTTTGTTACTCATCTAAAAACCGTCCGACATGATCGAACATTTCTTTGTATCTGTCAAACTTCTTTTCTTTGTTTTTTGATGGTGTCAAAAGAATTAAAAAACGGTTCTTGTATAGGCCAGTATTTATTTCAGTTCTCCATAGATTAATACTATGAGGTTTTAATCAGGAAGTCGTAGAGGTCGCTGTGAGAGTTCAATGTTCTTTCATAAGATAGAGTGCACTCAAGAGGAGCCTTCTAAATTAGAATCTGCATTTAAGTTTAAGGCGTCGTTAACTAAGAGTAAAATGCAAAAAGTAGCTGTTGATAAAGTATTTTAATTTAAAAATAACTCGTCCAACTTCAATTAAAACTGTTACAAGGTATACAAAAACAGAGATATACAAAATGATTATCAAATAACGTATAAACACACTTAATTTCCCTAAAAATGTGCTAACAACGGCGGCGACGGCGCTTCTTCCGGCGGCGGCGGCAGCTGCGGCGGCGGCGGCGGCGGCTACAGCTGCGCTTGCGTTTACGCCGGCGGCGTTTTCCGCAACTCCTACGACGACGTCGTTTTTTCTTACTACAGCCATCTGCAGGTTCTTTAGACCGGGACCTCGAAAAGAAACTACTTTTCACAGATTTTTCCCCACGATTCTTCACTGACTTTTCCCCACGACTCTTCACCGACTTATCCCCACGACGCTTTCCCACCGACCGCTGATCGCCTTCTGTCCCTCGACGCTCCGAAGGCACAAGATTCTGGTCTCCCTCGTTCCTCTTGGCCGACGTTATCGTCTTTTGGCTTTTTATAGTCTGCTCTGAACGTCTCCTAGCCGCCGCAGCTCGTCGTCGCTTTTGCTGCAAGTCCATACAGGTCTTCAACCGACTTCCATACTTGGTCGCGTCAGTCTGACTGCGCTTGTGGAGGAACATCAACACATCTTCGTTGATGGACTTTTTCTTCTGCTCAGGGTCCATGCCGCCGGTGAGGCCCATCGCCTCGCGGTTTCGTTGCAACCCGTCGATCACATGGAATTTTGTGCTATTTAACTCTAAATTGATAAAAAACGCATTACGAGAATTTCATTCTTGATGTAAGCTTTTCCGATGAAACATGTCAAATTTGACAGTTTGACAGCATCTATTTTTTCTACCATAGTGTTTTTAGTGGCCAGTACTTTTTGTAGACTTATGCGCTAAATATCTACCAGTCTTCTTTTCTTCCTGTCTAACCGCCATTGCAAATAGAATTGACGAGTGTGAGAGATAATAAGCAATACATCTGATGGAGTTACTAGTTCTGAGAGAAAAACTGTGTCCACGCCACAGATGTCATGAGAATTTGCTCACGCAAGCGGGATTGGCTCGCTTGCACATTTCTCGCTGCGGATCACACGCAGTTTTCAGACTGTTAAATGTTAACTAATATTTTATTTAATTGACCAAACCAAGTAGGTAGTTTTGCACTCGTAGAAATTAAAAGAGAGAAGGGTGAAGAAAAAAAAACTTTGGAAAAATTGTTTTATTCAGATTTTGGAATAAATATTTGATGTGGTTCTGCTTCTTTTTCCATTTCCATAACTATATTTAACACCTTAGTTCTGAACATTAGTTTTTGGTATCTAGTGAATCTTTTCAATGTTGGCTGCAGGGATTGAAAGAAAGCCAAATCCTCACTTTCTAGTTGCAATTGATTAGGCTTTAAACATGTATGTGCCCCAAATCCACTTTTAGTTTTATTTGCTCGTTTTAGAACTTTGTATCGCCTTTTATTTGATCTGGGTTTCACTTCAGGTGTTTCTAACAAGGTTTCTACGAGTGAATGACTTTCTTCATACAATTCTTCGCATGGTGACTCATCGCCAGCATTTTCCGTTCCGTCTAAGAAAGTCAATATGTCATAGTAAACATATTTCTTCCTTTTACTACTAAAGCCCGATGGATTATTTTTTTCAAATATCCTGTCCTTCTTATAACTGTCCCTTGCTGTTCGCCAGCGTTGTTGTATTTTCTTGTCTGAAATAATAAAAAATACATTAGATTGCCTGCACCGCCGCAACTGCGTGTAGTAAGAGTATTATTAAAAAGCACTCTATTGAAGGCCCAAATAAAGGCGAAAATAGCTCAATGGTGTCGGTATCGGACTTGCCGAGGGTGGGTAGTTTAAACCCCGCGGCCCGCTGGGCTATTGTGGTGGCCACTACGCACGCATACGTAGGTACTCGCATTTAGCATAGATAGGGGTTAACGGGAATGTTAGTAGTTTTTGCAATACAAATTACATATTATTAGGTATTATTCTTTGAAAAAAAAATTAAGGAGTGTACCGTTTAAAATGAAATTACTTTGTAAACAAGACAACATTTTGGCGGGAAGTCAATTTACCCAATAATAAGAGTAGATTCCACCAATTCACTACAAAACTGGTTCAGCACGAGGTAAATAAGTATTAAACTCGAAACGAGATAAAAAGCTGTTTGTAATTATTGTCATTATTTTGTGCATAATTAACATTAGTAGGTTAATCCTACTACAAACGATTCTGAAACGCCAAGTGACACGAATCGGAACTAATATGTAATAATCCAGTATTGAAAGTAGCGCCCTCTTATCAACGTTATCTGGGACTGTTGTGTTGGACAACATGCTAATAAAAACAAAATAAATAACCAAATTACATACCCGCCATTTTTATATCCTCAGGGCTCAAACTTTGGTAGTCGGGTGTCAATTCCGCTAGAATTTCCGTCCATGCTGCCTCTCTCGCGTCCCTGTCTTTGTATAACAAATGTTTTTTGTCCCACAACACGGGCCGCTGATGGACTTCGATTATCACTTGTTCTGTGTCGATGTACATTTTGTTAGTGCTGACGAGACACATCACTGCTGTAGAATTGAATTGTTACTTGGTAAATAGGAAAAGTTTAGCAACAAAAAATTATGTTGACTGAACGTTAAAACGCGGTGCGTGCGCTCCGCGTAAATGTTTTCTGGGCACTGTTTCTATGCGCGTCCCCGCATGCGGGCGGGTCCCCCCGCGGCCCCGCACTGCCCCGCAGCGGGGCGTGTCGCCCCGCACCGGGCCTTCCCGCGTTCCGTGCGTCACGCACGCTTCACAAATACAAGTAATAATATTCTGTGCTCGTAAATAATGCAAGTTGCAATGTAGGTTATGTTGTTGTAATCTATACTATCTACACTAATATTATAAATGCGAAAGTAACTCTGTCTGTCTGTGTTGCTTTAACACCTAAACCACTGAACCGATTTTTACGGAATTCGCTGCCTGCTGCTGTATTTCCTGAACACAATCCGGGTGTTTTTAAGGCGAGAGTGAATTGGAACTTTCAGGGCAGATATGTACAATCCTAGACTGCATCTCACTTAACACCAGGTGCGATTGCGGTCAAATACCTGCCTTGTCTAGCATAAAAAAAATTGTCAAAAGCGGTGAGTAATAACGGAACAGCGCTACATGAAATCTCAAACCGTCCCTGTCCCCGTTGATAAGGTGGTGGACAAGGCTGAAACGTGACGATCTGTTGTCTCTCTAATAACAATAGGTACAGGATAAAAGTATAAGAATACAGGTAGGTATTAAACACGTATTAGAAGGTAGAAGGGGTACCGTTCACATCGCCTCATCCACTATACATCTTAGCACCGCTTATTTTCCTAGCACATCTCTGGTGGAAACTACCGCATCATTTCACACACGACGATGTCCTCACACACATCTTGGTATAGATGACCCACGCTGAACTGTCCCACCAAACTCAATGACAGGGGGGCGCTACCATCGTTCAACTATATGGTTTCCAACATGGCAAAAATCTGAACCAGCGATCCGGTATTGACGGTGGCGCCCCGCTGTCAATGTCATCGACAGGACAGTCCAGTATTTTGGAACTATAGCAGCTGATGTTTGAGGGAAACATAGATGACCCACGCTGAACTGTCCCGCCAAACTCAATGACAGGGGGGCGCTACCATCGTTCAACTATATGGTTTCCAACATGGCAAAAATCTGAACCAGCGATCCGGTATTGACGGTGGCGCCCCACTGTCAATGTCATCGACAGGACAGTCCAGTATTTTGGAACTACACAGCCATCCCGCATCATCATGACACACTATGATTTTNAATTTTTATGGAGGAAATTGATCTAAGGCCGGCAATACACGGACCGCCCGAATCAGTTGCAACTGCTCGAGCGGTTCGTGTATGTGCATTGTGCGTCCATAGAACTCTGCAGCAGTTCACTGTGCAGTCGACAGCTTGAAGCTGTCGACCCTGGCTGCTTCAAGCGGTCCGTGTATTGCCGCTCTAACAGACGCTAGTACGCACTCCGAAGTATGGGCGACACACGGCGCGGAAAGTAACTGGCGTGCGTGTGCGTGTTGACATTGTCTCGATCAATTTGTCGCATAGTGTAACTGCGCCATTACTTACAGTTTGCAAAAAGGTACCATGTTCTAGGTAATAATTCAAAATATTTCTACGGTTCTACCTGCATCCTATCCTATCTATGAAATACTAAATTGTAAAATGAAACATTTGATTTATAAAAATAAAGTCGTGTATTCAAAAATCAGTAAACACATACAAAATGACATCACACCCCTGAATTTTAAAAGTTGTGGCCGCGACAATACACGATAAGATAAACGGACCTAAAAAATCTAGATTGGTATGAAGTTAGCAACGGCGGCGACGACGCTTCTTTCTGCGACGGCGGCAGCTGCGGCGGCGACGGCGGCGGCTGCAGCTGCGGCGGCGGCGTCGGCGGCGGCGTCTCCCGCAGCTTCTACGGCGTCGGCGGCGTCGTCTGCTGCGACGGCGGCGGCGTCTGCGCCTGCCACAGCTCCGGCGGCGGCGCTTGCGCCTGCGTCGCCCGCATCTGTCCGACGGCTCGCCAGACCGCGACCGCGAGAACGACCGGTTATTCAACTTGTCCCCGCGCCGTTTCCCCACAGCCCGCTCGTCTTCCTCCCCGCGATGTTCCGTCGTCTCCATCGTTTTGTTCTGCTCCAACTCGTTCCTCTTCCGCGCTGCTGCTGCGTGGAGCATCTGTTCCGAGTGCCTCCTCGCCGCTGCGGCCCGGCGCCGCTTGTGCTGCAAGTCCACGTACGTCTTGAGCCGCGCGGCATACTTCGGGGCGTCAGTCTCGCTGTGCTTCCTCAGGAACACCATGACATCCTCGTCGATCTTCTTCTTCTTCTCCTCTTCGTCGGCCTCCATGCCGCCGTTGAGGCCCATTTAGCCCCGCCAGTCCGTTGCCATTCGATAATCGTTTATTCGTTTACGGAAAACGTTGTAAATAAAAATTAAGATGGAAAATTAGAAAAAAATCTAAAAATCTCCCGACATGATGGAAAATTTCGCTGTTCAATCGAAAAATGACTGCATTCTTCTTTCAAAAAGGAAAACATTCTTTCTTTTCTGTTTGCAACCAGCCAATGTTTTTAAGACAAAATTAACACAACCTTACCTCTTTAGATTCCAGTACGATTCATAAAAAACATCACAACAAAAACATGTCAAATCAACGTGTCAAACTTTTGGTGCAGTATACATAGTATTTTAGATTAATTTTTAGATAGTTATAAATAAAAACGATCATGTTCTGTCCACACAAGAACTCGTACCTGCAACTGGTGTGCGCGATGAACCCTCGGGTGATCAACAAGGCTGTCGACCAGGCCATGCAGAGGAAACACTTCGACCCACACACTGGTAATCATTTACTAGCTTTACCATTGGCTTTACCACAGTAAATTCATTAATAATCACGTTCATTAGGTAGACTGGTGAAGAACCACCCGGCATTAAGTCCGCCACAGTACGTTACTAGGTGCAAGTGCAAAAGTTTAAATAATTAAAGGTTCGGCCAAACCAACGCGATCAACCGGCGTGCAGCGATGGCGATCAATGCATTTAGGTCTGGTCGCCATCGCTGCACGCCGGCTGATCGCGCTGAGATCGCATTGGTTTGGCCGAACCCTTAGGAAATACTATATCCAGCTATGAATTATGCAGCATTTATTTATAACAACAACAGTAACGGTTGGCTCGTTATGAATAAAATTATGTACGGTATCCGGAAAATCTCAGTCACAAAAATGTCTAATTACCTACCTACTATGATTCTTTTACTTACCTCTTACCCTGTCCGATATTTGTGTTCGTGGCAATAAACAGTAGGTGTAACTTCGACTAGTAAATGTTAAAGATCTATATTGTCTTTTTTAACACAGCTTGATAGAATGTACTTATTTCTTTCAATAATATCAACAAAACAACTACTTCTAACCTACCTACAAAGAAGGCAGCTTAAAGAAATTATATTGTCTAAATATCCACACTTACCGTATTCCTTCCAGAGTTGCCCCCAGCTCAAAGACTGGAATCCATGCAGCCGTCGCTCTACGCGCCACACGTGGACATCTCCAGAGCCCGGCTGGGCTTCGGACGCGTGGGCCTTAGGATCATCAACCGAGATCTCCATAACCCAGACCAATTGGTGCAGCTCCAAGCTTTGCACACCATCATGGATCAGGTACTTGGGTGTTTGATTTGGGTGCATTTTAACACTTTCTAATTCAAATTCAAGAACTTTATTGCGCACTAGGCATGGAACATTTCATGAATAGCAGGTGAAAAATCATATGAAATGAATTTCATTAATCACACCTGCTATTTTTCTTCACATAGACTGCTATAATTTCGCAGTCAACGAAATCACGAATCACATTAATTTCATTCATTCATTCGAGCGAAGTCCGTGAGCGCTGCTCTGCTAAGTGACCGAGCGAGTAAGAAGGAATGATTTGATCATGTGCGTGTTAGAAAAGGACAAGAGATGTGATGACGAACGAAACTGAGCATTTTAAATATGAACTTTAAACTCAAAGGAGTAAGGTTTAGATTTCCTTGTCATGATTCGTATGATTTTATTAGATAGCAGGCAGATGAAATGAATGATTTTTCACTAGTCGCGCGGTTAGTGATTGTTTTGTTGCATACATACTGTGCTGCGGAACTGTTTGTTTTTTGTTGTGCGACAAAATCAAACAGTGTAATACGCTGTTACGGCCAGCGTTTGTTTCATCAATGTTGAGTATACCTACCCTACATCGAAAACAAACGCTGGCCGTAACAGCGTATTACACTTGAAAATTTCGACGGGTTCATCCAGTGTCTAAGTAGCTCAGTTGGAAGAGCAGTCGCCCGGCAAGCGGAAGGTCGTGGGTTCAATTCCCGCCTTAGGCAGTTCGATTTTTTCAAGTTATTTATAATTTTCAAATTAGTTTGAGATGCGACTCTTAACGCTAAAAATTAAATAACTAAAATCAAACAGATATTAATTAAGTCACATTCAATATAGGTAGCTAATTAGCAATCATTCATCATAATTCATACTTCATTAAAAGTACTTAGCACATTAAATGAAAGAGCTTTATTTTAACGCTGCGAATAAAAATCATTGCCTGTGAAATTTCACATGTGAAATCACATGAATAAAAATCATCATTTCATGAAATGAAAATGAACGGAAAATAGCAATCATTTCCATGCCTATTGCGCACGTTTTCAGTAATAACCAGTAAAAGAACTGAATTTCTTTGGTTATAGGTGTGTGAATAGTGTGTTGTCAAAGGGTCTGGGTCAAAAAGCAAGGGTAGACACAAATTTTAACGTGAAATTAATTTGTGAATGTGTCTAACTACCCTCAGTTGTTTCACCACACTGGTCACTTTTTATGAACTGTCTAACGTTATTCTTGTAGTTTTGTATGGCAAAGGGAACCACGCACTCAATTGACCAACTTTTAAATAATTTCAGAGCTACTAAAAAGAAAATTGCTCAGTTTTCAGGGCTTTATACTGAAGCTTTATTGTTTGCTAACCCTATAACATTATTTGTTTATCACTAACAATTAATTTGCAGGTGCAAATATCAGAAAACGCAATATTCCTAATCAACTTGCACGTGGTGTACCGCCTCATAGATCTGATGCTGGACCGCGACCCGATCATCCGAGAGAAAGTCTGTCTCACTCTCACACACTTGGCTTCGTACTACCAAGGGAGACAGAGGATCATGTCTCGTGCTGACATTGTGAGCAACCTCATGAGGCTTATCATGAGAGATAGAAAGGAGATTCGATATGCAGCTTCATATACACTGAGGACTTTGGCAAGGGACAGGTGTGCCTGTGAAATGATTGTAGAGAACAACGATATCATCGAAGACTTGTTGAAGATGATCAAGAATGATCATACAGGGATAGTGGTGCTCCATTTGAAGACACTGGCCAATCTTGCTGAATGGGATCCGGTTCGGCCTTTAAGAGCTAATGCTTTTCAGGTAATTAAATATCGTCATTTGAGTGTAGTAGATAGAATGAAAATACTTTATTGTACACCACACCAAAAATACACAAGAGATGGCTTATCGCCATGACGCGATCTCTTCCAGACAACCTAGAGGACAGTTGTTTAGATTAAGTAAAAGGGGCTGTAGATAAAATATATTTGTAGTGAAAATATTTAAGCATCTACAGGGTGTTAGGTAAATAGGTATATGAGCCGACACTAGCCCATGTTAACATCGGCATATAAATGGTATGGTGAAGTCAGAAAATTGATATCTTTATTTTAATTGTTTTAATTTTCCATTTATATGACCATGTTAACATGGGTTAGGGGTCATCCATAAAGTACGTCACACGTAAAGAGGGGGGGAGGGGGTTGACAAAGTGTGACATGGTGTGACAAGGGGTGGGAGGGGTCCTAAGTTTCGTGACATCACATTTCAATTGTTTCAAATATTTGATATAATGTTGATTTCATAAAAAAAAGTATACTTAATTTAAATGGAAATAACAAAAACTAATTCCGGATCTGCTGTTCATTTAATAATTTTTCGTTGTGAAATTGCAAAACATGTGACGTCACACTAGGGAGGGGGGGGTCTCAGAAATGTGACCACCTGTGACAAGGACGGAGGGGGGGTCAAAAAATCATGAAATTCGTGTGACGTACTTTATGGATGGCCCCTTAGTGTCGGCTCATATACCCATTTACCTAACACCCTGTATACGTATACATACAGGGTGGAATATTGTAATGCCACCTGGAGGGAAAGTACTCTTAATACTATTGATAGAAAATTTTAATCAAAGAAAACATTCCTTAATTTAGGAAAAGAAATAGAACTGCATTCAAAGATTTCTAAAAATTTGCCGGGAGTCGAACCAACTAAAATATGTTAAAAATTACATCCTGTATTTTTATTGCATCGATCGTTAGGGTAAACTATAAGGATGAAATGTCTCTAACAAACTTGATAAATCAAATGAAAGGAAAACCATGAAATCTTAAATTAAAGAAAATTGTATGGTACCTATGATGGTGAATTTTCGAAAAAAATCGAATATCTTTGAATGCAGTTCTTTTTCTTTTCGTCGGCCGTTTGGTGTAGTGGTTCGGAACGGACTACTATTCCGGAGGTAGCGGGTTCGATTCCCGCACAGTATAAACATTTGTGTGCATGAACATATTTGTTTGTATTGGACTGGGTGTTTTCTATGTATAATAAGTATGTATTTACAAAAAAAAAGTATTTAAGTATGTTTATATCCGTTGTCTAGTACCCATAGTACAAGCTTTGCTTAGTTTGGGACTAGAAGCGCAGTGTAAAAAATGTCTAAGGATATTTATTTATTTATTTTTAAAAATAAAGGAATGTTTTCTTTGAGAACATTTTTCTATCTACAGTATTAAGAGTGCTTTCCCTCCAGGTGGCATTACAAAATTCCACCCTGTATATTAGTATCGTTGCAGAGCAACATGCGAAATTTTCGGATTTCGTGCGTATCTCTACGATTTCTAGGTACTATAATCAACATCAATAAATTTCAAATTGTATTGCCCCCAGGTGATGCTCAAACTCTTCGACAATCCTGACCCAAGAATCGTCAGCGGGGCCATGGACTGCATGAGCCAGCTCTGCAAGCACGAGATCGGCATGAAACTGGCCGACGACAACGACCTGACCTTCGTCCTTCGTCAATTCATCGCTTCCCCGGAGATAGAAGTCATCATCAGCGCTGTAGGTCTCATGGCATATACAACCTTGACTACCCGTTCAAAATGGCGGGCGAAAGAACGTTGTGGTGAGATCACAAAGCGCCTTGTCCATTTATGTCACAGCCCGAACAAACCGCTGCTGCAGTTGCGTTGTATGCAAGTGCTGATCAACCTTTGCGACTGTCCAGACATTAGGTACCACATGAAGATGCATTGGGAGAAGAAGGTGATTGCGATAAAGATAAGAACGCACGAGGAATGGGACGGCACGTCCGAGACGACCAGTTATGGGTTGGAGACTGGTCACAACTATAGGACGATGTGTATAGAGAAGGTGGAGTGTATCAAGAATGATATTGGGGATAATCCGTTGGTGGTGAACGTGCATAGCTATTTGAGGAGAGTCGGCGAGGTGAAGGAGCATCTGATTAAAGCTATCAACTGGAAATCTTATAGAGACTAGAAATTTAAAGTGATATCAAGATTTAAATACTATTAGCTTCAGTTACCAGCATGACAAAATGTACAAATTCCAGCATTACTTTGAATCTTGGACATAAGACGTAATGCTGGAGCGAAATTCGCGTTTTTGTGGTGGATTGACTTAGATTGCGAACTACCAGACAAAGTAGCTTCGTTTCTTATACAAAAGGGACAAACAAAGTTACTTCGCGACTTCTAACCAAATCTAGAAATGTTACCTACATATAATTGTAAATATTGATTTATAGTATTTTACTATAATCACAATGAAACATTATTATTTATTTATAAGCATGTTTATTCGTTTTCGAACAAAAATTACAATAATATTACACTAATTGAGCTACATTTGGTTTGTTTAAATACACAGTGTTTTGTGCCTCGTGGCGGACTTAAAGCTATGACGTCAGTCGTTCAGCCTACATACGCACCAAGTATTCTAACGGCGATGTAATGAGAATCGATAAATAAGTGCCCACAACAATAATGTTGTCATAACAACAAAGATTTTTATGTATACTACACTAGACAGGTTAGCCTGTAAAATTCCTCACAAAGTTACTGTCTATTCCAGTTTATTTATGGACAGCCAATATGAATAACATTGTAACTTAAGTTATTCGTTTGTGCAACTTTATCTCATAATATGGACTAGACTTGCTGTTGTAAACGTGTTTTCAGTTACAATGTTATTCATATTGGGTGTCGATATGTATTTCCTTCACAACTTTTTGCTTGAGAGCAAGCGAGAGCTGAGCTGACACGACTTTAATTCTGAGCAGCTATCTCGTAGTATACATAAAAGTCTTGTACAAAAAGTACGAAACATATTTATTTGACCAAAGTAGACCTTGGAGTAATATTTTTAAGGCCGAAACACACCAAACATAAATATGTAAAACTAAATGTTTTACATATTTACATAATAATTACAATCAGATAACAGTCAGCGTCAAATAGTCCGTGACATCTAAAGTAGCCAAAAAGTTCGCAACACATCTTTGTTACAATGAGGGTTTTCGCGAATGAAAGATCCGCTAGATGGCGGGACGTGGATGTGGGGTCTGACTGCTGTGTGATTGGTGGATTTTGACATATCTGTCAATGTCATGTCAAAAGTAACCAATCATGCAGCATTTGGACCTCGCGTCTACATATTGTCTGTGTATTTAAACACTCAAAAGCACTCATTCAAGGATATAGCAACAAAGTAACTAAGGAACTGCTAAAGTTCAAAAGATACAAAGCCTGTGCAGTGACTAGAATACTGACCGGCCACTGCAAACTAAACAAACATAAATCGAACATGAACATGACCGAGGAAACTCTGTGCAGATTCTGCCACACAGAAGAAGAAACGGCCATGCATCTCGGGCGACACATCGTGCACCCGGATGAGATAGCAGATATCACGCTCCAAAGAATCTGGAAATTTATAGACTCAACGGGACTAAGCAGTGAACTCTAAAGACAAGGGCTGCCACAATAGATCAAACCTGGTCGAGTTGGCGCAAATAAAGGCCCAAAAACCAATAATAATAATAATACATATTGCCATCTGGCGGATATTTCATTCGCGAAAACCCTCATTGTAATAATGTTGTGTTGTCAACTTTTTGGCCACTGAGTGTCACAAACTATTTGACGCCGACTGTATACGTGTACGTATACGCATACAAACCCGGTGTGTTACAACCTTTAGGACCGATTATATTCAATCCCTAGATAACTAAACTGCACAATAACAAAAACATAAATAAAAAAGTTATCTAAATAAAATACAGCCCAAAGTAAAAATAAAATTCCACTTTCTACTTTCGTCAAAACAGCAATGATTTCTAAATGTCCTGATGTCAAATATTCCAATATTTACATAACAATACCTAACTATTAAATAGGTACTTAGCATACGACTAAATTATCATAATTAAAAACTATTTGCATTGTCTGTGCGATGCGTACTCCAGTTTTGTAGTATTTAAGTACAAATTGAAGTGCATAAAGTACATAGTATTATGACGAGTATACAAAAAAATACTTGAGTATATTTAAATACATAAATTAACAATGCACTTGGTATACAAGTGTGCTTGGAAGCGCTATGTTTAAAAAAATATCGAAAGATTGGAGCCATTTATACGTATCTAATAGACAGAAAACATCTATTTAAATATCTAAAATAGGGATGATGACTGGGTAATGGAATCGAAATTCTATTTAGTCCGTCAGACAGATAATAAAAAAATTTGGACACATAAGTATACTTATTTATTTTCATAATCCAATAATTACAGTATTATATTGAGTTGAAATGTCGCGTGACGTCACTTTTGAGTAAAAAATCTACTCAAGCGTGACGTAACACGCCATTTCAACTCGATGTAGCACTGTTATTATTTAATTATGAAAGAAAATAAAAAATATGTGTCTAATATTTTCTAATTATCTGTCTGACGGACAAATATGTAATTGAAATTTTGTCATCTAGCCTATTATCTAACAGTGACTGTCCCTACATACATCTTTTACTATTGTGCCCTGTGACTCACCTAACCATAAACAACTCTTAAACCACAGACAAATGCGCTGTTCTCAATTTGTGGTCTCCTTCGATTCTATAATTTATGCTATTGTGCATCCCACTACCTCGCTTACACTATGGCACAGGCAATCTTACATTAATTTCACTATATTTTGATAAAACATAACAAAAATTTACAGATACAATACAATTATACAATTAAGAATCTCAAATTATATTAATTTTAGGTAAGGTCCAAAATCACTTCTTATATTGCACAATTTAGCTAATCACACTAGGTTTTTAAACGGAGAAACACTTGGCCTGTATCTCACCTGATGGTAAGTAATGATCAGGCCGAAGGTGGATGCAAACTTCACCTGGAATCCTCAACCACAGAGGAAATGGCTATCTTACCTCCAACTATTTTAATTATTAAAACAGTGTTGCTAACGTTTTAGTATCTTTATACTATGCATAGACTCCCGATATGCAACCCACACATACATTTATTCGGAATATACGTAAATAAAAAGAGTTTCTATAAAATTTAATAGAACTGATATAGTATAATAGCAAATAATTATAGCAAATAATTATAGCAAATAACAACACTATGGAATATTAATTTCACAGAGAAGACGACACAAATACCCTGAATTGCATTATATTATTGTCTAATATAATACCAATAATAAACATTAAGTTTACTAAAGTGACACCTACACTTATTTTGGCTAGCTATTATTTTTTCTGAGACTCAATGGAGGTAGGCATTAAGTTTAATGAATAGGAAGAACCTTAAGCTTTGACTAAAAATAGTAAGGGCAGTTTTCCACCATAGCGGATACGATGCTAAACGACAGGTCTTATCTCCGCTAAGCTTCAGTTGAACCGTTGAGCACAGCTCTGCTCCGTTAGAAAACTCCGCCTCCGCTCTGATGGAAAACGGCCCTTAATCATCAATAAAATTTACATTAACAGGTCTAGGTCGCTGAACGCATGCCGCTACCAATCGATCAACATGGAAAGCATTGGGGGAGGCCTATGTTCAGCAGTGGACGTCCTGTGGCTGAAATTATGATGATGAGGTCATAACTGAGTCGGTGCCAGAGGTATAGAACAGGTGACATTTTACGTGACAGAGTATACAGGGTGTTAGGTAAATGGGTATATGAGCCGACACTAGCTCATGTTAACATGGGCATATAAATGGTATGGTGAAGTCAGAAATTCGATATCATCATTTTATTTTTTTTTTATTTTCATCAAAATAAATTTTATAAAATCCATTTGTATGAAAATTAAAATAAATAAAATGAAGATATAATTTTTTTTTTATTTTCATCAAAATAAATTATCATCATCATCATCAACAGCCCTTTACAGTCCACTGCTGGACTATGAGCCTCCTCCACTATGGTGGAGGGATTTGCCATAATCTCCACGCTTGGCAGGCGGGTTGGAGATCGCAGTTTAAAAGATTGATGTTTTTCAGAGAGCGCTGCTGCCCATTCTCTATTTGTTGTGTAGTCCCTAAGTCGCCTCTTACGACACCCGCGGGAAGAGTAGGGGTTGGTGACAAATGTATTCTACTCTGCCGTCACCACACGTTCAGACAAAATAAATTTTATAAAATCCGATTTGTATGAAAATTAAAATAATTAAAATGAAGATATCAATTTTCTGACTTCACCATACCATTTATATGCCCATGTTAACATGGGCTACTGTCGGCTCATATACCCATTTACCTAGCACCCTGTATAAGCCTGAAGACAAATGAAGTCTCGCTGACGTTTGAGTTCAGAAAAACACTATCCCGAACCGCTCCCATACCCAAGCACTGGCTTAATTATGTGCTTACCTGTACTAAACATGTTTAGGCATTTATATTCTCAAAAAAATACTTGGGCGTATTATCTCCATTGACTACCAATGATTGCCAATTTTACTTTGGAGTACAAATCACGATATATGGGAACTTTTATCTTATTTACATAATTTTTTATAACACGAGAAATAATCTCACTCGCCAAACACATAACAATCTCACTGGAACTTTGTTTGCAATTTCGTATTGATCGTTAACAGTTGAAAATTTCAATATTAACATGACAAAATCTATCTCATGACCAGCTGCCTATTACAAACTTACACAGTACAATACATGGTTACGTTTAAACCGGTTCATATTTCCAATACGTACACCACATCTAAGTGACAACCGGTTTACATTTATACACATAACGTCACTATGTTATACCGGTTCAAATCTCCAATACATTCAGCTTTTCACAGCGGGTATATCACAAACTTTACACACAACTACATACCGGTTCATACCTCAACCGGGCACATTTCATGCCCGGTTACACCCATAAAGATAATTCCTTTGGAATAGAGCAACAACCACGAGCTATCAAACGAAACCTATTTTGGATGACACTAGGTATCATGTGTGTTAGTGTCAGGATTATTTCACTGTTTTGTACAATAAATCAATCACTGAACCAGTCACCACGTTTCTGAAGCGCAATTTCTCATAAACATCCACTATTACACTCACGTAAAATCGAAGTGTCTCAGAGTTCAAATTTTCAGCGTGCCAATAAGTGCCTCCGAACTGTCAAATAATCAAAAAACGGTTCTATTTGACGTGACGGCATCTCTTTTTATCACAGTGTTGCTGCTATTGACATCTCTCTCGCTCAGTTCTTTGTTGTTCTATTCCGCTACGTATTAACTTTATGGTTGCACCACACCCTATTCATAAACACAAGGCAAGCTTCAAGCCCTATTCACAATCGGGTACTGTCCTAATCGCTCCTCTCACTAAGAACATATTCATATAACGCCTTGCACAGATCGTGCAGAGTCGGGTCTCACCTGCCCCCGCCGCGTTTGTTCAGAGGGTCATACATCTCAGTCTCCGAGTCTATTTCGTCCTCCGAGAGGGACAGGCTGCCGCCGACGCGACGGGTGCGAAGGCCCTCCTGGAAATATATATATAAATATTAAAGATGAGGTGGTGTGTGGCTCGATGAACTGAGGATCTAGGGGTGAATGATGCATGTGGAGGAATGGGATCAGAATAAATAGCTAAGGGGATGCTATGCGAATTTGGAACATGAATACAAATAATACGCAGTTGTTGATAGGGTACGAATTCATATGCTCATTTACCAAGCAAGAATGATCACAAATTCGCAAAGCGTACTAATTGTGAGTACCCTTCTTTAGCAAGATGATGAGATGAATAGTGATTAAAAAGACCTGTAAAATTAGGTGGCTATAAAAGTATAAAATACGCAAATTAAGGTTCTTGCTGCAAGATTACATACACATAAATAGTGCTTAGTATATTCTAAGTTACCTGTGGCCTCGTCGGCGCATTCAAAGGATTTATTAAATTAGGTTTAATTTAATAAGGTAGGTACGCCCACACACACAAAACTCGTCATTATTTCTATATCAATAAGAGTGACTTCCGAAAGATAGGACCAATAGCCAGGCGTTATATGGCGAACCTACCTCATAGATTTAACACAACACCAAGGGAGACTGACAGAATAACACCTGTGCACAATAGCGCACGTTTTTATTTTAATTTAAGCCCAGTTATATCAATAGTACGTCCCAACGCATGTTATTAATAAATACAATCGACAGCATATACGACTATCCATTTTGTAGCAAAATATCATTTATTACCACTCCATAAAGATGTCTTAAATTTTAGTTTCATGTGCCATCGACTGTACTTTATACCCTTACGATTTTGTTAGACAATATTGCAGCACATGTTTTATTTCCCAGTAAAGCAAGCACGTATTTTAGATGCCCCAAAATTACTAAATACACAAAATTAATTTCAATCAGTGCTAACATAGAATAAGAATATTCGTACAAACAACTTTTCAGCTTGAAAATGGATGAAAACTTGGCTTTCAATACAAAATATTGCTATCTAGAAGAACAAGAGAGAAATAAACACATGAAATCATTCAAATTCACTATTAATATGTCGTTAGTTGTATAAGAAAAGTTGTTTGAACTAATACCTTGTCAATAATATAGTACGGATTAAAATCAACCTTATAACCAAATAACATAGGACATAAATTAGTAAGGATTATTTTAGAAGCAGTGTTTTTCCCAAAGCGTGATAATCATAGAGTTAGAGTATAAAGTGTCATAATATCCCCATATTCATATAACAACGCTCAAGAATTTGTGTAAAAGGGTTGCATATTTGAAAATATTTGTATGGATGATGAGCATATTAAATTCAAATACTAAAGTAATTTCACTTTTAATTTTGAGACAAAATAAAGCGAAGAAAAACAGTCTCTATTTTCTTGTATTGCTCGGTCGCCGAGCATGTAGAATTTCGTCCAATAACCCATCCTATGGCTCGCGTGTAATTATATTGCTGTCGCGACTGTACGACAGGCGGCCGCAATGAGTGTGCGATAAGGATGGGTAGCTTGGGGTCATTAGACGAAATTCTACGTGCTAGGCGACCGGGCTTTAGCAGTTTTTTTTTAATATGAACATACTTTCCCAAAACAGAACAATTGAACATCGAAAAATACACGACAAAAGCAACCGTCACCAAATTCCCGAAGCGTCATCACACCCTACCCCGACACGTATTAGGAAATAAAGTATTGAACCCTGAACTACTGTGCGTGCAGTCAATATGTGCCCACCAGTTCCGTGTCACTGATCCACGCGGCGCCCTCCTCTAAGCTCGAGGACATCTGCACAATCACCACTGGGTTTAGCTGCGCGTGCGCATACCAAGCGAATATGGGTCTAAGGCCGTGGGCGTAAAGTTCCAAATCAAAAATGAGTTGAATTAAATTGGAACCTTATGTCAGACTATTTTTATGATAATAAGGTCTAAAATCTTGTAAAAGAAACATTACTGTACAGTCAGCTTTATATAGTTCATATAGTGACACTCAGCCGAACGTCCACCGCCGGCTAAACTAAGTTAGTTTAGCTTAGTTCGCATAGTTGAGCCAGTTTTTCATACATGTGCGTCCACCGCAAACTATGCCAGCTAAGCTACGTAAAATGCTCCAGCTAAGTGGAACTTACTTAGCTCGGTTAACTCGACGTTCTAGCACTAACGTAGTTTTAGCTTATTTGTAGGTGGACGGACAACGTAGTTCTAGTNGTTTATCAATACCATCACAAATATTTTTCTTAAATTTGTCAATTCGGTTAGTTGTTATTGGCCTACAAACAACATCCACTGTACTAGGGACATGATGGTGTTCAAATGTGGCCAATTGTCCACTATGATCTGAACTAAGGCAATTAATTATTGATTTACTTTGAATATCACAGTTACAAAAAATGTTATCTAAGCAAGTAGCTGATGTTGGAGTGATTCTAGTAGGCTCATTGAAAAGATGTGATAAATTAAAAGATTTAAAAAGGTTTAAGAATCTTATTTTATATTGAGTATTATCTAATAAATCTATATTAAAATCTCCACATACAACTACTCTCTTATTTGATTTAAATACCTTTTTTAAGACCTCCTCCATAGTGGATTCGAATAATTGGTAATTTGCAGATGGGGGCTTGTACACACTTACAATTATATACTGCTCTAGCTCTGCACACGCAAGCTCAATAGTTCGTTCGACTGAGAGTGAAACAATATCTTTCCTTTCTTTGCATTTAAATTGGTTATTTAATAGTATGAGTGACCCCCCTCTAATAGCCGACTTCCTGGTGAACGAACTACAAACTTTATAATTACCTATATAAAACATTAATTCATATTTTTTTAACCAATGTTCTGTTATGCATAATACGTGAACATTGTACTTTTTTAAAAACAATTCTAATTCTAATTCTTTGCCAGCCAGGCCTTGTAAATTTTGATGAACAATATTAAAACCTTTTAAAGACCTGTCTGTTGTCATCCCTCTCAGTTTAAATCAGAGGTCGTCACAGAAATATTAGTATTTCTACTAATAATATCAAAATCTTTAATAAGTTTTGTGTTAATAACACAGTTAATATTATATGCTAACAAAGTAGCAAGTTTTAATTTTATGCTTTGGGGCAGGTGTAAAGAGCTGCCTGTCATTAAGAACTTATTATTAATAAANCTTTAGCTTAGCTTAGTAACTGAGTTTAGTTTTCATTTAGTTTAGCCGGCGGTGGACGATTGGCTCTAAAGTAGCCAAAAAGTTTGCAACACGTCTTTGTTACGATTGGAAATAGATTGTGATGTCAACTTTGACCACTTTCGAGTGTCACGTACTATTTGACGCTGACTGTACGTCAACTCGGCTCCAGTCATCGATTTTGAATGAACTTGTGACTTATGCCCACAGCATTAGAACCATTTCCGCTTGACTCAACAAAAGAATATGCGCTCTGTGTTGCCAATTAGAATATTTACAAAAGACCTAGACAAAGTAACGTAACGAATCGATTAATTTAATTCCAGTTGCAAGAAAATTGTAGCAGCCTTCGCCACTAGTTACGCCGACACCAATTTTTGCTGGTTTTTTCTTCTGTTGATGGTAAAGGTATACCATATTAAGCTAACTCTTTAGTTACAAATGATACTCGTAAGTCATGTACAGACAGACTATTTACTTCTTAGCATTGAATAATTCAGTCTACTTCTTTGAACCTACAATAAATATGTTTAAAAAAATCTACTACTAAATAAATACAATAGGAACACTTTTACGCTAACGCTTTAAAATTCATTTATTCGCTATCAAACTGTTTCAAAAACCCGAAGTTATTTACGTTCCATTCATCCGGGTCTACAACCTAATCCCACGCCTCACCTCGAGAATCCCAGCGCTGGGCTCCGAAGCGTAACCCTCGAAGTGTCGCTGGTCTTCGTCGTAGTCGGACGACGATGCCGAATCGTTGTCGACGTCACGGCCTGTCCGGACCGAGCACACCATTTGGGCAAGATCCGTGAAGGTGTAACTGGAATATGGGAGAGGGTTATGGTATCTACTGCTAGTTTTCCATGAGCTGAGACTGGCAATGTTCGTCGAACGTTCGTTTGTCTATTAACACGATGTTGAGTTTGACATTAAGTATTTGGAAGTGGAAATGAAAGAGAAAGAACTAAATAATAAGCGATGATCTACGTCAGCGATGAACGCTACAAGAGGCGACGCAATAAGTCTAACTTGGTCCATCAAAACAACACCTTTCCCTTCGGTTTAAGTGTCCCTCCGTGACGAGATTAGAAACTCAAAATTTGTCGCATCGTGTAGCGTTATGTCGCGTAGCGTAGTTTGCCGCTGACATAGATACCACGCAAGAAGACTTACATTACATTATCACCACTTCTACTGGTAAGCTTTCCATTACCTTTAATCTGGAACTACTCTGCTATCACCCTTATTCCTGACATGCAAAGCTTACAGCATCTCGACTGCACTACTATTTTTATTATAGGGTAAGTTTGTAAGCGAAGATAATTACTAGTTTAATAGAAGCAGCACTGCAACCGCTGACCCCACCTCCTCTATTTTCTACACAAACAAAAAATCTTCCAATGTTTTTTGGGTGACGACTTTGGAGTACCAACCAACTAGAGCACTGAGTAGACCAACTGCGACTTAGAAAACACCTAGACTCTATGTAGACCTGCTGTGTTCTAGATAGCCCAAGACTTACGCAGTCAGAGTAGACTCGATATAGACCTACGGGATTCTGGATAGACCAACCAGGTCCTTACAACTTGAACTTAAAAGGTGGTCTACTAAGTAGTAGACCACCTTTTGGTATAAGTAAGGTATAAGTATATAATAGTATAAGCTATAGGAAGTCCAACTGTCTCTCTGGGTCTTCTAACTGTCGTTCTGGCTTAATCAGAGGGGCACTGAGTGGACCAACCGAAGCACTAAGTAGACCTACTGGGACTCTGAGTAGACCAATAGACTATGAAGGCTGACGCCGCCGCCGCCGCCTCGCCGCTGGCCCTCGAAGTAGATAGTAGTCCAATAGTGACTTAGATAAGACCAATAGGATCTATGTAGTCCTGCTGCGTTCTAGGTAGACCAACACTCACTCAGTGAGCGAGGGCTGCACGTCAGGCCGGCGGCCCTCGCACGCGGCGCCGCTGACGCCGCCGCCGCCGCCGCGCCGCTGGCCCTCGAAGTAGGCGGCGCCGTGCCGGTAGCCCACCTCGCGGATCTCGTCGAAGGAACCGAACTGGAGCGTCTTGTAGTCTAGGGCTCTAAGTAGACCAACTAGGACGCTGAGTAGACCACTTGCGACTTACAGTAGACCAATAGACTCTATGTAAACCTACTGGAATTCTGGGTAGACCAACCAACCGGGACACTAAGTAGACCATCTGTCACTCTGGGTAGTTCAAATGTTCTTTAGACCACTTAACTGTCTATTTGGACCCTGCAACTGACGCTGAGTAGACCATCTGTAACTCTGGGTAGTTCAACTGTTCTCTGGGTCTTCTAACTGTCGTTCTGGCTAAACCAAGGGGGCACTAAGTAGACCAATAGTCTATGAGGACTCACTCGGTCAGCGAGGGCTGCACGTCAGGCCGGCGGCCCTCGCACGCGGCGCCGCTGACGCCGCCGCCGCCGCCCCGCCGCTGGCCCTCGAAGTAGATACTAGTCCAAGAGCGACTTAGAGAAGACCAATAGGATCTATGTAGACCTGCAGGTGTTCTAAGTAGACCAAGACTCACTCAGTGAGCGAGGGCTGCACGTCAGGCCGCCGGCCCTCGCACGCGGCGCCGCTGACGCCGCCGCCGCCGCCCCGCCGCTGGCCCTCGAAGTAGATAGTAGTCCAGTAGCGACTTAGAGAAGACCAATAGGATCTATGTAGACCTGGTGTGTTCTAAGAAGACCAAGACTCAAAGTTGGCGGCGCCGTGCCGGTAGCCCACCTCGCGGATCTCGTCGATCTGGATTGAAGATTCTGGGTAGACCAACCGTGACGCTGAGTAGACCACCTATCATTCTGGGTAGTCCAACTGTTCTCTGGGTCTTCTTACTGTCGTTCTGGCTAAACCAAGAGGGCACTGAGTAGTCCAACTGGGGCTCTATGTAGACCAATAGACAGAACACTCACTCAGTGAGCGAGGGCTGCACGTCAGGCCGCCGGCCCTCGCACGCGGCGCCGCTGACGCCGCCGCCGCCGCCCCGCCGCTGGCCCTCGAAGTAGATAGTAGTCCAATAGCGACTTAGAGAAGACCGATAGACTCGTGTACACCTGGTGTGTTCTAAGAAGACCAAGACTCATAGTTGGCGGCGCCGTGCCGGTAGCCCACCTCGCGGATCTCGTCGATCTGGATTGAAGATTCTGGGTAGACCAACCGTGACGCTGAGTAGACCATCTGTCACTCTGGGTAGTCCAACTGTTCTCTGGGTCTTCTAACTTATCACTTTGGCTAAATCAAGGGGGCACTAAGTAGTCCAACTGGGGCTCTAAGTAGACCAATAGACTATGACGACTCACTCAGTGAGCGAGGGCTGCACGTCAGGCCGCCGGCCCTCGCACGCGGCGCCGCTGACGCCGCCGCCGCCGCCCCGCCGCTGGCCCTCGAAGTAGGCGGCGCCGTGCCGGTAGCCCACCTCGCGGATCTCGTCGAAGGAACCGAACTGGAGCGTCTTGTAGTCTAGGGCTCTAAGTAGACCGACTAGGACGATGAGTAGACCATCTGTCACTCTGAGTAGTCCAACTGTTCTCTGGACCATTTAACTGTCTCTTTGGACCCTGCGACTGACCCTGAGTATACCAACTGTTACTCTAAGACAAGGATAGACCACTTGCGACTTAGAGTAGACCATTAGAATCTATGTAAACCTACTGGGATTCTGGGTAGACCAACCGAGACACTAAGTACACCATCTGTCACTCTGGGTAGTCCAACTGTTCTCTGGGTCTTCTAACAGTAGCCCACCTCGTGGATTTCATCGAAGGACCCGAACTGGAGGGTTTTGTAGTCTGGGGCTCACTAGTCCAAGAGCGACTTTGAGAAGACCTATAAATAGACCTGGTGTGTTTTAAGTAGACCAAGACTCACTCAGTGAGCGAAGGCTGCACGTCAGGCCGGCGGCCCTCGCACGCGGCGCCGCTGACGCCGCCGCCGCCGCCCCGCCGCTGGCCCTCGAAGTAGATACTAGTCCAAGAGCGACTTAGAGAAGACCAATAGGATCTATGTAAACCTTCTGGGTAGACCAACCGTGACGCTGAGTAGACGATATATCACTGGGTGTTCTCTGGGTCTTCTAACTGTCGTTCTGGCTAAACCAAGGGGGCAATGAGTAGACCGTCTGTTACGCTGGGTAGTCCGACTGTCACGCTGGTCCTTGCAACTGACCCTGAGCAGGCCAAATGTTACTCTGGGTCATTCAGGATAGACCTAGTAGGAGTAAGACTCACTCAGTGAGCGAGGGCTGCACGTCAGGCCGGCGGCCCTCGCACGCGGCGCCGCTGACGCCGCCGCCGCCGCCGCGCCGCTGGCCCTCGAAGTAGGCGGCGCCGTGCCGGTAGCCCACCTCGCGGATCTCGTCGAAGGACCCAACTGGAGCGTCTTGTAGTTTAGGGCTCTAAGTAGACCGACTAGGACGATGGATAGACCACTTGCGACTTAAGAGTAGACCAATAGAATTTATGTAGACCTACTGGGATTCTGGGTAGACCAACCGTGACGCTGAGTAGACCGTCTGTCACTCTGGGTAGTTCAAATGTTCTTTAGACAACTTAACTGTCCATTTGGACCCTGTAACTGACCCTGAATAAACCAACTGTTACTCTGGGACAAGGATAGACCACTTGCGACTTAGAGTAGACCATTAGAATCTATGTAAACCTACTGGGATTCTGGGTAGACCAACCGAGACACTAAGTACACCATCTGTCACTCTGGGTAGTCCAACTGTTCTCTGGGTCTTCTAACAGTAGCCCACCTCGTGGATCTCATCGAAGGACCCGAACTGGAGGGTTTTGTAGTCTGGGGCTCACTAGTCCAAGAGCGACTTTGAGAAGACCTATAAATAGACCTGGTGTGTTTTAAGTAGACCAAGACTCACTCAGTGAGCGCAGGATCATTCAGGATAGACCTAGTAGGAGTAAGACTCACTCAGTGAGCGAGGGCTGCACGTCAGGCCGGCGGCCCTCGCACGCGGCGCCGCTGACGCCGCCGCCGCCGCCGCGCCGCTGGCCCTCGAAGTAGGCGGCGCCGTGCCGGTAGCCCACCTCGCGGATCTCGTCGAAGGAACCGAACTGGAGGGTCTGGTAGTCTAGGGCTCTAAGTAGACCGACTAGGACGCTGAGTAGACAATTTGCGACTTACAGTAGACCAATAGACTTTATGTAAACCTACTGGAATTCTGGGTAGACCAACCAACCGGGACACTAAGTAGACCATCTGTCACTCTGGGTAGTTCAAATGTTCTTTAGACCACTTAACTGACTATTTGGACCCTGCAACTGACGCTGAGTAGACCACCTGTAACTCTGGGTAGTTCAACTGTTCTCTGGGTCTTCTAACTGTCGTTCTGGCTAAACCAAGAGGGCACTGAGTAGACCAACTGGGGCACTGGGTAGACCATCTGCGACTAAGACTAGACAATAGACTCTAAGTAGACCTTCTAGGATCCTGAGTAGAAAAATGAGTAGACCAGCTGCTACTACGGGTAATCCAACAGTTACTCTGAGTCATCCAGGTCACTATCACTCAGGAGAGACCTAGTAGGAGTAAGACTCACTCAGTGAGCGAAGGCTGCACGTCAGGCCGGCGGCCCTCGCACGCGGCGCCGCTGACGCCGCCGCCGCCGCCGCGCCGCTGGCCCTCGAAGTAGGCGGCGCCGTGCCGGTAGCCCACCTCGCGGATCTCGTCGAAGGAACCGAACTGGAGCGTCTTGTACGCGTCGATTGGGGGTCGAATGTACTCGCAGTAGTCGGATTTTTTCACTTCCTGCATAGAAACAAACAGATAATGTATTGTACACATTGTACACACAATTTATTAAGACCATAACTCGCTAGAGCTTATACAGTCAGTGCCCGAGGTATGGGAGCGCCACGAAAAGGGTAACATTGACAACGACATGAAAGAGCATATAAATCTGAAGTCTCGTCGACTTTTGACCGTCACAAAAACACCCTCCCATGCCCCTCAGGAGCTGACTGAGTTAAGCGCTAAATGTATAGATTGGCACGTATAGGTGGCCATATCGGTATTTTTATCATAGAATTATAATAAATACGGAAGAAGGCAAGAGTTCACCAACCTGGCCTTAATCAATTTTCCTATAATTTTTTATCAAGTCTGTAACGGACCGAGTACTAGAAATAATTAACTTAATTAATTAAAAGAATAAGAGATATTGAAATACACTGTATATCTGTGCATACCTCTAATTGTCTGTTGCAAGACACGTAAGCAAGTCTACTTTGGATATCAGGCAAGTTTGGCACTTTCACTGGAGTCGTGAATGGGTTCCATCTGAAATGATAATGATTTTGCTTTATATAGGCATGACAAACTGCAGGATTTTTAAATGATTGCAAGATAAAATCGCAACAGAATCGCGGAATTTGTCCCTCGCAGCGCAAAGCTTAATGTTTTGAATTATGTAATTAAATATTCCAATAATGAATGAAATCTGATTGTTTATTCAAAACATTTCTTCAGATTTCATTCATTATTGGAGAATGAAATCTGACTGGTTATTCAGAACATTTCTCCGCTCCGCCTTGGTGGTAACCAAGCCCAAGTCTGGGGGAACCTCCAGGCCAACCAACCTTCCAAAGTTCTTATATTTACCTCTTCCACAGTAACCACCAGCCGGACAGGTCGTCTCCGTAGTTGGTCAGGTCCACGTCATCCTGGGAGCCCACGTCAATCGCCAAGATGTGCTTAGCGCCCAAAGACCTCATGACATCCGCTGAAAACGGAATAAATGCAATAAAATCCTCAAAAATTAAAGTCAAAGAAATCAAAAGGTAAACAGAGTGTGAGTTTACATCAAACAGTACAGCGCGTACTACGAGGGCGGCACTGAAAATTTCGGGAATCAAGGAAGTGAAACAACATTACTATTTAAAAATGTATTTATTGCTTTTTAAAGTATTCTCCGCGAAATTTGACACATTTTTCCATACACGAAACCAATCATTGAAGCAACCATTGCATTCGGAAGTTTGGGTCTCCAAAATGGCCGTTTTGTAGGCTTCCACAGCTTCTTCAGGTGATGAAAATCTCTGACCACGCAATTTATTCTTTATTTAAGGGAAAGTATAGAAATCATTAGGGCTTAGGTCGAGGCTGTACGGCGGATGGACTAATAATTCTATGTTTTCTTGCTCTAAAAACTCCTTTGTTCAGTGCGCGGTGTGAGAACTCGCATTGTCGTGATGGAGGATGATGCGGCGGTTGCAGTTCTCTTTACGGAGTTCAGAAACGACCTGTGGCAAACAAATGCTAGCATACTAATCTGCATTAACCGTTCTTTGTCCCCCAAGAGGAATAGTCGCAACATGGCCGGTTTTGGAGACAAACGTGGCCACCATTTTTTTTGCAACACTCCGTGAACGAACAATTTTTGTTGGCTTTAATTCATTTTCGAACACCCAAACTCGTGACTGGTTTTTTGTTTCGGGTTCGTACGCGTATATCCATGATTCGTCACCTGATACGATGTTGTATACAGCATTTGAGGATCCTGCATGTAATCTCCCGAGAGTTCTGACGCACCAAGTAACGCGAGCTGCTTTTTGCTCTTCACAGAGCGAATGCGGTATCCATCGGGAAAACAACTTTTTTACACCTAATTGTTCATGCAAGATTATTTGTATTTGACTCATGCCAATGTCTAAAGTTGCCTGAATTTCGCGGTATATCACATGTCGATCTTCTTCAATCAGCTTACGCACAGCATCAACGTTTTCTTAGGTGACTGCAGTTTTTGGACGACCTTGACGGGGATCATCACTGAGCTTGACACGTCCACGTTGAAATTCAGGAAACTAGCGATAAATTGTGGTTTTGGATGGGGCTTCATTACCAAATGCAGAAATCATCCGGTCAACACACTGTTTTTGTGTTAAACCACTTCAAAAGTCATAATAAATCATCGCTCTTGAATTTTCTCGAGTCAATTCCATTTTCTCAACGACTAAACAAGTTTGACAAGACCTTGTGATACGACCGAGAATCTTTTTTTAAATAAATAAATGGTATACGATTTTTAAAACCCTGGACTTTGCAATTAAATAGATTTTAATATGACTGGAACAGTGGAAATATTCCATTCCCGATACTTTTAGTGCAGCCCTCGTAGCGGATACTTTCAAAATCTAAAATATTCAAACATTTTTTAAACGCACTCACACTCACTAGTGACGACGTTATTTGATGTAAACTCGCAATCGGAGGGCAGTAGTCAATGGAAAGAATTTATTGATTTTATAAATCTTTTGGTGATTTATGATACTCATTATTATTGCTAAGAACCTAAGATACCACTGTTTCGAATCGTCACCATACTGGAATTGAATGCATTCAAATACCTTCGTTTCTTTTCAGCACTGCCCATATAACCAAAAGCATCAAGTTAACATTTTTGTTGCGGAATAGCCAGTGCTTAGCATGTGCTGCTGTTGTTTATAGACTCAAACTCAATGGTGTGCATTGTATACTGTTTACTAGTGGACTGACGTATGATGATATTACTGATCGTCACTTACAATTTTCCACCTTTCTTCGGGGTCGAACCAAGGAACCAATAGTTGCAAGCTTCCACTCAAATTGTTTACTCCAGTTCAGATCCAAGAGCACTAAATATTACTTAAATATTAAGCCACATGCACACTAAACCTATTGTCAGCAGAAAATGAGCAGGCTCACTAAAAACATCTCTGATGGGAATAAAAGATATACAGAGTAATTCTTTCACATTTCACCAAAAATAGGTAAACTTTTGTTACATTGGTAAACGCGTTGAAAAAACATATTAGATTTTTTTTGTTGCAAAATCACACCTACATAAGATGCCACGGTCTTTTTGGAAGTGAGCAGTGAACGTCACTAGGCTAAAACAAAGATGCCACAGTCCTTTAATTCGCTGCGTTACAGCCTCTCACAATCAACCTCTGCCAATACGTTTAGTGCGCACGCGTCTTTAAAACAAAAACATACAACAAACCTGGCACATTATTCGTGTAGCATCCATCTAGCAGGAGGTGTCCGTCCATCGGGTCGCAAATCGGCGGGAAGATTCCCGCGATGCTCATAGACGCTCGACAGTACCGCCAGAGCATACCTGCGTTTCGTTTCGCGCGCCATCACTTACCCGCAGGCGAAACCGAGTGTAAATATACGTGCGTATAATCATATAAAAGTGGTGATTGTCATTTTACGTCTAAAAGTGGTACGTGATTGTCAATGTGGGTACGATTACGGGATATAGGTGAAGAAAATTGGATGCGTTTAGGCGATGCTGGAATAGAGGGCGCCACGGTATGACCTAGCTTAAACAAAAATGCGCTTTCCTTCCAAGTTGTATTGCAATTTTCAGATCACCGTCGGTAGTGACGATGACGAAAAAGTATGAATGATTCAAAATTTCACTTTCACTGTAGCAGCAAAAATATTCATAGAAAGATTAGGACGTTTTTTTTTTCACACCAAGTGAAAAGCAGATAACGAAAGAATTTTGATGCTACCATCTTATGCTTCAGACAGTTGAATAACTTTGCTGCATTCTGGATAGCATAATTTGACCAGTCAAAACAATAATGATGTGTTAATTATCAGGTTTAATGAAATGTCAATCTAGAAGCAGTGACGTAGCGAAAGGCAAAATGCAAACCGCAATGCCGTAACACGCAGCAGGAAATATTTCGCAAATTATCGAATGTTGGTGAAGATTAAAATACCTGTAACATGGAAAAGTTGCACCTAGTCAGCAACTGCAAAGAACTTATGCATAATATGGATGGTGCTAATGCCCGCAGCTGGATGGTAATCACTGAAGTATGATCAAAATCGTTATGAACATTTTAGATTAGCCAAGGACCGTGCTAGTACATAATAATATGCTTAGGTTAGACCTTAATGCAGCTGTGCATTTTGATCAGATGATGTATAAATTAATACTATAGAAAAGCCCATCTAAGCTTACCTCGAAACATTATCCAAAGTGATAGCGAAATTATACACCTTTGTGAAGAAAAGAAAAATCGTCTGGATCAATGTCCTACACGCTATTAGTACGTCCTATCTCAGCCCCTGAAAACTATACTAATATTCTCCTAAAATGACGATGAGCCAACTTCAAAGCATGAATATAGGTGTCAATCAACGTCCAAAGATTGTCCAAGTCATGGGTAGCTCAATAATGAGGGATGAAGTAAAGCCGCGTTTTTCAATTCACCACAACCTTCTTGCACCTTTCAATATAACAAATAGCTACGTGGTCTTAAAAATCAGATGTATTGTGAAATATTGCGTAGTGCTCTAAAAATGAAATCACTAAAACCGGTGCGTAACGTTCTAAATCGCCAAAATTTCCGTTGAACAGTAAAAGATCCCCACATCGACAAATCAAGGTATTTCCTAAACCAATCTACAATATTTACACTCAGCCTACACCGTGCAGCGGCCGTCGCGACATTCGCTCGACCAAGTGCTTTGTGATTGGTTTACCTGGCAGATTGTTGACGTAACCGCCGTCCAATAATAGGTGGCCGTCTACAGGGTCGCAGAGTGGGGGCATGTATCCGCTCAACGACATCGAGGCGCGAATGTAACGCCAGAGCGAACCTGCGACGCGCGAATACGTTAGACATCATGTACGTTCTCTGTGGGCTGGGTAGAGTGGACACCCTAGTCGATTGTCATTTTTTATGAGCTGTCAAAATGCAATTTTGGATGGCGATGGGGACTTTGTATGACGTCATTAGGTCGCGAACTCAATTGACCGACAATTTATTGGTTTCAAAGCTACTAAAAATGTAATTTTCCAATTAAAGGGCTAGAATGAAATATTTTGATAAAGAAGTTATAGTGTAATATTTTTTATTTATGTCAACTAATTTTTATTTTTCAAATAAATCATCGATACCACCAGATATAAAATTACATGAACGCTTGAATGAGCAAATGGGTAACACTTATCAAGATTCTATGAATTCGCAATTCATGCCACATTGTTTCAATATGTCCTATATCCAAACACATAATCCCAGAAAATGTATGATGCTTCAACCAAATGTATTAGAAATTGCATAAAATTAGTTTAGAGACAGAAATGCGGCAACACCAGGTTTTATTCGTTGCCCGTAGTATGTTGATGTGGCAATACTAAAAAGAGTTTCTGTGGATAATTTACACCAGTGCTGCAGTGTGAGTTAGATTAGACAACACAGTCCATGGAAAGGAAATGTGAAGATGCCATCCCATAGATTTGTGTTTTGTCATTCGGGAGGTTTACCGACCCAAAACTATTTTATTTTCTTATAGCTACGGCGACACAGGTAAGTATTTTATTAATGGACTTATATTACGATGAGGATAGTCGCTACAGTATTTCTACATGCATCATGCTAATGGAATTACTCGATTCTGTTAAGATCGCAACAGAAGCGCATACTATACTTCTAAAATTGATTCCCTCTGAGCACAGCAAAGACTATGCGGATTTTTCAATTTTAGTGAGTGAAAATCAAGTTAGATATGTGAAATGCTTCGATTCGAATCTATACAAGTATTATTGTCAAATCTAACACCAGATTGATAAGATGGACTATATCCCAAAGTTAAATTAACACGTCAAAACTTTGTAAAAGACGAAAAGAAAAAAGATATTGGAAATAACATTAATTACGTTAATTAGCTAAAATATGCCAATAAAAAACAAGTCATTTACTGAACCAAGCAGGAACAAAACTCGAGAGAAGACAGATACACCAAACCTTTTTAGGATTCCGTAGTCCTGATAAGGAACCCTTATATTTAGTAGAAGTTAAAGAATTCAAAATCCAAACAGTAAAAACAGATTTGAATTGTTTCTTTAATATAATGTTAACACGCCTTTTACCGCATTTATAATTCCCAAAATTATTAATAAACTACAAGCAAAAGCGTTCAAACTCGTGCGCACATCTATTGCGATCCAAAACAGAAAACTAAGATGGCGATATGGTGGGAAAGATCAACGTAACATAAAGATGAAACTAAAAACCACACTCATGCATATACATGAAGAAAATGGAAATAAGATACTGATGATGTGGATGAAATGTATGAGATACGACCAATACATACACCATTTGATACTCGCATCCAACCCGACATTGTAACGTACCGATTTTAAATTTTCAAATATGGAACTGTCAAGCGTTATTCGGTAAACCAATCACAAGCGCTCAATTTTTTTTTTAGGTAAGTAATGGCAACCCAAAGCAAATGTCGGATTCGTAAGAATTTTTTGATTATAAAAATAGCGATTAGAAATACAGGGGGTGTGGCAACACCGAGTGAGGGACGACATAAACAAATACATATTTTTGTAAATACATATCTTATTTGACACGAACGTACACGTTGATTCATACAAACACATATAAATGCAAGTGAGTGTGGTTGTAAAAGGATTAAACAAAACACTGTAGCGGATAAATAAAAACGATAAATAAATAGCATAACCTAAAAATGTCACGTCATACGAGAGAGACAGTTGAATGAATTAGAACGAGACGGGAATATCTCTGGTCTCTGATAATTTAATTATGACGCAACATCAGTATCGTAGCCACCATAGATATCAAAAATCGTATGATGGCATAGACAAATCCGCAAAATGAAAACATAAAAAACAACATACGAGCTTCAACATCGTTTCATGAAGCTGTGGATGATACTGACACACAAACATTAAATATTTCAATATCAAATACCTCGTCATATCTGGTCAGCAGATTGGGAGGCAAAAATCGTATATTATTTACTACATATTACGTGACATTTACCATGCATGTTGACGTCATACTTTTACAGATTCACAACAAAAGTAAGTCTTATTACACCAACAAGGAAAGTTCAATTTCCATTGCATATTGGACGTCACCAAAAATATATTTTACGAAGCAAAAAATATCTTTGGGTTAGTAAAGTGCAAATGAAGCTTTAAAACGGTTACTTAAAATAAAACACATAAAATTTCCTGTCCATGATTGTGTTGTGTTAGATTTTATATGACTTTTTCATATAATACACATAGATATAATATGTATAAGTTGTGTAACACATAAACTGTTAATTGTTAGAATAACAATTCTGTAAAATCGTCCAAAACTTTTGTATTTTATATATTTTTTGAAGACACTAAAAAGTGTAGAAGTCAGACAAGAATTTTGTATCAAATAAGTATTATGAATCTACTATCAAACTTAGATTCAAGGGAAAAATAGTAATTATCTATATTGAAGTATACTATGAACCGTGAAGTATATTTCGTGTTGAAACACAAAATTCTTGACCAACTCCACACTAAGTTGATCCGAAGTGTGTAATCGCCCTTAGGCATTAGTTGCACCGCCGATGAGAAAGCGACTATCAACTATTTTTTTGCTCAAGAAACGTGCAATAGACTCTGATGTAGGTCATGAGTCAATAAGGGTTCATCCATAAAGTACGTCACATGTAAAGAGGGGGGGAGGGGGTCGACAAAGTGTGACATGGTGTGACAAGGGGTGGGAGGGGTCCTAAGTTTCGTGACATCACATTTCAAAATCTAATATATCTAGAGGTACTAATCGCGTAATTTGAAATATAAATTAAACTAAAAAATACCCCACCACTTAAGCACAACTCCGTCGAAGTCGAAAACCTACGAGAGTCTTAATGGGCAACCAATGAAGCCATTAAATCAATAAAATCTTTTGAAGGAATTATTTCAGATTTAAAATCTAATTCTGGCCTATAATGCCGCCAAACGCACCATACCTCGCGCGTGATTTTATTGTTTCTATTTGTTGCTATTTTTTTTTTAATTTAATAATTTTTCAATGTGAAATTGCAAAACATGTGACGTCACACTAGGGAGGGGGGGGTCTCAGAAATGTGACCACCTGTGACAAGGACGGGGGAGGGGTAAAAAAATCATGGAATTCGTGTGACGTACTTTATGGATGGCCCCTAAGAGACATTTTTTTACCTTTCCTTATCCATATTTTATTAGAAATAACGATATTTTATACCATACAATTGAAATTTTTCACGATACCGGCAAAGAGTAGTTTGTAACATAGCTGAAACGTTAAGCTGTAAGTACTCATGTACTACAGTCAACGTCAAATATTTCGTGACACCCAAAGTGGCCCAAAAGTTGACAACACAACCTTATTCCAATGAGGGTTTTCGCGAATGAAAAATCCGCCAGATGGCAATACGTAGACGCGAGGTCCAAATGCTGCATGATTGGCTATTTTTGACATGACATTGACAGATATGTCAAAATCCACCAATCACGCAGCAGTCAGACCCCACATCCACGTCCCGCCATCTAGCGGATCTTTCATACGCGAAAACCCTAATTGTAACAAGACGTGTTGCGAACTTTAGGCAACTTTGAGTGTCAGTCACGAACTATTTGACGCTGACAGTAGATTGCTGATAGTAGTTTTTTTTTTTGCATAACAAGGCAGGTATTTGACCACAATTGCACCTGGTGTTAAGTGGGATGCAGTCTAGGATGTATCTGCTCTGTTATCGACTATTCACTCTGAGCTTGAAAAGACCTGGTTTATAGTCTTCGGGAAAGAATAGTTGATATAGTCTGGTCTGCAAGCCGTAGAATTTTGTCCAATGACCCCAAGCTACCCATCCTTATTCCTCGCGCGTAATTAGGTTGCTGTCGCGCTCGCACACTCACTGCGGGTGCCCGTCGTACAGTCGCGACAGCAATATAATTACGCGCGTACGATAAGGATGGGTAGCTTGGGGTCATTGGACAAAATTCTACGTGCTCGCAGACCGGGCTTTAGTGACTATTCACTCTCGCCTTGAAAAGGCCCGGTTTATAGTCTTCGGGAAAGAATAGTTGATAGTCATTTGTTTTCTCTTCAGCGATGAACTTGTCACACTTAAAAATGGCGGAATTTAGACTAGGCGCAGACCACCGATTTTTAGTTGGCCGATAGTTGTGTCCGATTTTAAATGAATCGGCCAAATCAAATCGGTGTAATGTGCGCACTTCCATACATGCCCATACTGATCAACTGCTCGACTAAACTATCGGCCGACGAAAAATCAATGGTCTGCGAATAGGCTTAAGCTTCATTCTTCACTCACCATGTCGATGCACCCTCATGCAACTGGCACTTATATCGGTGGTCACAGTGAAGTAAGGAAGCCATAGGTCTTCAATGTGCACTTCCCCGAAGGTCGACCGGATGGTTGTGTTGAACTGACGCCCAGAGAACATTGAGGTTGCTGGGTAGGTCAGGTCTAGAAGCTGCTTGCCCCATTGGGTCATTTTCTGGTGAAGATAAGAAGTTTAGTAGAGGTTTCGTAGGATGAAAAGAAGTTTGGCAGAAAAGTTTTGATATAAAATATCATTTAGAAGACAGTAGTAACGGGACTATTCACACCTCTTATTCCCACAGCCGCAACTCCTGTGTAGCCAGGATCTACAGCTTGACCGCCCATAAAAACCTAACCAGTGAAGGTCAAGTTTGTCCCGGGGAAAAGTTAAACTGTCATTGGACTCGAAACGAAATTAACCAGAACATAGGAGGAGTTCGAAGTCAAGGTTCGACTTCCCTCCAGTGCAAAGCGGATGACAGAAGACAGTAAGGCCTCTCCCACACTAGCGTCTTTGATACGTGATTATTTACAGGAATACAGGAATTTATTATTCGTAGTTCAGGCACATATGTAATTTTACCTAACATATTTTAAGATTAGTCTATTGTTAAAAACTGTTAAACTTCATGTTTATTTATTCATTTCATCAGCGCCTGCGCAGCGACAATACAGGACCACCGACTCTCTTTAAACTAAATAACGCGAAGCCAGCGCTGAGTAAATACGGCATTGAGCCAGCTAATGGCGAAAATGGTTCTTGAAAACTAGCAATAGTTTGATTAAGGTAAGTTTAGTAGCATGGGGGGTAAATCGCCCTGGGTGCCAACTGCCATCCCATGCTACGCCGCCACTGGGTAAGATAATAACTAATCAATGATTAGTGTCAGTTTTACCTGCGACCACTCGCGGGCCTTTTGCGTGACAGTGGTAATGTTCCTCTCCATACACCAGAGAGCACCCATGAACGCGCCAATACTGACTCCGCCCACCATGTCTATAGGAATCCCAGCCTCCTGGAAAAAGCAAAGGCGAAATATGTGATATTTCAAATCAAAAACTGCAAACAAAAAATTGCCATTGGAATTTGCATGGTTATTATTTTCCAGGTTTTCTGCAAATTGTTGGTCTACCGAATGGGAAGCCTGTCTACACTACGTATTTCGCTCCGTGGTAGCCACTCGAGAATTTTGTCCCAACTGCCATCAATTCAACGAGCCCCAATATGTGCCCCGCTCATTGCCACTTAAATATGCCAATTCTGCAGCGTGTCTCGCTACCATGTGAGTACATACACAAATACGTATTGTGCCATCTTCGTCGGGGTCACCAATTTGTGCCATGGTAGGGGACCGTATGAATGAGACAACAGTTGGTATTAGTCTCTGATATTAATCTGTTTATTGATGTGAACTGCGTGACTATTTATACGATATAGTACAAAGGTGAATGACGTCACAGCATCAGCACTATAAGTGATAAATGTGCTGACACTGTGAACGTGATCAAGATAAAATATGAAGAGATTAAGTATTGTGCATACCGGCACACGTATCATCATCATCAGACATTTAATTCCCACTGCAGAAGACGACCCCTTCTAATTTACCAGAGAAGTATATACTTTACATTTATTTAATCACTCGTTCTTTACCTCGTTCATTATGACTGTTATATCAATGACAAGTCACTGACCTGTATAGCTCTGATCATTCCCACGTGTGCCGCTCCCCGCGCGCCGCCGCCGCCGAGTACCAGCCCTACTGACGTGCCGGTCAGCCATCTTGCCAAACGGGAGAAGTCGGAATGCACGCTCGCTTCTGACATCAGCATACACGTCACAGACTTCTTCTTCTCAGTCGGTACACTCTTGTCAGAGTGGTCGTGGTCATCATTGTGAATCACGATGAGTGATGTTCCTCGCAATACAGCGCCATTCCTCGCGGACTGCAGCTTTCCAGTCACTTTCGCTAACCGAACACTTAGTTGCGGCCTTGATCTCAGACTTACTTGATCTTTGGTCACAGACTTACTACTGGAAGACGTAGTGTGGGCAAGTCTCCCACTTGGTGGACTGACGATCTAATAAAGATCGCGGGAAGCATCTGGACGCGGCCAGCGCATAAACTTTCGTTATGGAAATGAGGGTTTTCGCGAATGAAAAATCCGCCAGATGGCAATACGTAGACGCGAGGTCCAAATGCTGCATGATTGGTTATTTTTGACATGACATTGACAGATATGTCAAAATCCACCAATCACGCAGCAGTCAGACCCCACATCCACGTCCCGCCATCTAGCGGATCTTTCATTCGCGAAAACCCTCATTCTTGGAAGTCCTTTGAAAGGAACCTGAATAGATACACGTCACTGACCTGTATAGCTCTGATCATTCCCACGTGTGCCGCTCCCCGCGCTCCGCCGCCGCCGAGTACCAGCCCTACTGACGTGCCCGTCAGCCATCTTGCCAAACGGGAGAAGTCAGAATGCACGCTCGCTTCTGACATCAGCACTTTGCTGTACAGCTCGCTCTGAAATTAATAACAATGAGTCAATCTGAGTGTCAGAACACATTTGAGTAGATTGGCGACGTAAGGCGCTACGTCGCACAAAGCTCGCTGTAGTGCCGCCCTAATGGGATTCTCGCTGCAAAATTTATAAAATAATGTTTTCACGCTTTGTAACAGGCTGTGCAGCGCTGTTGAACTGCCATTTAAACTTTATAGATTAAACTCGTAAAACCAACTCCTTTATTGTCACCGGCGAGGTCAGCGCTATCCGCCACGACTGGCGGCGCGTCATCAGTGAGCTACTCATGATGCGGTACTAGCTCTTGCGGTAAACCCAGCGTCAAATAGTTCGTGACACTCAAAGTGGCTAAAAAGTTGACAACATAAGGGGCCGTCCATATATTACGTCATTCTAAATTAGGGGGGGGGGGTTGGTCTGCGGATGACGGTAAATGATAGATAGGGGGGGGGGTTTCGAAATTGACGTCATTCTTATTTATTTATTTATAATTTATTGTTCACGTACAAAAAGAAATTTCTTCCAGTAAGTGAGACTGCAAATGTGAGAGGCGGCTAAGGCGCGTACAATACTAAAATAACTCATAATAAACATACAAAAAAAAAGGTGATTCTATAACCAAGTGTTTTAATCATATAATACCCTATTTTTCTCAAATCTGCAATGTTTTAATTTTGTCAAACTGGTAATGACGTCAATTTTGGGAGAAGGGGGGGGGGTAAATTGGGGGGGGGGGGTTGGTCTGCGGATGACGGTAAATGATAGATAGGGGGGGGTGTTTCGAAATTGACGTCATTCTTATTTATTTATTTATAATTTATTGTTCACGTACAAAAAGAAATTTCTTCCAGTAAGTGAGACTGCAAATGTGAGAGGCGGCTAAGGCGCGTACAATACTAAAATAACTCATAATAAACATACAAAAAAAAAGGTGATTCTATAACCAAGTGTTTTAATCATATAATACCCTATTTTTCTCAAATCTGCAATGTTTTAATTTTGTCAAACTGGTAATGACGTCAATTTTGGGAGAAGGGGGGGGGTCATTAAGAAATGACGATATAGGATGGTTGTAGGGGGGGGGGGTCTAAAATCTGAAAAAATCGATGACGTAATTTATGGACGGCCCCTAACCTTATTCCAACAAAGACGTGTTGCAAACTTTTTGGCTACTTTGGGTGTTACGAACTACTTAGACTGAGTTGCACCACCTTATTTTAACCGTAACAATAATTTAAACGGACTTTTTCAACGTAACTTTTTGTATGGAGTTTAGCAGATTTCTAACGTTTGTCAAAGTTAAAGTAAGATGGTGCAACTAACGCCTAACTGTAGGATCTACTCACGATGCGGTACTGGCTCTCACGAGGCGGCGAGCTACTCACGAGGCGGCGAGCTACTCACGAGGCGGCGAGCTACTCACGAGGCGGCGAGCTACTCACGAGGCGGCGAGCTACTCACGAGGCGGCGAGCTACTCACGAGGCGGCGAGCTACTCACGATGCGGTACTGGCTCTTGCGCGTGAACATGCGGTGCGGGCAGCGCACGTGGTGGTGCTGGCTGACCCACGAGCGCATGTTGAGCCAGTGCACAGTGCCCGCGGGGTTGGCGCCTCCTTCGCGGTGTAGTAGCACAAGTTCTTTCTGTGTACGGATCGCGAGACGCTCGATCTCTTTCTCGATCTGAAATGGGAATGGTAGGTGTTTTAAGTCGTTTCGTCGGGACAGATAACATTGTAATTTAGTAGCCTTCTTAGCCTTGTATCCTCGGCTTCACTCAGGATTTTAATAAAAGTAATCTACCGGGCTAGGATGCGCGCCGTGATATAGAAAGAAAGAAAGAAAAAATGTTTATTCAGTATCATCGACAATACACTTAACTTACAACAATACTTAAAAAAATATTTAACGAGTAGGTAATTACAATGATACTGAAAAGGTATCCATCCACTCAGCATGGTGTCGTAGCATCTCAGTAGATAATGCCACGACGCTGGGTCTTCCGTGGATATCTAGACTTATGGACGTGAAAATGTATAGGCAAAATCGATAAAATGGCGTGACAACCGCTTGTCGCGGCACGCTTCCTAAGCCTACTGACTAGTGATTGCTTATGCACAATTTTGGCTAGTAATCTGTATACTAAAAAAAATAATTAGGTACATAGTTAAAACTAAAAAAAGATACATTGCATAACGTCAAAAAGCTGTGCATTTATTACCTTCCCAATACTAGGCTGCTTGTCGCCTAACGCCACAATCAAGATGCAGTCAGCTTGGCGGATACATCGTTGGGTCCACTGTGTAAGGCTGGGATCACACTGGTATAATGCCACCTGTAATTTGACGTAAGCAAGTCATTTAGGTGGACCGACGACCTCATAAAGGTAGCGGGAAGGCGCTGGATGCAGACCGCTACCAACCGGCCATTGTGGAAATCATTGGGGGAGGACTATGTTCAGCAGTGGACGTCCTATGGCTGAAATGATGAAGATGATGATGAAGTAATGCTTTTTGAATACGAGACAATTCCCACCTGTCGTTCCCACCGCTGCAACTCCTGTGTAGCCGGGAACTACAGCTACCTAAACTACCGCCAATAAAACCCCAACCAGTGAAGGTCAAGTTTGTCCCGGGGGAAAGTTAAACTGTCATTGCACCCGCAACGAAATTAATCAGAAGAACATAGGAGGAGTTCGAAGTTAAGGTTCGATTTTTCGAATAAAATGATACTGTATGAATCCTCACAAAATCTTTATAATAGTAATAAAAAAGTAGATATTAGTATGTTACCTTGTGTTTATCTTCTTGCTGCGCCAACCAAGAGCTGAGTCGATACTCGTTGTTTGGATCCATGATAGTGAGCCCGAGAAGTTTCCTTATGACGTCCGAAGTCAAACGCACCGTGGGGCCTAATCAGAAATCTTAGTTGTAGTTGAAATTCGTCGCATGAAAATAGTAACGGCCAATAAAAGGTTACATACGGTCATATACGGACGGCCTTATTATAAAAAACAAATATAAAATAGGCTAGATGACAAAATTTCAATTATTTGTCCGTCAGACAGATAATTAGAAAATTTAAGACTCATATATTTTTTATTTTCTTTCATAATTTAATAATAACAGTGCTACATCGAGTTGAAATGGCGCGTTACGTCACGCTTGAGTAGAATTTTACTCAAAAGTGACGTCACGCGACATTTCAACTCAATATTGTACAACTGTAATTATTCGATTATGGAAAAAAATAAAAAATGAGTCTAATATTTTCTTATTCTCTGTCTGACGGACTAAATAGAATTTCGATTTCATTACCCAGTCATCATCCCTATTAAAGAGGTTCAAAATGTAGTAAAAGAGCATAATGTGACACAACGCCAGCGAATGTTGTAGTCAACGATCTAGCAATCGTATCGTTTCACCGATAAAACGTTGACATTATTGATTTTCGCAACTTAGACCACGCCCACTTTGAAGCCATTTTAGTTCTAAAGTACTAACCAAAAGTCTTCCCTACATTTTCTCAAATCATTCTTCTCCTGATCAATTCAACTCGAAACGACTCAAACTCACCGATAGCGCACAGCGAATGATACAGCTCGTAAGTGAACGCGGTCAACGGCACGTCGTCGCTGACCGGTACCACGGCGACGGTTGAGAAATTATGCTGCGATGGCCGCGGGTCTATGGCGGCGGCCGCGCCCAGGCCGGCGGTCGGCTTTTGCCAGGAACCTGTAGATTTATACCGTTATGAGTAAATAAATCACCATCATCATTTGCTCCGCGGCATCCTTTTTGTATGAAGTTACTTCGCTCCGTGAAGCGATTATGAAATTATAACTTAAGCAGGCAGGGTGGAAAAAAAAATCATTATTTATTTATTCTAATAAAAAAAATCAGATTTTTTTTTTAAAAAATCGCGATTTTTTTTATTTATATTGATTTATTTGATTTTTATTACATTTTGCAATCATTGCCTTAGTTTTTCATGCGGAAAACATGTTCATTTAGGTACAACTGAAGTATAGTACTGGGAACAAGCCAAAAAAAGTAAATTGTGTAAGATAGTATGTCATATTTTTACTGAAATAAGAAAAAACTTTCGTCAAAAACAGCTCGTCTTAAGTGGTGTCCGTTTCCATTACAAAAACACGAATATCTTATTACAATTATCAATTATTATTTTTTCCCAAAAAAAAATCTATGGAAAAATATTTTTTTACCAATTTTTCATACAAAACGGCTATTTCACACTTGAACACCTAAATCAACATTGTTTTCGAACATTATAGTTGATTAATATGCACTTCCAGTGTTGCATTAATTCCATTTTCGGATATTGATTTAAATCAGTGATTTTTATTTAAAAAATCATGCAATAAAAATCGTGATTTGAATCAACTTGATTTAAATCATGCAACCCTGTAAGCAGGCCAGTCGAAAGTTACCGATGTTCGCTTTCGTTTCCGCCCGGCGGCGCTAATGTGGACGAAAGTCAAACAAATGTTAAGAAAACTGATTTACTTGTCAGTCTCACGTTTTCGAGGAGCACAGGCTTTCAGATTTGGATATGACACTAAGTTCTGCTATTGTGCTTTATTTTGTGTGCAATAAAGTCCAGTGAATATTGAGTAGTCCTGGAGAATACAAGGAATTCAAAATGTAATATGGATTTCCCTTCATTTCAACACAGATGACTGAAAGTAGTAAATCGCGACAGTTGACATGACTATTTTATAACTCACAGAATAGTAGTGCTTACCTAAAATCCTATGTCCCAGCAAGTTGATAAGCCGCGTCACTACCACCGGGAATCGAAGTTTGATCGCGTTGAACAAGCCCTCGGGCAGTTTGGCCAACTCCGAGTCTCGGACGGCCATCACGGTTGTACTGCGACGGGTTTGGGTCACCATTTCAACCTGGGAAAAAAAAACACTTTTAAATATCATTTACTTGACCTGTATCTCACCTTAAAAAAAGTGATGATCAGGCTGAAGGTGAAAGTGAACTTCACCCGGAATCCTACGTATAAAAGATCTGGCTATCTTACCCGTAACTGCCGAAACACAACAATGCTAGCTAGCGAACCACAAACCGAAAATAGCAGAAAATTTTGCCTCTTTCTGAACTTGGGATCTAGAGGTCCGAGATAGGTGGTTTTACCATGGCAAGGCACTTTTTACGCGTGATTGTACCCAATAGTTGCTATAATGCTATAAGGCCTCCGGCGCACTAGGCAGCCAATCGAACTTATGACGGTGTATGGGACTAAGCTGCCAAGAGTGTTTATATACCGGATTGTCTGCCCCTGGATAGTACGCGGGATCGCTAAATATAGCAACTTTGCTAAAGCTACAAAATGAGTAAATAAGTTTATTTGATTTATTTTATTTATAGTGTTGTAGGTAGATTAGACCGTGTGTACCTAACCTGAACCTAACTTCAGCCTAACGGTCGTTTAGGGTATTTAAATTAAACGCCGATAGAAACAACTAAATTACGTTATTATTTTGAACACAGATTTTTTACAGAGATAGAACAAGGTAGTAGGAAGTAAAAGTACTAGAAAACAGGTAGCAAGCAGAGAGGAAGAGAAAAGTTAAAGTTACAAGGCGAGAAGTAAGAAAATAGCAATTGAGCACTAGGAATCCTAGATTACGAGTTAGATTTCGCGGAGCGTGCGCGCGGCCTCTCTGCGTGGAAAGCAAAATCGGTCTGGTGAATCGAGAAAATCGATGATCCACGATTGAGCGCCGATGACGCCCGAAACACGAAGGTGAGCGAGGTATGCCGAGCGCGCCCGATGTCCGTGCCGGTGGCGCCGCGAGCGATTCGGTGGTATTTGAAGATGTATTCAAATATTACAGGTCACCGCTACAGTGTAAATGTGGTGTACTCACGATCCCCACCAGGTCGCCCTTGCCATACTCGCCGACCAGCTCCTTCTTGCCGTTGGGGTGCGTGATGACGGACCGCAGCCGGTCCAGCACTATGAAGGTGCCCCTGACTCTCCTGCTGCCTCTAGACACCTGCTGTGGTGCTGTGTACTCACGATCCCCACCAGGTCGCCCTTGCCATACTCGCCGACCAGCTCCTTCTTGCCGTTGGGGTGCGTGATGACGGACCGCAGCCGGTCCAGCACTATGAAGGTGCCCCTGACTCTCCTGCTGCCTCTAGACAGCTGCTGTGGTGCTGTGTACTCACGATCCCCACCAGGTCGCCCTTGCCATACTCGCCGACCAGCTCCTTCTTGCCGTTGGGGTGCGTGATGACGGACCGCAGCCGGCCGCTCAGCACTATGAAGGTGGACCCTGACTCTTCGTCTTGGCGGTATACTGCACGACCGGATTCTAAGAATACCTGCGACAAAGCATAGTGGAACATTTAGCGCGTATTAGAGAAAGAAGCTCATTCTCTATTCAATATCGAGCGTAGGGGACAAGACCCCACACTAGCATCTTTCTTTTGAATGCCTAATCATCTCGCCAGCACCTGAAAGGATGCCAAACGCCGACTGGCGTCGCATTATTTAGTTTAGAGAGCTGGTACGCCGCGTCGACGCAGGCGCCGGCGAGACGACAACGATCGAAAGACGCTAGTGTAGGGGGACCGTAGATTAATTTCCGTTTTCACTATCAATCTCTAATTTTGGGTTAAAATGGTTTTAAACAAGATCAAAATTTGGAGTTTTAAAAAATGTATAGAAATTATTTGCAATGCAATGCAAAATGTAGGGATTAATTGGCGAAAAGAAGAAGAAGAATGAACGGTAATGACGGTGGTAATGATAAAACAATTTGTCAAGTATGTACCTCCGCAGAGATTACGTAAAATACATACAAAATTCAAATATACTCACCCAGTCCAAAGCAAAATCCACCTGCCTCACGAAAGGCGACAGCCTCCTAACGACCGTATTGGCGATATGCAGCACGCAAGATGGCCGTTCTCGCATGATACTGTACACTGTACTCTTGGATACAAGACCGATGCGAGAGAAGTGTTTGGCCCGGATGGAGAAGAAGCTTGGCTCGCCGGTTAGTACTGCTAGACCTCCTTCCACTTCGCCTGGAAAGAAAAAAGATATTTAAACACATTTACGCCCGTATTCACAAACGATGCTCGCTTAAAATCGAACGCACAGCGTGGAATAGGGCTCCGTGATTTGTTAATATGTCACCCTTTGCGACCTCATAGTAATGTTTGTGAATACGTGTGTTATTACAGTATTAGGGCCTAGAACCACCATTAAATGGCTGCTGAATTGATTTTTAATCTTACGTAACAGCAGGCCTGTTCATCCTCCGCGAGTTTACATCGAAAACAAAACACGCACGATGGCCCACCTACAGGATACTATTCGACAAGGCATTCGATTCTTGTGTATGATGGAAGAAAAAAAGAAGATATTTAACTGCCTAAATAATAATAAAAACACAAAATGTACTTTTTTAAGTTGCCTCAAGACACTGAGAGGTAAATAAGTAGTTAATATTATTCATGATAATTCATGCTAAATTGTGTATTTCCTCCGCCATTTTCCGCAGTTTGGCACCTCACGTCACATCATTTTACCGAAGTCAGCCCTATAGCTTCGGCGCAGTGCCGATCACTGACGTTTGTCAACAAAATGGTGCTTGACTCTTGAGACAGGCTAAATTACACCATATTGTTAATGACATTGAGCATACATTTTTTTAAATACCTTCGTGAAGTAAAACTTCTGTACGTAGTACTTATTATTATTCTGTGGTAACAGTCATAGAAAGGATGATGGGCACAAATGTATGGAAAGTGGTACCCGCTCCAATAGCCATAACCAATATATATTTCAAAAGGCCTTTAGATGCAGAAAAATGTCTGCTATGGGGCCAGTTCTAATTCACGTTTTGAAAGCAGTAATTCCACTAAGTATTATTATGAAAGTATAACACAATCATCCATGTATACGAGTATGTGCTATGACTAGAATCTATTAATATAACTAAAATAAACATTGAAAAGGAAAGGATTATACCTACGATGAACTACCCAAACCATTAGCCCTTTATTCGCTTTCATCATCATCATCATGATCATTTTAGCCATAGGACGTCTAGTTGAACATAGGCCTCCCCCAATGATTTCCAAAATGGTCGGTTGGTGGCGGCCTGCATCCAGCGCCTTCCCGCTACCTTTATGAGGTCGTCGGTCTCTTGTGGGTGGACTTATTGGGTATTGTGGGTTTATTCGCTTCAGCAACCCNTGAATCGTCGATGAATTTTAGATCTCAAATACTCGACGCATAGTGGTGCTACAGCTTTGGTGCCATAGTAACAAATGCTAAGGCGGACGTATTCTGTCAGAATACAGCACTTTTTTATTTTATTGGCCGACACTTTTGATTTTGAACAAAAAATGTATGAATAGTCGATGACTTTTAGATCTCAAATACTCGACGCACAGTGGAGCTACGGCTTTGGGGCCATAGTAACAAATGCTAAGGCAGACGTATTCTGTCAGAATACAGCACTTTTTTTTGTTGGCCGGCACTTTTGATTTTGGACCAAAAATATATGAAACGTGGATGATGTCCTTTTAAATTGATCTTGATAGTGCGATAATTTTTTTACATAAACAAGACCTTAAAGCAAGGCGATAAGATTCAAAATGCACTTTACCTGGATAAGCAGTGAACATGTGAACTTCGCCCTCCCCTTCCGCCACTCTCTGTGACACCAACAGCGCTCCAGACAAAAGGTACACCAACGCCACATCCTGAATAAAAACAACATTAATTGAGATAAACACTTATGTTATACATGTCTGTATAAGTATAATGTTTAATAGTCCTTTGCCAAAAACTTTTCTGACCGTGTGCATTTTAAGCCGGGTCTCCAATGCGTGTTTTGCCCTACACAATCAACAAAATTACCTAAAAAATATGTTGAATGTTGAGATATGTTTTTATTGATTGTGTAGGGCAAAACACAAGATGTGGGAATTTTGGATTAGGCTTTATGGACTATACGCATCAGGCTACTTTTCAGTATCAACCAATGTTATTTCATGTAACTTTTTATATGTTTATATGTAAAAGCAGCCGCCTGACATAATAATAAATGATAAAAAATAAACAAAATAAAAATTATTCAAACCTTTAAAAAAACTGATGATAAATGTAAATCAGTGTTATATTACATTGTAATGATTTTAAAGCTAATAAAATATCTTGTCTGGAATGAAATAACTAAAATGAAAGGCATAAATAAGTTTGTGTGTCAACAAAAATATAAATATTGTAATTACAAACTAGAATTTAAAAAAAAACAACAAATGTAAAGAACAAATGATAAAAATATAAATTTAAAAAAAAACAAACAAATAAAGTTTAAATTGTAACATATAAATAAACTACAAAACAATTAAAATTAAAATAAAACAAAATATTGTTTCGAAAGTTCTGAGTTTTTACGAAACATTTTTTTTTAGTTGGTGTTATTTTTTATCTGAGCGTGTAGGTATTTGAACGTTTATTAAAAGTATGAATGAATTTTGTCATCTTCACAAAAAGTCGTACAGTATCACATGTTTTTATAGCATGCATTCCACACCAACTACAGAAATCCACACGGTACCTGTTTGATTTCTGGTTCACCGGGTACGTGGTAATACAGCTTTTGGGGGAAAACGCAGTGTTAATATAGTAAATAAAATATACATAAATAATTTGTTATTGGGATTATCAAATGCAAATATTAGTTTTATGTTGTAAAGAGGTAAAGGACATCATCCATTTTGGTCCAAAATCAAAAGTGCCGGCCAAAAAATAAAAGTGCTGTGCATCGTAGTATTTGAGCTCTAAAAATATATGAAACGACTGACTTTGATCTCAAATACTACGATGCACAGTGGTGCTACAGCTTTGGTCAGGCCTGGCTCACTCCGCGCGGTACATCCGATAATTACCTACAGCGAAGCGCCCCGCCGGCGGGTATTATATCAGTCGAGTGTCACGCGCTCGCCCGTCAGGACGCTGGCGTGCGTTGTAGTATGATTATAATTCTATGATCGAAGTATTATTTAAAAATGTACATAAAGAGAAAGAAATATTGTGCGGCGTTCGGGTGTTTAAATTCGAAAATAAATCTACCGGATTTATCTTTTTTTTTTACAAAAAATGTATGAAATAATCGATGACTTTTAGATCTCAAATACTCGACGCACAGTGGAGCTACGGCTTTGGTGCCATAGTAACAAATGCTAAGGCAGACGTATTCTGTCAGAATACAGCACTTTTTTTTGTTGGCCGGCACTTTTGATTTTGGACCAAAAATATATGAAACGTGGATGATGTCCTTTCTTGTTTATAAATCGTAGGCAGAACTGTGGGAACAGTATGTGCAGAAACAAACAACACAAGTGTTTTTTTTTATTGAAAAAGCAAATCAAGCACTGTTTGGTCCATTTAGTAGCCTTGTATGTAATAGGAAATGGCTATCCCGAATAGGTGCTTTTACGATGCTCTTGTACTTTACAAACCACTGCCTTCCCCTTTTCTTTTGAACCACCTTTCCTCTCTTTTGTCTGGATGACACTACCGGACTTTTCCCACCACTCGTTCCCACCGCTGCAACTCCTGTGTAGCCAGGATCTACAGCTTGACCGCCAATAAAAACCCAACCAGTAAAGGTCAAGTTCGTCCCGGGGGAAAGTTAACTGTCATTGGACCCGCAACGAAATTAATCAGAAGAACATAGGAGGAGTTCGAAGTTAAGGCAGGCCTGTTCATCTCCGCGAGTTTACATCGAAAACAAAACACGCACGATGGCCCACCTACAGGATACTATTCGACAAGGCCTCACATACGAGCGAACATTGACTCACGCACGCGTATTCTTGTGTATGATGAAAGAAAATAAGAAAATGGTGTCCTAAATAATACTGTGCAGTATTTAACTGCCTAAATAATAATAAAAACACAGAATGTCCTTTTTTAAGTTGCCTCAAGACACTGAGAGGTAAATAAGTAGTTATTATTATTCATGATAATTCATGCTAAATCATGTGTATTTCCTCCGCCATTTTCCGCAGTTTGGCACCTCACGTCACATCATTTTACCGAAGTCAGCCCTATAGCTTCGGCGCAGTGCCGATCACTGACGTTTGTCAACAAAATGGTGCTTGACTCTTGAGACAGGCTAAATTACACCATATTGTTAATGACATTGAGCATACATTTTTTTAAATACCTTCGCGAAGTAAAACTTCTGTACGTAGTACTTATTATTATTCTGTGGTTAAGGTTCGACTTCCCTCCATTGCAAACCAGCCTATTTTATCTATCTATCTCGTACATTGGACGTACCTTGTGGCTTTCCTCCTTCATGATATAGGTGCCGGCGGGCAAGTCTCGTACTTGCACATTGCCGCGGAGCACGTGGTCGCTTTCCAGACCCAGCTCCTTTACGAACGCCTCCGTAGCTATTTGGATTAACGCCTGGAAAAATGAAAAATAATGAGTTGACATTTTATACGACGACATCTGGTGCCAAACTAAGCAATCACCAGCCGAGCTAGGATATACGCCGTGATAAAATCTTATCGATGATTTTAGACGACAAACGTATGGGCTTATCGCGTAAAATCGCGGTAAACGGTTATCGCGGCGCGCATCCTAGGCCTACAGAACAGTTTCTGTGACTGGCACATAAAGTTAATTTACCTAGCAAAATAGAGAAACAAAGGAATGAGCGAGCGAGATGTCACCAGCAGCAACACTATGTGATAAAAAGAAATGCGACATACGACGTAAACTATTTAACAGTTCGGTAGTACTTATTGGCGCGCTAAAAATTTAAACGCTGAGATTTTTTCAGAATGAAATCGTGAATATTTATGAGAAATAGTGCTTTAGAAATGTGGTGTCTGATTCTGCGATTGATTAATGTACAAAACTGTGAAATAATCCTGACACTGAAACACAAATAACATCCAGTAACATCCTAAAATCGGTGCAGACAGCTCGTGGTTATTGCTGTATTCCGAAGGAATATTACTACTTTTAAATAATTATGATACAAACCTGCTCATCAAGATTCTCCGTGTTGTGTTTCTTGAAAGACGAGCCTTCTCTGCTCCTTTGTAAGGGCGGAGTGGGCTGGACGTCTGGTTGTTGCTAGAAAGCAATTACATCTCATTCATTCATCAGATAAAATTAATTAAACAGTATTTTCTTTAAAGGTTAGTAACCTTTTAAGTTAAGGACAACTAAAATCTTCATTAACACCCTCCAAAGTTAAATAAGTACCTATCTTATGCTTGTGTTAGGACTTAGGAGGGGGTTAACCACAATAGTCGAAGGATATCGAATCTGCAGACCGATGACAACACCTATTATCGTCTCATTTATAGCCAAAAAATCGGTCAAGTGCGAGTCGGGTTCCGTACCAACTTGTAAATGACAGATAACTATAGATCGTTTCATCCACAAAGACGCGCCCCACCAATTTTAGTCGAGGGAAGCGCGGGGTGCGGGGAGTTTGATCCGAGCAATCCGAGCGTCATTATTGTACTATGCGTGTGCACTCATGGATATTTAGCGTGTACCGATAACACTCAAACATTAGCGGAAGAATGGTGGGGCGCGTCTTCGTCTTCTTCGATCTGTAAAGGTATACAAACCTGTGGAGTGTTGGACGTGATATCGGGAACCATGTCGGGCCTGGGTTTGCGTCCTTGGATGTGTATCGGCGACGACGTCTGGTGGTTGCCGTCCTGAACATGCTGTTATAACACCAAACCACACAATATTATAGTAACAAACACAATAATGAAAGTAGTAGGAATACCTCACTCTATTCTTTATGATAAATTATTTTGGGGTCCTGAATTTTAATGATCACAAAATAGTAATGCTGAAAACATCACATTCAAGGGAGATTTTGTTCAAACTCCACATTATTTTCACACATTCTAACTCTAACTCGAGTCACACACATACAATCACAGAACTAAGTTAGCGCCATCTAACGTCATGTTTTGAAACGAATATACATGTTTTATAGTTTGTGGCCAATATATGGCTTAGCCTAAGCGCAGACCACCGATTTTTAGTTGGCCGATAGTTTATTCTGGCTGTTAATCAGTATGGGCATGTATGGAAGTGCGCACACTACAATTTGATTTGGCCGATTCTTCATACAATTTAAAATCGGACGCAACTATCGGCCAACAAAAAGTCGGCAGTCTGCTAGTACTGTTATGATCGGGGTAAAAAAAGGGCTAAAAATAAAACATTACTTGTTGTTTCCTTCGAATGATTACGGGACAAAAAGGAACAATATAACTAAAACAGATATCTTACCACGTGTTCAGGCACCGTCCTCTCACTGTGGTGCGGCGAATGCATAGTCGTGCTGCTGTCAACTGTCACTTTACCAGTCTTTCCGGGAGAGGATGCCACTGTCATTGGCCGACGTCTCTCGCGGCCCTGTCACAAACATTTTTCAAGAATTAAATTAGCTAAAATGGCTGATCGGGCATCTTCGGCTGCCCTCGGCCCGCGGCGATCGGCCGTCAGTTCTCCTCACGCCACCAAAGACTAGCTTTCAAATAAACCTTTGTAATACAGTCCACTATGTACTCTAATTTCATCGTTTAGCGGTCGAGGCCCCTACATTTTGGTCCTTCGAGCCAGAACAAAATATTTTGAACAAGACAATAGTTCAAAAAAGTGATATTGCAATACGATATCTAGGCTATTAAAATAATATCTAAGCTATTAAATAAAACCATCCAAAAACTTTATGAATTCTTACCGGATTGACCAATTCCGCACTCAGACCCAAATACTGATGGAGAGCCGTGAATGTTACTCTCTGGAGTCGCACCATGATGATCTAGAAACCATGGAAACATCATAATTAATAAATAAATACTTGTAAAAAAATATTACAACTTCATAAGGGTCAATTGTTTATTTGACGTGCCTTCTTTCATCAATACACTTTTCACAGTACAAACCAAGGACCTGTTGACACATTAAGAACTTTATCTTTTCAGATAATAATGAGCACAGGCTAAATAACTCAAACTGATTATTCTGTTTCTGACCCCTATCAGGCCCGTTCATCTCCGCGAGTTTACATCGAAAACAAAACACGCACGATGGCCCACCTACAGGATACTATTCGACAAGGCCTCACATACGAGCGAACATTGACTCACGCACGCGTATTCTTGTGTATGATGGAAGAAAATAAAGAAAATGGTGTACTAAATACTGTGCAGTATTTAACTGCCTAAATAATAATAAAAACACAGAATGTACTTTTTTAAGTTGCCTCAAGACGCTGAGAGGTAAATAAGTAGTTAATATTATTCATGATAATTCATGCTAAATCATGTATTTCCTCCGCCATTTTCCGCAGTTTGGCACCTCACGTCACATCATTTTACCGAAGTCAGCCCTATAGCTTCGGCGCAGTGCCGATCACTGACGTTTGTCAACAAAATGGTGCTTGACTCTTGAGACAAGCTAAATTACACCATATTGTTAATGACATTGAGCATACATTTTTTTAAATACCTTCGCGAAGTAAAACTTCTGTACGTAGTACTTATTATTATTCTGTGCCCCTATGGGAATAGAACCCTGGTCCTGCGAATCAAATGGGTCCGAATCTCTAACGAATGGAACATAGGGACAAGAATAATGATACTCACTTGTATAACGCGTACAAATATGTCGGGGTACTCCTTGAAAACTTCTTGGAACGCTCTCATGGGCAGTTTGATCACTTGCGAGTCTTCTAACGCCTTTGCATTGACTGTTTTGTATGGTTGCGAATGACCCTGAAAAATAATATTGTAAGATATTTGTAATACTTGAAGTATTTCAGTTATCATTGCAGAGATAGATGTACTAATTAATTTGTTATGCTGTTGTGAACATGTTATTTTTTTTTATTCTTTTATGGCACCTGCCAGTGTAGGATGCGCGCCACGATATAATCTTATCGACGATTTTAGACGACAAATGTATGAGTTTATCGTTGAAAATCGATAAAATGCCGAGTTAAGATTATAATTATCGTGGCGCGCATCTTAGCCCTGCAGATGTTTAGTGATATGTCTAGGGTAGGTACATAGTTGCCCAGTCAATGCCCATTCACTTTCGCCTTGAAGAGGCCCGGATTATTGTGCTTATTTGACCACAATCGCACTTGATGTTAAGTAGGATGCAGTCTAGGATGGTACATATCTGCCCTGTAAGTGTCTATTCACTCTCGCCTTGAAGAGGCCCGGATTATTGTGCTGGTTACGGTATCTAAAACGCGATTTTTAATATGTTAGTATTTTACTAAATTACACACATACCGTTAACACATCAGTGAAACTAAGCAAGGAAGTGACGCTCTCCCCTGCACGTACGATCTTCAAAGACAAGCTGCTGCCATCTTGGTTCGTTATGTACACGTTGACGCGCCCGTTCTGCACTACGTATACATTCTCGTCCGTGTCGCCTGGAAATTAAATTTATTGATTTATTAGTTGATATCCCAACTAATCCCAACTAATATTATAAATGCGAAAGTAACTCTGTCTGTCTGTCTGTCTGTCTGTCTGTCTGTCTGTTACGCTTTCCCGCTTAAACCTCGCAACCGATTTTGATGAAATTTGGCATAGAGATAGTTTGAGTCCCGGGAAAGAACATAGGATAGTTTTTATCCCGGTTTTTGAAACAGGGACGCGCGCGATAAAGTTTTTCTGTGACAGACAAAATTCCACGCGGGCGAAGCCGCGGGCGGAAAGCTAGTTAGTTTATACACAGATGATAGAGGCCATTTTTCTACTACACCATAGAATACATGATAGCTAAAGCCCAGTCTGTGAGCACGTAGAATTTTGTCCAATGACCCCAAGCTCCCATCCTTATCGCTCGCGCGTAATTATATTGCTGTCGCGACTGTGCGACGGGCGCCCGCAGTGTGCGAGCTTATTAAAGACTTTAAACTTAGTCTATGGTGTAAACAAATTGACCTCACAACGTCTAATAACTTCCTGTGACCTGAAGAATAAACAAAAGCGCAACCTTTTCAACGACAGCGCCGAATCGTTGTTAAAGTTAATTGAATTGTTTTTACAAAATTGTTAACTTGTCCGTATTATAGTCTATCAAGTAAGGTCAGACAAACAAATTAATGCGGAATAAGGTAAATTGAAAGAATTTTATTTGACAAAATGTCGACAGTCTGACTCTAACTACACTAACTAAATCACTCACCAACTTTAAACAAAAAAGACCCGGCGGGCAGGTTCAATATCTCCGTGTGTTTGCAAAGCATGAGGAACACCGGCTTCTCGAAGTGGCCGAAAACTCTGATGCTGTGCAGCATATACAACGCGTCTGGGGGCACTCGGTCGTCGCTCGTTAAGTCCTCTTCTAGATATTCCGCTGGGGGCTCCAGAACCTGGAAAAGAACATCCAATTAATTGTTAGATAATAAGTACTATACTCGGCGCAAAGACTCGTAAAAAATGACATTAAATGTATGACGGTTGTACAGCGCCCCTAGCGGAGACTTTCAAGAACTAAAATTTTCATATATTTTTTTAACGCGCTCACTAGTGAGGACGTTTGATATAAACTCACACTCAGCCTTATCATTGTTGTTAATTAAATAAATAAATTGTTTCATTCGTTTGTTCGTTTTAACCCAATGTCGACCGGTCCTGCGATGGCTACCTCCAGGTGCTTCACGCGACGTTCCCAAGAACATCAGTCCACCGAGTAGAAGCCTGCAGTGCGCTAGGTACCTTACGTTGTCCGGTCCGTGGTCGCCACTCCCCATCATTATTATCAGAGGTGGAATTGTGTAAAGCAATCGTAATCATTTGACAGTTCATAACGTACGATTATTCTGTCAAACGCTTTGTTTAACTGACTTTATACACTCGACATTAAATAAATCGCACCTCCCGTGACAAGCATTTTCAAACGTATGCATCCCCACTTCCCACCAATATTGGCACCATTTAAGAGCCTAGTTCTAACCTTCATTTCATTAAAGGAAAGGTTTTTACCCCAAAAATGCGTCTTTAGAAGGATCCAGAGTCACTTCTTCAAAAAATAGGTAGTTACGCTTAAGCCAACTTTTATGGCTATAAAACTGTTAAGTTGGGATTAATCGCTATCCATCTGTTAAAGAGGACACGTGAGATCATTATTTGGTTTTATAACCATAAAAATTGGTCTAATTGATCCCAGAGGTGGGCCCAAAGTGAGGTATTTTTTCAAGTCACATTTATGGTATATGCTAATCATTTATTAAGAAATTAAATGTGTTTTTCTTTAAGGATATTTATTAGGCTTTCAAATAACACCAATATTGTTTGGGCACCATGATTGTGTCAGAAGAAAATCGTTTAAAGTTCGCGTCGCGGAAGGTGCGATTTATTTGATGTTGAATATAGTTCCACCTCCGGTCTACAGGAGTACGAGCACGAGTACGATTCTTTCATTTACTTAGGTACTATAAGGACATCGAGGATTTGGCCTAAACTCCCCACACTGGCCAGACTGGTTTGGAAGGCCTGATGTTCGCATCAAATCTATGGGAAAATTTATGGGAATAGTGGGACTGTGGGAGTGGTCATATTCCACTCTACTATACCCACCTGCTTATGCGGCTTAATATCATTGCTCATACATCAAAATAGCACATACGTACTAATTAGACAGGTTTATCATTTGCCCTTTATACCCGTTTAATGCATAAAACATCGTCTCAGGTATTTCAAATGTCAATTATCACCTGTTGATATCACAGTCATAATGGTTATAAATAGGATTGCGGGCTTGTATTATGTGCACGTACATATTTGTGTATGTAATAGTTCTATTGCCCATTTACTACGCCGGTTCAACGGCTGTTGGCAATATATTTGCTAGAGACCTTGTCGTGTCTTGTTTTTGTTTTGATATGCTAGTGTTTTAGTAGTGATTGAAGCTGGCTCCTTCCTGATTTAGTAGGCAGAGTTCAGTCTTTGTACAAACGACAACACAATATCAAGCTTAAGAGCGGCATCTTATGTGATTGTAATAGATACGACTTTGCGATAAATTGTGTAGTGTGAGTGCAGTCAACTGTACTAATGAAATGAAACTAAAGGCAAGCGGTCGCTGTCGTTTTAAGGCCTAGGTATTCAAACCTCAGCGATATTCGCTGCCGCTGTGGGTAGAGGTACATACCACGCGGTAGCGAATACCGCTTAGGTCTGAACAGTATTATTACCGCATACCCACTGGGTTTTTTCTGCCGCAGACGGTAGCGAATACCGCTTAGGTCTGAATAGGCCTTTATGGGGGAACCTATGTCCAGCAGTGTTCGCCTAGGTGATAATAATAATAATTTATTTCAAAAGATAAATAAAGAGTGAACAGAAGATAGAGACAAATCAGCTGTCAACTGTCTACTTTAATATACCAGACCCAAAATGCAAGCAAAACCGCGTTTAATGCTAGTAAATGAAGGTAAATAACAAACAACGCATGTATTACGTCCCCACAAAGCCGTAATTGAACAAACCGAGCAAGTCACACATTGCCGAATAAGGCGAGCAAAACCGTGCACGGCAAATAAGTACATAGCTATGTCAAGGTGACGTGCTTCTTCCGTCGTTTCAAGCAATTAACATATTCATATAATTTCTAATGAATGTGGTGTTTTTGCGGCATAATTAATTATGGATAATGCTGCGTAGTTGTTTACAAACAGAGTTGTTCATTAATAGTCAAATACCTGGTATAAATAGAGAGAATGTCTTACAAACAACACTTGAGTTTGAATCTACGATCAATCATAGATCTACAGAAATAGAACTTACCAAATTAAAGTGGTCCCGAACAGGTTCCGGTGAGCACCTACTTATATTTAAATCCTGCACTACGTAATGACGCTCAAAACTCAATTCAAACTTAAGTATAGATTCAAGTCAAGCATATCACAACACGATCTTAATTGATATTAAGTAGATAACTTTTAATTTTGCCGTGCGATTGCCAAGTCACTATTATCAGGCAGATAAAGATGTCACATATTAAATTGTCGGACTGACTGTACCACTGACGAAAATATTGTGCAAATGCGGGTGGGTGAAGAAAACTCATCGCGCCGGACTCCGGAGCAGACGACGCCGCATCTCTTCAGTCTGCCCGCGACCATGACTCGTGCAACCGAGCCGAAACGTCGGGAGGGTAAATATTTTATTTACCGTTAAAATAGATATTGTTGCAATAAATCCCGTGAAGTGATAATTTTATAGTAAAAAATGCAACATAATAGTTTAAAATATTATGTCACATATTGATATACGCCTAAAATTAAATTTTGGTACGACAAAGCTGAGTTGCTTCTGTAACTACTTATTACGCTTTACACATCATTTTACGATGTTTTTCCAGAGACTGAAATTGTAGATCGCAGTATCAATCGCAGGAAGCCTGGATGCGGGCAGCACAGGACTGGTAGTTGTGGAAATCCTTGTAGGAGGCCTTTATCCAGCAATGGTCATCTTTTCGCTGAAAGGAAACCCGCTTCCTGCCCTGCTTCGAGTTGGATGTGGACCTGACTTTGCGCAGCATTCTTCGACCGTAGAACAGCATCTTGACGCGCTTGAAGCGCTTGGCATAGCGTCTGTCAGACTGACCTTGAGTTGCTCAGGCGCCGATTCCTTCTTCAGCTGCAGCAGTTTCTTGGCGAAGCGCCGCCCTGCCCGGAGTTGGATATGGACTTGACTTTTCGCAGCATCCTCCATCCGCTGCAGATTCCTTCTTCAGCTGCAGCAGTTTCCTGGCGAAGCGCATGACGGCGCGCCGCTTCCTGCCCTGCCCCGAGTTGGATATGGACTTAACTTTGCTCAGCATTCTCCCTCCGTAGAACAAGGGGGCTACTCCAAAAAAGTGATCCGAAGTTTCAAATGCTGCCATCCCTCTCACGCATAGCGAGATGCCAGCATGAGCGACGGTGACAGATCGACCCGAAACTAGGGCATGTAATATCGGAAGGTTTTCAATTCCGATATTGATTTCCGATATTAGATCTCAATATCGGAATTCCGATATTAATATCGGAATTGAGTTTGTGTTATAAATTGAATACGTATTTGATTATTTTCGTAACATTTCTTAATTGTATACAGTAAAATAATGATTTTAATCAATATCTTTAATTTGGTACAAAACAGCACTTCTTAAAATTATAATATTGAAGTATTTAAAACCATTTTTGTATGTTATGGGTATCCAATTCCATTGCATTTGGTTACTGATAATAGGCATTGGCCTATTGGCAATGGACTAGCAAATAATTTAAGTGTTTTTGTAAAACAGGTATCAAACAAACTTTTACTTCATCAACCAATACTGGCGGAACGATTTGTAGAGTCATTCAAGTCAAATGTTACAAAAATTTTAGGTAGTGGTAAAAAAACTTGAATATCCTTGTAATTTGTTCCTTTTTGATTATCGAACCTCCCAACAGGTAGGCCTTCGGATGAACATGGACAAAACAAAGCTTATGACCATGTTGCGCCCTACCTATTTTCGGTTGGGAGCTCGATTCTTGAGATTGTTGACAAGTATGTCTACCTCGGACAAACAATTCAGCTATTAAATTTCATAGATGATCATAGATGCAATTTCGAAAAAGAGGTAAATCGTCGAATCCTACTCGGCTGGGCCGCGTTCGGGAAACTACACAACATCTTTTTGTCCAAAATACCTCAGTGCTTAAAGACGAAAGTCTTCAATCAGTGTGTGTAACCAGTGATGATATACGGTTCGGAAACGTAGGCTCTCAAAGTTGCACAGCGTGCTATGAAGAAGGCTGTGCTTGGTGTTTCTTTACGAGATCTAATCAGAAATGAGAAGCTCCGTTAACAAACTAAGGTCGCTGACATAGTCTGACGGACTAGCAAGCTGAGTGGCAATGGGCAGGGCACATAGTAGGTACGCAGAACTAACGGGCCATAGTCCAATTAATGTTTGGAAGGGAGATGAGATGTCGTTTTTCATTGCTAAGACCAAGTACGGCAAGTGTTAAATTTTTTTAGAACAAGTAAAATTAACCATAAATATTTGCAGTGGGACAAAAAGTGATGGTGAGAGACATGAGAAAATCATTGGTCTTTGCCAATCATGTACTTTGGGCTTTGTGGCAGGTTGTGGCGCGTTTAAACGCTTTGTTTAAAATCTCAATTAAAACCTTTATCTGATTCCGATATAACGATATTGGGTCGCTCAATATCGGAATTGTAATATCGGATCTCGTACTCCGAGATTCCGATATTACGAGATTCCGAGATTCCGATATTCATGCCCTACCCGAAACGCTGTTTACGTAGTTTCGGGTCGATCTGAAACTACGTAAACAGCGTTTCGGAGTAGCCTCCCAGCATCTTGTTGAGTTTGAACGCTTGGCATAGCATCTAATGGTAGATTAAACTTGAGTTGCTCAGGCGCCTTTACGCGTTGATTTTACACTACGTTGATTTTACGTTTGAAACACTTGGCACAGCGTCTGTCAGACTGACCTTGAGTTGCTCAGGCGCCGATTCCTTCTTCAGCTGCAGCAGTTTCCTGGCGAAGCGCATGACAGCGCGCCGCTTCCTGCCCTGCCCAGTTGGATATGGACTTGACTTTGCGCAGCATTCTCCGCCCGTAGAACAGAGGGGCTACTTCGAAAAAAGTGATCCGAAGTTTTAATTGCTGCCATCCCTCTCACGCATAGCGAGATGCCAGCATGAGCGACGGTGACAGATAGACCCGAAACTACGTAAGCAGCGTTTCGGAGTAGCCTCCCAGCATCTTGTTGAGTTTGAACGCTTGGCACAGCGTCTGTCAGACTGACCTTGAGTTGCTCAGGCGCCGATTCCTTCTTCAGCTGCAGTAGTTTCCTAGCGAAGCGCATGACGGCACGCCGCTTCCTGCCCTGTCCCGAGTTGGATATGGACTTGACTTTGCGTAGCATTCTTCGACCGTAGAACAGCATTTTGTCCCGTTTGCGGAAACGCTTGGCTGGCTCCCCTGCCGCGCCCGTTGCGCCCACGCCGCCTGATAGTTCTGATAAATGATAGACAAATAAATTGTAGCGACAATAGCCTGGTTTTCTTCAAGAGTCGTTATATCTATTTCGTCGACCCTGACATAAGTATCTACACTAATATTATAAAGCTGAAGAGTATGTTTGTTTGTTTGTTTACTTGAACGCGCTAATCTCCGGAACTGGTCCGATTTGAAAAATTCTTTCAGTGTTAGATAGCCCATTTATCGAGGAAGGCTATAGGCTATACAACATAACGGTACGATCAATAGAAGCAGAGCAACAATGAAAAATGTTGCGAAAGCGGGTTTCCACGGGTACGAAGTCGCGGGCACAGCTAGTTTTACAATATTTAGAAGAAAAGAATAGAAATTAAAAAACTTATTTTTTGTTTTGAAAGGTCCAGGCAACGAATTTTTGAAGAGATGTTTGAGTGAACCTACCCTTACACAGATTCTTAGACCTGTATAATATACACCCACCCCGTTACCCACACCACTTGGCCTCTACTTTTTTATTACTTCTAAAGGTTAGGCACTTGAGGAATGGACAAAATTTAAAGGCCATTGGACTCATTAAAACTAATTTCTATGTAAGACATTAATAAATTATTCAAGGATAGATTCTATATTTTGTACCTTTTTATGTCATACATCGTAGCGACCATTATGCGACTAGGCTAAAAAAAGGTTTTCTGCTAAGAACTATCAGTGAACTACCATTAACTGAAGCAATAAAAAGATCTTACCTTTTGACCGCCATCTTCTATAGTAGTAGAAAAACACGACTAGCACAGACACCAGTAGACACCCGCAGAAGGACCATAGCAACTGTGGACAAAGAAAGTTATTTTTCGAATATCAAATAACATTTTGGTGATAAGAAAAATAGAATAGCATCTGAAGCAATCGAATGATTGTGCTTCTATAAATAGATTTATTTCCAATTTGGAAAACATTACCATATGAAGAAACCTAAAAATGTACCGTATGAAAAAAAACTGATTATGTAAATGACTACAATAGAAGTCAAATTCTGATAATAATAAACTTGTTGTTTTGATGCACAATCTAAATCAAAGATAGCTCTTCGGTGTGTATAATATTTACTATTTAGCAAAAACAGAAATGATTAAGACCGCGAAGTACAAAGTTACAAGAAGCAAAGTTTACAAATTAATTTGCAATTTTGCTTATAGTTCATGGCCATGTGACAAAGTTTTCACGGACAATGCACCAAGATCACGCGTCATTCCCAATGCCACTGGTAATGCCAGACATTACAATGACTATACAGGGTGTGTATAATATTGTATACCTTCACGTCTTTGCTGTTAGTTCATGGTCAAACGGAGAAAAGTTTCCACGGGCATTGCAACAAGGTACGGACGCGTTATTTAAAATGTTACTGTACTTGCTGTGCTGGTATTACAGTAGTATTCGAAAAATTTGGTATAACAATACAGTGTGTCTATAAAATATTGTTATGGTTAGGTACGGGGCAAAGTTTTCACGGGCAATGCTGCAAGATCACGCGACATCCAGAATGCCAACTGATGATGCAGAAAAATTAGAAAGACTTGGCATAACAATAACTATACAGGGTGATCTATTGTTGTCAAATATCGCATTTCCGTCGATAGTAGCTACGGCCATTGTAGCAAGAGGACACGTCAATTCACGTCATTCTGAATGCAAATGGAAGAGCTTGGCATCACAATAACTATACAGGGTGTGAGTTTATAAAATATTGTCAAAATTCACGATTTCCTGTTAGTTCATGGCCTCGGGTCGCTAGAAGCTTAACATGTTTTTGACTCTTTGTATAAAATCATTTTAAATCATGATCCCAAAATCGTGTCCACCAGAGCGTGAGTCATCAAATCGTACGTGACACCGACTAATCCACCAATTGATCCACGAGTCATCGACCCCATATCAAGTATCTTTTGTGATAAAATTACGAGTGATCTACCGAAAACTCTTTGTGGTCAGCCAGTTGGTCACAGCGTGGGTAGATAGTAGATAGTTACTAGTGTTGCCGAAATATCGATGACCCCCCCTGTAGGCCTATGATGCACGCCGCGATAAGTGGTTATCACGCCATTTTATCGATTATGCCGATTTATTTTGACGTCGATAAAGTATATCACGGTGCACATCCTAGCCTGGCAGGCAGACAAAGTTGCATAACATGATAAGCTCAATTTCGCAAACGTTTTACGGAGAGATAGCGATCACGATACTTTATGAAGAGCGGGAGCAGAATAAAAACTGTCACAAGTTACTTTGTACAAGGAGACTTTGGTATCATGTATCTTTAAATTCGATGATACCTACAATGTTTTTTCTATGGAAAAAACATCTCCCGACGTCAAAAAAAGGTAGTAATTGAGCTCAATAATTATCCAGTTGTTAATCGTGTTAGCACGAAAAGATTGATTCGTGCAATAGTTTAAGTTGGTATCGAAGAAATATCGATATCGATGACAGGTCACACAAATAGCAACACTAAATCATATGCGTGATAGGCAACATTACTTTGATAAGCAACTGTGCATGCACAATAGCTATCTTGTTGTAAAATAGAAAATAACATAATTGGAGTGTAGTCACGAAAGTTTTTAGTTGCTACTTGCTAAGCTGAAACGTTCCTGTATTGATAGCATGCATGGTTCCCATGTCCAGTATGGTTCCCCAGTATGGTCTGGTGCCCTGAAAAAGAACCCTAGATACGCCAATGATGGTTCCATTGAAAGCCTTCGTATTCAAATGGTTAATAAATTGGAATCCTTAATATTAATTCTTGTTTGTTAAGATTCCTAGATGGAAGTTGGAACATACAAATCGAAAAGTGTATTAATTGTGTTCTTTCTATTCAGTTCGTCACGTTCAGATTTAAATGTTTGAATGTTAATTCATTGTTAGAAAAAGAAATAAATATTAAATCTGACGCCTATTATGAGGGCGAAGACACGAAGACTTATCCCCTTAGTTAGAAAACTTGAATATGAACTTCAAAGCTTAAGCTTAGAAAATGAGCATGCTCAAGCTAAAAATCTCAACTCAGAAACTGGGGGATAAAGTCTGACAAAAGTTTTAAAATTATGATTATATTATAATCTTCAATTACTCACACGATGATTAAGATGGGACAAAGAAAGTGTTATCTTAAAATTATTGCAATCAGACCACGTGCAAAGGTCAACATTTGACACTGCCATAATTAATTTTATTGATTACATCAAAATATAATGATCTGACAATTAAATTGAAATATTGTCTGTGCAATGATCTAGAATAGATCGATGCGGGATATATTGTCTTGTAGATGTTCTAGATACGCCACATCAACTACAATTTATAACATTGTTAAAAACTAACTGTAATAATCTGTAAATATTAGCTCTAATTGTTCTTAGCTAAGTACAATCAACAGCCCATCAGACTATACATTTCTGTTGAAAAAGAACACCTATTACTATGATATTAAGTGCCAGTGTTTAGCATCGTGTGAAAAAAATTAAAATTACACTAATTGGATTAAGCTTCTAATTAATTTACTTTGAAAGATCATCAAAATAGATTAATAAAATAATGTCTTAACACTTTCCACGACAGTGAACTGCTATAGCAGTAATAACAATTAAACTTCTAGTGTCTGGGTTACTGTCCGGGAAAGTGTTAATTCAAGACCACACAGACAAAAAAAATGTGTCTGATCAGGCAGTCTTGTCGGTGGAAAGCGATATCTTCCAGTCGTTCCACAGAAAGTTATAAAAATACAATGAATAGAGAAGACTGTAACCTTGTGGAAGACACAAAAACTGTTAATTTAAATGTTAATTAGTTTTTAATGTAACGTCCAGCTGTTTAATTGTATTATAGGAGTATCTGAAGTGGCTTGGAAAACTGAAGGCATATTTCAAAATTACTTGCAGCTTTCTCTAAGCTAAAATAACTTCATCCATTTTCTCCAAAAAAAGGAAACAAAATTCGCTATCAACAATCATAATAACAATTAAAATTAATTTGAAAATTAAGGATGTAATTAACTATCTTTAATCATTAACAGCAACAAGTCATTAGGAAATTAATTTTCGCACCCCTAATTTTATACTTTCAGAACAAAAACAACTCATTAGTGATGTATGTACCTATACCCATTAAGTGCAATTTGACCTACCACATTCAACCACTGTATCATAATATCAAAGAATACAATGTTATTTTTTTCCAACTTGCACCAAAAGTTCAAAACAATAAGACACGATTTCCACTAACACATCGATCACGCGATGCGGAAAAACGACCGTACGCGATCGAACTTAACCAAAGACTAAACTAACGCAGATGTCCTTGTGCGCCTTTTCATTTTTGTTGTCGCAAGCAGCAAGGAAATTACGCAAAATCTATCGCGAATGTTTACAAGCTAGGTCAATGACGTATCTAATAAAACGTTGGTCATGTCTAGATAAGCAATTTGCTGATTGAGTGCCCTGCGAGAGTAAGCAATCTTTGTTGCTACCTAATACAGAGAATACGGCAAACAAATATCTGTCGTCAACATCTACGTAACAGTTTTTACCTAAATTAGTTTCTGTTTGTTTAATAAGACCTATCTCGAAAACCAAAAACTGCATCATTCAGTGAAAGTGGTTGTTATTTGCACTATTTTATGCTGTTCTGTTTTTTTTTACAAAATAATAGAGTGATAACAGAATCAGACCAGATTTTAGACCTCTTCGGACATGGCGAAATTCCTATAAATTCTAAAGAAGAAAGAATTGAATCATTTTGTTGTTACTCGTTCGTTCGTTTCAGCCGAAAGAAAGACGTCCACTGCTGGACAAAGGCCTCCCCCAAGGATTTCCACAAAGACCGGTCCTGCGCCGCTCGCATCCAGGCACCTCCCGCGACCCTCACCAGATCGTCGGTCTACCTAGTTAGCAGTGGCGGCGTAAGGCGTGGGCGACGTGGGCCACCGCCTACGGCCTCGCGGAACAAGGGGCCTCGCGCATCAAAAATTTTGAAACATTGACTATTAAATATAAATTATTGATAGCTAAACAATGTAGTTAAAAAAATTTTTTTTTCCAAACAAATTCAGCCATAATCAGACACAAAATTAAGCAACAACACGGTTTTAAGTGACAAACATTATTCTTTGGCGCAAAATTCCTTTAAAAATAATCACTGAATCAAGAAATCAGGAACTGTCAATGAATAGCCACCAGTAACCAGTCGCCACAGAACAAGGCCTCGCGAAATCTGTCTTGCCCACATCAAATTTAGGTCTTGCCCCGCCACTGCTAGTTAGTGGTTGTTGTTATTACTAAACAAAAATACTCTTTTTTATACCCATACAACTAATTAGTTTTTAATTCACCCAGCAATAAATAGGCCTTGCATTGAGATAACGTAACATCGGCATGTGATAAGGAAGCATACATTGATCACTTTCCAAGACCGAATGCTTGTGGAAGGTCATTATTTTTAGAGGACTACTTAGATATTATTGTCTAAAGTTGACGTTTGGTTTCGTGCTTCAGAGAGCACTAACGGTCAGATTAAACCATGTCAGACTTGCATAAATATACCAAGGGTTGTCTCATCTCCCCCCTGAAAGGTTCCGACCACCAGCTCGCACTAAGCGTTTCGACGACTCGTTTATAATGCGAACAGCTAGGGACTGGAATTCGCTGCCTGCTGCTGTATTTCCTGAACACTATAATCCGGGCGTTTTCAAGGCGAGAGTGAATAGGCACTTACAGGGCAGATATGTACCATCTTAGACTGCATCTCACTTAACACCAGGTGCGATTGCGGTCAAATACCTGCCTTGTCTAGCATAAAAAAAAAGTATCTACTATCTAGGCTTCTTTTTCATACAATGTCACTGGTGCGATTAGTATCTAGCTCATGGTTAGTACTATCAATAGTCCAGTCATTATAGTAAGTTCACCTCGGAATTCGAGATACCCAGCTGTAAGTCTGTAAATACGTGTATATTGACACCCTAAAAGTTGTCTCAAAACCTACATATGGTAGGGTGTAAGCAACTATTAAATTTCAAGGTCAACGGTCACAAAAATCGGTTTTTTGCGCTTTTTTTAGAAATATCTCATTTCCTGTGGGTCTTTTGCTATTTGTATTTATTATCAATATTGTAGAATACTAAATTCTCTACAAATTTTGTTTAAAAACTTTTTTTATACGGTGAACCGTTTTCGAGATAGAGGGCGGAGAGCGCGCGGTCACTGCATCACTTCAGGTCTACTTAAGCGGTTTAGATTTTTCATACAAAAGGATTTTCCCGCTAATTCCTGTGGGAATTTCGGGAATTCCTTGTTGTAACTAAGCTTTGAGTTTACTAAGGTACCTACATGCCAAATTTCAAGCGTCTAACTTCCGTTAAGCGTTTAGATTTTTCATACAAAAGGATTTTCCCGCTAATTNGATTAATGTGTAAAGCACAGAATGTGCCAGAATCATCGTGTACGTATGATTGATATAATAAATTAACATTACGACAGAAATATATCATTACTGTTCTTGTGTTAAGCAGAATAAAAAATGACTTAATCCGCTTGTAACGTAACTATAACTCATTCATGTAGTGTAGTGACTGAACATTATTCTTTGCAGACAAAGGGAACTTAAGACACACAAGATCAAATAAAGTTTAATGTCACAAATCCATTGTTTCTTTTTTACAATGTGCAGTGAACATTTCAATCAAAGAAAGTTACCACAATCGTTTTTATAAAATATTTAATTAAAAAAAATATTAACAAAAATAATGCAAAAATACATGAATAAGTTACTGACACCGAAATATGCTTTTGTGTGAAATACTGAGTCATAATCATAAAGTCAGAGTTCAACGACTCATACTGATAGGTCAATGTCCCATAACAAATGTACTGAAATAATTATATTTTGTTTGAAATTGGTATATACTAGTTGTCGAATAAGTTTACTTAAAACATAAAAGATATTTATTTCAATTATTTCCCTAACTGAAAAAGTCTATTGCTGTACAAAGGCCAATTAATGATTGTTTTGAAACAATTAACATTCAGTGATAAGAACGCTCTATTCATTCTAATTAATGTACCATAATGAGTGCATTATCCATTAGCCTTGGTAGCTAATCCTTATCTATTAAAATTATTTAAATAGGGTGGGTGTACCAGTAACAAACCGAATAAGCGACATTTTAAAAGTAATTTTGATCAGGGTTCGAGGATATATATCAAGGGATATATATCAAGATATATATCGGATATATATCCGATATATCAAGCCGGTTTTGATGATATATATCAACTTTTAAAATTTGTTACTGTATTTGTACTTTTTGACATAAGATTTTTATTTTTTTAGTTGATTTTGCCGTATTTCAAGGATATTTTATGTTTTTGCTTTATTTGTCTGATTTCAAGTTTTAAAAACATTAAAAACATGTTTATGTAACACATATGCAATATTATTCATGAATAATACAATAAAATAATACTATGGCTTTCATACAAAATTGATATATATCAAAGTTGATATATATCGGATATATATCATAAATATCCGATATTTTGATATTTATAATAAATATCGGATATTTTCGAACCCTGATTTTGATATTGTGACTCAATTATTACAACAATAATTGCAAAAAAAAGAATTAACTACTCCTTGTCTGTCATAGAATCAAGTAGCTTATTCCAATTTTCTTAATAGCTGTAAGGTTTATTTTTATTTAACAATCAATGTGCAAAGTCGCAATTTGCCTAAGGTTGACCAGATACCAAGTCGTGCTTGTCGCTTTTATTTATGACTAATTATTGGTAGAAGTACGGCAGTGCTACCAAACGTAACAAAAGTGGCGGGAAATTCGACAGATTGTTAACATTTTGATGTGAAATTAGAAATGGTGTACTACTGGTTCCTGGTGTGGGACTGGTGCACCCACCCTACTTCTCATATAAAAATTCGCAATAGTGATATCAATTGCTAAATTCAATCAATGTTACAATAACTATTAACTCAGTAGAAGTAGTTGTTGCAGGCCGCCACCAATCGGCCATTGTGGAAATCATTGGGGGAGGCCTATGTTCAGCAGTGGACATCCTATGGCTGAAATGATGATGATGAAGCAGTAGTTATCACAGAAGATAACTCTTTGCTGTTTTAAAAATGAAAACCGTCAAAATAATCTTATTTGCAGAAATAATTCCAATAAGATACAATAAGAATAGACTTCTTTTTTTAAATATCAAAACCACTATCCATTTGATGATATAGATCTTATGGCAAATGAACTTTATTCTTTCTATTTCTCTAAATCATGATGTTAAGGTAAAGGCATTGTACGATTTTTAAGAATAAATAACAACAATTGTGTTTTTAAAGTCAAATTCGACTTTTTGATATTAGGTAACGTTGTTTCAGTAATTAAAGTCGTAAAACAATATCTACATTACGGAATCGGGAATTCAATTCAAGGGTATTGATTTCTATTATTGTATCAATGTAACTTTCGGCTAAATAAAGCTGAAATAATGTGTTTTCTAAAGGTGGTACATTATGTTTTACATTAAACTTCGAAAAACGTAGTTTAAATACACGAAAATGTAACAAACATGATGTGAAAAATCAATACGCACCTGGTTTTCTTGAAAACTGTTGGACCACTCCGATGTCCAAGTCTTGACCGCAAACATGTCGGATTTATCATTTATATTATTCAATAAACCTACGACGTCCATTTTTGGCGTTAATTAATACATAGCAATACAATTTTGCTTAAAATTTCGCGTTTTCCGAACCAACAATGGGTCAGCTGTTTGGCAGTTTTGATTGATCTTGAATTGATCTGGGAGAATTTTTTTTAGAACAATACAACTGTCAAAAATCAATGCAGATAAAAAATACTTCCACCTCAAAAATGCATTGAAAGCGGCATCTATTATTTAATTTGAGAATCACAGATAAGGATAGATGCAGCATTGTGTCAAAATTTGTATGAAGCCGAGCACAGAATATGGATTAGAGTAGATACAGCAAGTTGCTAGTCAAAGCGTGCCATTCCAGTATGTCCAAATGGACATACATGGTCGAGTGATGTTCATGTAATCCGATTACAACAATCGGATACGATGATTTTACGAGGACAGTAGTACGAACACGGTAGAGAGAAGAAATTATTTACGGATTGAGAATTATAATTAACAGCAACGAATAACAAATATGTAATTAATTAGAATAAAGTAGCAGAAGAAGAATTATAAATCAAGTTAGATCAGTGATCGCGGAAGACAGAGTGCACTGTATAACATCGAAATATACAAATCAAGAAGTTAGGTCAGTGATCGCGGTATACACTATTACTACTATGTATACGACGCCCGAGATTTTGTTTATGAAAGAACATTAGGCACAACAAAAATATTATTTGCAAATTAATAATGTAGAATTGTAGAATAACGTCTACCGCTACATAATTATTTTAATACACAGTCAGACTAGCTATAAATTTAACAAAATATCAGTTTTATCGGAATTAATTAATTTTTGAATCGAGTCACACGATATCATTCGATGACTTTGCGAATGCAGTACGATGATACGATTACTTTTACGTTGCGGCCATGAAGCTACAGATAAAAATGGAGGCCACACTCTGAATACCTACTTGAAGCACAAACTATGTATCACTATCTCGCTCTCTGTGGGCAGACTCTCTCTTTCTAAATAAACAAAAAATATAAATTTGCTCAAATTCAATGAAACTCAATGTAAAATCTTTATTTCTTGACATAGGTATCATTAAAAATGATAAGTGCAAATACTGGTAAAACGTTAAGAAGAAATTAATGTTTACAATGATCCAATGTCGAAAATCACGAAATAAACACTTACGCGTGGAATCTTATGTCACTTCCAGGACACTACGTACTACCGCAACCACGCACTACAAAATTTTGCATCATTTCTTGTGATAAAACAATGATTATTTCCTGTAAACAATCTCAAACGGAATTAACTGCATAATAAACAAAATAGTAAACAACCGCCATGATGGGCCGGATTGGGCCGATGTTGCCACATGGTACCGATTCCCCAGGAATTGGGATTGTAATTCCCTGATTCGCCAACACATTAAAATTAAACGGCCGACAATTTTGTGATTTTTAATTCAACTAGGTAATCGTAGTTTGAAATATTTAATTATTTATTTGTTTAACTTATGATTTGGTTAGCGAATTGGCTATTTCGAAGAATTTACTAGGAGATTTAAATCAGGAGATAGCAATACTACAGTTCACACTAAAAAGAGAGGTAGGGCCACAGAGNCTTACAGCTGGGTATCTCTAATTCCGAGATTCTTACCTAATTTAAGCTTAAATGACTGGACTACAATTATCTTCAAATCTATAGCCCAACATCCTTGGGGGCACCAGACCATTCTGGGGGTGGGCGTGCCACCCCGCTCCTCCCGCTATCTATGTAGCCAAGCTATCTGTGCCAGTCTAGCATGCCATTTTTGGGACACACCCTGTATCATCAAATGACATTACATCGAATGACGCAACCGCCCACCCTTCATGTCCACCGTCCACCCGATATGGGTCAGCAACATTGTTGTCAAATGCGATGTCGTGAAATCGAATCGACATTTACGAAAAACGGAACATTAACGACCATTTTCTCAAAACTGCTTGATGGATTAACTTACGCCCGTATTTTCAAACATTACTATGAGGTCTCACAGTGCTCGTGGACGCACAGGGTCACTATCACAGAGCTCTATTCAACGCTGTGCGTTCGATTTTCTGCTTCACTTAAGCAAGTATCGTTTTGTGAATACGGGCGTTAGTTACCAAGACGTAAATAGATTGGTAAACAATAAATTTTATCGCTTACATCACATTTTTATCGTTTAATAAAGGAAGAACTGTCTGCACACAAGCATTTGTGCACTCTTGGCCAGTTAGCTATAGATCAATAATTATAAAATAAATTATTTCTTTTGGACATCGTTTTAGTTATAACTAGCTGACCCGGCGAACTTTGTTCCGCCTTAATGGCAATAAATAAGCAGACTTTTTTTTATTTCGAACGGGATAAAAAGTATCCTATGTCCTTCTCCTGGCTCTAAACTACCTCCCTGACAATTTTCAGCTAAATCGGTTCAGCCGTTCTTGAGTTATAAGCGAAGTAACTAACACGACTTTCTTTTATATATATACAGGGTGGAAACGATAAGTGATCTCACTCGATTATTTCTAAACTACACAACATATTGAAAAACTGGTTACTGATCCTGAAAGAGCTTTACGAGCTCTTTCTAACGGTATCAGTAATAGGTTACAGAATTAACTGGATATATCCGAAAATTCAATGTTTTCAGCCTCCATACTAAATGTATGCCAGCCACACAATATGAAAAGTGTATTTTTTTTAATAAATAATAAACACTTGAAATGAACTCGTAAATTGCAATCTTATTTAAAATAATTCATGGAAAACATTGGTTCTAGGCTTTAGTTGCTATAATATTATCAAGACATGAGTGCCATGACTGTGGCAGTACTAAATGTATGGAAGTTGGAAACATTGAATTTTCGGATATATCCAGTTNGTAAATTATAATTTCTTCTCTCTACCGTGTTCGTACTACTGTCCTCGTAAAGTCATCGTATCCGATTGTTGTAATCGGATTACATGAACATCACTCGACCATGTATGTCCATTTGGACATATCGGAATGGCACGCTTTGACTAGCAACTTGCTGTATCTACTCTAATCCATATCTGTGTTGAGAATGCACAATGAACTAATGGAATGGAGGGAAAGCAGCCCATAGATAAGAATAAGTACTACAAGCAGCCCCCCTAGAGCAAGTGGAAAAAAAATTAATGTGACCCGTGAACCATCAAGCTAAAGATAAAAATGGAGGCCAGACTTGGAACAAAAACTTGAGTCAAATACCTACTTACCTCTATCTCGCTCTCTGTGGGCCGACCTCTCTTTTTAGTGTGGACTGTAGTATTGCTATCTCCTGATTTAAATCTCCTCTTCGAAATAGCCAATTCACTAACCAAATCAGAAGTTAAACAAATAATTAAATATTTGAACTACGATTACCTAGTTGAATTAAAAATCACAAAATTGTCGGCCGTTTAGGTTTAATGTGTTGGTGAATCAGGGAATTACAATCCCAATTCCTGGGGAATCGGTACCATGTGGCAACATCGGCCCAATCCGGCCAATCATGGCGGTTGTTTACTATTTTGTTTATTATGCAGTTAATTTCGTTTGAGATTGTTTACAGGAAATAATCATTGTTTTATCACAAGAAATGGTGCAAAATGTTGTAGTGCTTGGTTGCGGTAGTACGCAGTGTTGCCAGAAGGTTACTTTTGAACTGCATTGGTTACTTTTAGGTTACACTAATGAAAAGGTTAGGTACTTTTAGGTGATTTTTCAGAAATTGTAGAATTAACTTTTACCTACAGGTTATTCAGTAAAAAATACTAATAGTGACAATTTAAAAATTATGTCATAAACTGCATTTAAACATGAATTTGATTTATTATTTGTTAAAGAAAATTAGTTTTAGCGAATGTTTTTCGATAATAAAGCAAATCCATTAAACGGTTTTATACGACCGGTCACTTTTCGGTCTTCATGGAATAGTCAAAATTTCGAATTTAGGTAAACGATTGATGATCAATTGTATTCATTTTCCATCCATGAACAACCTTACACAATCGCTCCGCACCGTGGTGTCCTGGAAGTGACATAAGATTCCACGCGTAAGTGTTCATTTCGTGATTTCCGACATTGGATCATTGTAAACATTTTTCACATTTTTTACAGTAATTTCTTCCTAAAACGTTTTACCAGTATTTACATTTATCATTTAATGATACCTATGTCAAGAAATAAAGATTTTACATTGAGTTTCATTGAATTTGAGCAAATTTATATTTTTTGTTTATTTAGAAAGAGAGAGTCTGCCCACAGAGAGCGAGATAGTGATACCTAGTTTGTGCTTCAAGTAGGTATTCGGAGTGTGGCCTCCATTTTTTTTTATCTATAGCTTCATGACGTGAACGAACGATCATAATTACGTCGTCATTCAGTCAAATCTCATCTCATTCACTCACTCAAAAAAAAAATCATTCTTCGTTTGCGATTGAGAGTGGTTAGCCGTGTGTTTTATTTTTGTAAACGTAGTAAAAATTTTCTGACCATATTTCATCAGCAGTTTTTCATTAGTGATACTTCGGATCACCATACCGAAAAACAGGGTAAGTTTGCTTTTGATTCTAAAATCATAACCTATGCCAATATGGCGTCACGCTAATACGCACTTATATATTTTACAGAGGATGTCTCGCTATAGAGAATGGGATTTGTCCTGCAAAGTTTACGTTGGCAACCTGGGTACAAATGCTTCCAAATATGAGATCGAAAAAGTGTTCTCAAAATACGGTAACATCAGGAATGTGTGGGTTGCCCGAAACCCTCCTGGGTTCGCATTTGTTGAGTTCGAAGATCCTCGTGACGCCGAAGATTCTGTACGAGGCTTAGATGGAACGTGAGTACTTTGATAACTAATTTCTACTCTAGCTAAATAAACTCCAAGTTTATTATAAGTATTGATTTCTTAGTGAAAGTGACGTCGGCGCCCGGCGGTGCCGTGTCATCCGCCATCTTGTTCTGATCCACTCTTGACCTATTTTAACGCATTTATTTTTCAGCACATGGTGTTTTTCTACCTGCGTGTTATTTTCTCAAAGAAAAAATACCACACACGATAGTGAATATTAAATTCAACTTAGCCTTATAAAAAATAAAATGCCTTCCATAATCTTAATTTTAATAGCTACTACAGTAAAATTTTCTGCAGCTCTGCAATCTTGGCGGTCAAAAGTTTATAAAATAGTTTATTTTATCATTCCTATAAATGCCAGTTCTTTCAAATAGATGATTGAGGCTCATATTTCTCCAAATTACAATAATTGTTCTGTATTTACATAATGTTATTTACACAAGACATATGGAACACACTTGCATGCTAAAACAAGAGATTTGAATCGTCAAAGCAAAATTATTGTTTCACATTCATAATAAAAATTCAAGGCATTCCTTTCAAATCTCATGTAAAATCAATGTAATGGTAAAAAGTCATTATTTGTATCAGCACGCTCCTTAGATCCGTTTCATTTTTAATGTGAAACGCTTGAGTCATAAGTGTGCAAGATTATAATACCTCCACATTGAGACTGAGATGTTGTTTTCTAATGAAAGCGACTTGTCTTGATGTGGGGAACATTTATTTTCAAAACAATTATCTCATGCTTCTGCATTTTACTGTATTCCTAAAAAAAAATTTTATTCATTCTAGACGTTGCTGTGGTACACGGATCCGTGTTGAGATGTCGAATGGACGCACAAGGAGAGATAGAAGGTACTATAAGTACGCATTAGACGTACCTATTACTTGAAATCTATATCCTGATATTTACATAGACATTCAGAATTACTTACAAATTTTATTTGCTCATGAACTCTTTGTTTGAAATGACAAAAAGTAACTTAATGATCTCCAGTAATTCCATAAATTAAATTGCTTTTATTGTAATTTTTTATAAATTTTTAGTAGATAATTTACTAATGATTTGCTTATTATTAATATTCATAAATTATATTTTATAATAACTTGCAATATTTAAATCAGCTGCAATTAGTATTATTAAGCTTGACAGCGAGATATTAAAAGTGGTGGGTGTTGGAACGTTTGCAGGTCCATTTTATCAACCAACCACCAACACACCGACCTCACCACATCTCTTCACCACAACTACGGCTCGTTTACCGATAAGACATCCGCGAACAACGCCGCTAGCAACAACTTCTTCAAAACGCTCTCCAAACTTCTCGGCGCAGCTGAGGCGACAACCAACTACGTCCTATTTCTCCTCCCAACCGCCATTACCTAGTCCTGACCCAGCGTTACCTGGACACGATCCTTAAACCCGAGAGCCACATAGGATCAATCACCTTGACCATTGCAACCTTGATGCTTCACCGACTGCACACCGAGGCACCGAGCCAACGACAACTTAACAACGGCCGACTCTCCCCGTGTTACCACATTTTCTCTCGAAACTTCCGTTAAAGCCAACGTCTGAAGACATTGAACTCCGCCTACATTCAAGTTAAAATCCCCTGGCCTCACAGCAGCCCCTCAACGGTCAACGACCTTCGCTGGCTCATCAAGGCTCGGTACTATTTAAATCCTATACTTAGCACTACCTTACCTTACCTAGTAATAGTCGAATTTGTGTTGGCGTTTTAGGTATATTTAGGATTACAGTATTGTAGAAAGTAAAAGTAAATAGAAATCTATTCAATAACAATATTTCCCATTAACAATTTTCGGCTGAAGCAAAATTGATTAACTTTGAATTTGAGAATTTTAAAATTTTAGGGTAAAACAGTATACAGACTAAATACAGATTCAGGTTAGATCGACATTATTAAAGTGATTTATTTTTTTGACGTTGTTCTGATTGTATAAATATTAGCAGGTCTCGCAGCCGAAGCCCCCGCCGCCGGTCGTACTCCAGAGGTCGTTCTGTGTCCCCGCGTCGGTCTCCTTCGGTCCGCCGCCGATCCCCTTCAGTCCGCCGGTCGAGATCTCGAGAAAGAAGAAGCCGATCTGACAGCAAGAGCAGGTAAATATGTAGGTAGCACGATTTTTATTTTATTTTTTTAATCATATCAACCATTTCTTCACGTCATGCACTGCTACAAAAGGTCTGAGGTGGTTGTGACCACAGATCCCACTTGCACAAATTGCCATTGGGTCTGTGTTGATCGACATCCAACCTCAAACCTTTAGAAGTGCCTTATTGGTTAATTTTTCATATTTTTCTAGACGTAACAGAGAGATAATGGCAGGTATGACAATCAAAAATTATTCTGTCACTCTTTGCTGTAATCTGCTGACTGAAATTAAATTAATAATTTCCAAACAATTGCCATAAATGTGAAGCAAATTCATTTGCATTAAATATAACAGTTAACTTTCTCCCTGCCATAAAACTGTTATTGTGTGTTGTAACTTGTAATATTGTAAATACTTCATGATCAATTTCCTTTTTACTTGCAGGTATTAATATCAGGAGGAAAAGTACAATTGGACAGCTAAATGTAATATAGTGGTATTCTAAAAGTGGTGTGTATGTGTGATTTAAATCTATGATTTGTATGAGATCTTAGCTTGCAAATATTTTGTTTTAGATTGGACAAAGTTTGTAGATTTTAAGATGATTTTGTCAAGTCTCCATTTGTTTTTTTACAAAATAATGTATAAAGATTTATTGTAGGTTTAATCTTTGAATATTTTTGCTTATCAGCCTGATACTTTGTTGTACCTACATACTTTTTTAATTAAAAATACTTTAAGATGACTTACGTAAGAATAAAATATCTATTGAAAATAATTACGGTTTTCTTATTTTAAAATCCTCTACTTATCTATAAATACGAATTGGTCGAAATATTGTAATAAATGGTGTCACACTGCCTGTGTCTGGTAGTACCATTGCAACTCAAAAGCCTTTTTAGGGTTCCGTAGCCAANGCGCGAGCCCGACTCGCACTTGGCCGGTTTTTTTGCTCTTCAATCTGTGTTCCTAAAATCAATATCAAAAGAAAAAAGGGCGTGAGTCGAGTCTTGGTTACATTCTCTAGGTGAGCGTGAGCCGCGTGAGGAAATTACTTTTTAGCACTGCAATAGACGATAGGTGGCGCTAGGGGATTGGAGAGAATGAACAAAAAAAAGTTGAAAATTGCTTAAAAAATATATTTTTATTATGTTTAACAATGTAAAATATAACAGTCACAATAAGTAGGAAACCCTTTAGCTAACCAAGTAATATTTTTCGAAATTCACAGTTTTATTATTTAAGATTAAGACTAATAAAAATATTAACTTAAAAAAAATAATCACTATTCACCAATTAGATCACCTTAAAAATAATACAAAAATGGAGGGATAGATATTAATTGCTTTTCTTATTATTATTATTATTCACTAAAGTCACAGGTCTCTGTTTAAGATTCTCAAAGAAATTAAAATAAATTAATGTACCAATAGTCACACAAATTGTGCCTAAGATATGTAAACTAGTGAGATTATTTTTAAAAACAACAGATGAGATTAAAAGTGATACAAATTTTCTTAATGTTAGTATAAATGTAACTGTTACAGAGGTTTCTTTTGTGGCCAGTTTGTGCACTGAATGTGTGCAGTAAAACTGGGATATAATGTTTAAGGCAATAAGTAACCAAATATCCCATGACAGACTCCATCCAGTATGAACTAGCTCGGAGGAAATTGCCAGAAAAAATGGCAGAGGTAGCGCATGAGTGAAGAACATCATCTGAAAAACAAGAAAAACTAAGTTGTCTGCTCTATGGTTAGATTATTATACAGTAATGTACTTTTTAAAATTATTATCAATACATGGTAGCACTATCTTAGTTAATGATCTTCATAACTCAATAAAAATAATAAGTTTATTATCTTTATTCTTAACTAGCTTTCCGCCCGCGGCTTCGCCCGCGTGGATTTTTGTCTGTCACAGAAAAACTTTATCGCGCGCGTCCCTGTTTCAAAAACCGGGATAAAAACTATCCTATGTTCTTTCCCGGGACTCAAACTATCTCTATGCCAAATTTCATCAAAATCGGTTGCGAGGTTTAAGCGGGAAAGCGTAACAGACAGACAGACAGACAGACAGACAGAGTTACTTTCGCATTTATAATATTAGTTGGGATTAGATAAGTGATTACATAATTCAATTATATTTTTCTAGAAATTAGTAGAACCCACCTCACTGGGATGTTTTCCGTATTTCGCGTACAATATCTCTTGTTGGAGCCCAGTAAATGCGCCGGTTATCAGCGTAGTAACAAGTATAGCGACTCCTATGCACCAATATAGGAATATCCCATCATTCCTGTCATCCGGAGCTCCTCCGTACGTTGCTAAAACGACTCCCACACTTATAAGGACGGAACCAATTGCATTTGACACTCTGGGAGATTGTTTTTTGACGATGCAGTATACAAGCATACTTGCAGGGGAAGACGCTGATCTGAAAATTTATAACAAATTATTATGTCATATTTTTGCTGTAAAACACAAAATTAAATTAGCTTATAATTGTTTGTGTTTAAAATTAATTTACACTAGCTTATCAAAGTTAGAGCGAGTTTACACAAAAACTGTTTACAAGATTTACTACAGAGATCTCAATCCTTAGAGATTTAGTGTGTAATGTTCACTAGGCTAGACTAAGTAATTATTTCTTTTTAAGGTCATAAGGCTTAATAAAGCTCTGCGTGGTGATCATATAATTACCGTATAATCATATGCAGTGTTGAAGGCACATGCAAGGCATAAACATAATTATTTGCAACACTTGTTACGAAAAACAAAGCTATCAGAATTGCGTAATGCTTCAGAGGTATTTTGGGCTTTATCTGAAAAAGCAAACCACTTTTGATTATTTAAAAAAACATGCAAAAACTTTATGAATTTGTTGAGGTTAGTAACTAAGTAGTGTACTGCTTACCGTCCCGAATTTAAGGGTGAATACAAAACCCTGTAAAGAAATAAAGAAAAACTGGAGGAAAGTTATCAAGTTGGCACTCTCTGGACATTTTGACATCAATATTTCCATAAGAAAAGCGGAAGAACAACAACCAAGAAAAACTTTCAGGATAGTGTTTGATATGCGCATTTTAAAGATAATTAAATCACTTAAAAATTACACAACAATTATAAACTAAAATCTGATATTTTTTATATACTTTTGTAAACTTTACACTTGTTAAAAGCATTAAATTTTACATTATAATCAACTTTAAAAGTTTGTGTTTATTTTTTTTTTTTTTTTTTTATATTATATTACAGAACGGTTTCAATCAGCCTCACCATTGTCGCTTCAGATATAGTGCAACAGATAGACGAGAATCCAGGAATTTACTTCGACCCAATTGGAACAGTTAGAATCACCAGTGATGACCTTCACGTTTTGGTTCCGGTAGATATAGCATATATAAAACCTCACATAGACAATATAAATTCCATCCTGGGAACTGCTAGGTATCTTTGCCAACAAAATGATTATATTTCAGATATTTAATGTAATAGTTTATTACAACCCCTGGTTTCAAGACTCAGTGACATAAAACGAGATTATAGTTCTATCTCACATTTGATTTCAAATCGCGATAAAAGATCAGCCTGGTTCGCCGGAATTGGAACCGCTTTTAAACAAATAATCGGTACAATGGACGAAGACGACGCTATTAAATATGGTAACGCCATTCAAACCCTTCAACGTAATGATAAAAAACTTGCATCATTACTTAAGGACAACATCTTAATGACTAGTACGGCACTTTTGCATTACAATGAAACCATAACAGCCATTACCGTAAATGAAGCACGTTTGAATGACGCTATTGAAAATTTGTCAGCTAGTGTTAAGAACCTATCTGTAGTTTCATAACAATGAGGAACCCCTGATAGTTTGTCATCTAAAATTATTCCTAAAAACTTTGCTTCCTTACAAGCCTGGATAGTGATATTATCATAGTAGACAAAAACAGGAGGTGGCATCCGCATTCTACTAAAAAGAACCACAGAACTTTTGGGGACAGATAATGATAGACAGTTATTATCTAACCAGATTTTAAGGGAACTTAGAGCTGCCGTTAAGCAATGACATAATTCGCTTACTGAATAACCGGAAACATACAAAAGAAGGTCATCAGCATACTGTAGAATATTAATTTTATTAATAAAAACAGATTCAAGGTCGTACGTATATACATTATACAACAATGGGCTTAAAACAGACCCCTGAGGTAATCCTCTCCAAAGAACTCGGGTCAGGACTGTTGAATCTTGAGTAGTAACGTGAATAGATCTTTCTGATAACATACTAATAATGAAATTGATTAGGGTAATCGGTACTTGTAGCTTTAAAAGTTTATTTTTAAGAATAGATAAATTAACACCATCGTAAGCGGCTGTGATATCAAGAAAGGCAGCGAGGAGACATTGATTATTAGTAAAGGCTAAGCGAATATCTGTAGTAAAAATTCCTAAACTATCCATAGTACTCTTCCCTTTTCTAAAACCAAATTGACTGGAAGCTAATACACCTTTGCTTTCTAAATACCATTCTAATCTATTTTTTACTAAATNTAAGAATAGATAAATTAACACCATCGTAAGCGGCTGTGATATCGAGAAAGGCAGCGAGGAGACATTGATTATTAGTAAAGGCTAAGCGAATATCTGTAGTAAAAATTCCTAAACTATCCATAGTACTCTTCCCTTTTCTAAAACCAAATTGACTGGTAGCTAATATACCTTTGCTTTCTAAATACCATTCTAATCTATTTTTAACTAAATGCTCTGCAATTTTGAGAAGAACAGACGATAAAGCAATAGGCCGATACGAAGTGGAGTTACCTACAGGAGAGTTCGGTTTGAGGATTGGTATTACCTCTTGAGATTTCCATGATGGAGGAATATTACCGTTAATCATGATGGAATTAATTATTGATAGAAAATATGAAAGGCAAGAATCGCTTAAATTAATGAAAAAAGAATAAGGAACACCATCAATACCAGGAGCCGAATCTTTCACGTACGACAAAATGCCTTTTAATTCAGAAAAAGTAAATGGAGCATTTAAATCTGTAAGGTTTTCAGTGCAAATAGGATAGTTTAATTCATGATATACTATATCTATAGGAGGCACAGAAGGAGGCGCTAATTTGTCTAGAAAGCTATCAACAATTGATTTATCTATGAACGAGGGAGTACTCTCTCGGAAACAAGATCTAAATCTCCGTATATTTTTCCATACCTCAGATGGGGAAACGTCTGGTGATATCGAAGTGCAAAATGTCTTCCATCCTTCCCATTTTTTTTGTTTAAATAACTTACGGGTGCTGTTTATAAGTTGAGACAAAATTTCTAAGTTTTCGGAAGAGGAAAATGCTCTGTACGCACGTTCCGCTAATTTTCTTTTTTTAATAGCTTCAGCGCATTCTTCATCCCACCATGGGGGAGGAGGAATATATCTACTACTATTTTTTTTAACAGGAAAAATATTGTCCGCCACGTCAATTAAAACTTGAGTGAAGGTATCAGCACAATTGCTATGATTGTCTAATTGTAAGGAAGGAAGTGACTCTAATCTTTCCTCCACTTTTTCTTTAAAAAGTTTCCAATCAGCATTAATCAATTGGTACTTCAATCGAGGGGGACGGATTGGGATTGATTTGTCAGAAAATGGTAAAGTAATAAATAAAGGATAATGATCACTGCCATATGAAGAACTAAGTACGTGCCAAGTTAAAGATGACGCTAAGGAAGGAGAACATATGGATAGATCAGGAGCGCTGAATCCTTCAGAACTAGCAGTGCGACGTGTAGGTTCCCCGGAGTTTAGTAAACATAAGTTATTCACATCTAAAAAATCTAAGATTCTTGAACCGTAATAATTAGAGGAAGAACTACCCCAAGAAGCATGCTGGGCGTTGAAATCTCCCATTATTAAAATGGGTTTTGGAAGGGAAGGTAAAATACTGAGTAAAATTTCATCATATATAATAGAGGATGGATGTGGAATATAAATAGAAACAAAACAAATGCCGTTTACAGAAACTGCTATAATGGAATAATCATCATTATGAATAGGAATGGGAATGTGTTTGAAAGGCCAAGAATGCTTGATCAGCAGTGCAACACCACCATAGCCATCTAGACGGTCCTCTCTAATGCAGGCATAGCCTGCTACCTTAAAACAACTACTAGATTTAAGCCAAGTCTCTTGGAGAGAAATGGCTAAAGGGTCATATTTATTAATTAAATGAAACAAATCTGATTTTTTACTGTAAATACTGCGGCAATTCCACTGAATTACCACTGAATTCATTATTATTTATAAAATTACTATTAAAAGTACTATCATGCAAATTATTATTTTTATTACTTACAGAGTTTTGGGATGAGGCAGCGTTGGTCGGTGTGAAGTTTGAATTATAATGAGACAATGAATTAATAAGTGTGATAATAAGTTCTTTAACAGACATAATATCAGATAGTAAAGAGTCTTTACTTGAATCCTTATAAGCAGTGCCGGATGAAGGAAAGTTTATGTTGAAATCTTTAATAAGAGCATCATGAGAGGCCTTATCATATCCAGGACTAATTACTGGAGGGGATCTAGGCTTAAGAAATACTGTTTTTTTATATGAACTCCTGCTGGGAATACTATCAGATGTATTTTTCAAAACTGGTCTATTTGTGTTCACTGGGGCTACTGTTGTCAAAGCATCAGCATAAGACTTACCAAGAGGAGGGTGTAATTTTAAAGCCTCAGAATAAGAAATACAATTCTTAGCCATAGTCTCTTTAATTTGCTTTTGACGGGAAAACTCAGGACATTTTTTGCTGGTCGCAAAGTGAGAACCTGTACACAGACAACATTTAACAAACTCTTCATCAACTGAACAGCTGTCACCCGAGTGGTCATGGAAAAGGAAATAGCTGCACGATTTCTGCCTATGCGTTTTAAACTGCCATTTATTATGTTTTTAAAACCATGCTTTTTCAAAAACAAACCAAGAGAAACCGGGTGAATTGAAGTATTTTGATTGGAAGTTGTCTGTTCTTTTTGTATGTGTATGACATATGGAGAAACATCAGATGCCTGGTAAAGATTCCTACCAATTGGTACACGCTGAGAATTCGAATTATTGTTCTCAAACTCAACATCAAGTGAGTTTGGTGAGTTTGACACTGGCACAGAGTTTTTAGCAGTAGTATCATTGAAATTGTTTGGTTGTTGTTTTGGCTGAATTAGCGTGTCGGAATGAGATTCCGAGTGACATTCACATGAATCAAGCGAAGGAACTGTAGAGCTTTTATGATGACGTCTCCTCTTTTTATTACAGTGTTTACAATACTTAGGTGCAGAGGCCCGTTTTAAACGTTTGGATTTATTTTGAGAATGTTCGGAGCCATCCGTGCAAGAACTTTCAGTATCTAATACTGAATAATTATTAGCTATAGTGACATTGTACGAAACCTGGGGGACAGGGCCCCCAGGTTCGTCTGGGTCGTTCATGTAACCAGAGAAAAAGGTAAAAACTTACCAGAGCACTGCCAAAATCACTAACTATTAAATAAATAGAAAGATAAACATAAATATACTACACTCCACTACTTAACTGATCTCTATTTACTAGATAATATATAAAAATCGCAAAAGCAAAAATTGAGACAACCGCCTAGCTTGACGTTTCCCGCGCTTTCCGTGATCTACTTTCAAAACCCTTTCGTCTTTTGTTTCACTTATTCCAAATTACGTGTTCTCCATTCGAAACCGTTCGTATTTTGTTTTACTGATTCCGAATTTGTTTTGACAGCCAATGTTTTTCTCGTTTGCTGCAGTGTCGATGCGCACGCGCCGCATCAGCCAGTTCGCGCCGCTGCTGATAGCGCTGGTGGGGCTGCCTGCGCGCGGCAAGAGCCAGCTGGCTCACCGTCTCTCCAGGCACCTGAACTGGAATGGAGAGAGCACTAAAGGTAATTAAAGCAAAATTATTCTAGTTAAAATTGATTTGAATGTTAAGCCATATTGAGTTACGAAGAAGAAAAAGTTAGCAGTCAAGCCCCAAACAGTCACCACCACGTAATATGAAATCCAAGAATAAGCTATAATAAGTAGACTTGCAAATTCACTCACCACAATTTAAATAAATGATTAAAGCAAAAAGTTGAGTTGTATCACCAATTTATCCATTTAAAGCTAAAAGTCAGCTACATGAAGACATATAAAGCGTTAATGAATATAATTTTACTAGCTTTCCGCCCGCGGCTTCGCCCGCGTGGAATTTTGTCTGTCACAGAAAAACTTTATCGCGCGCGTCCCTGTTTCAAAAACCGGGATAAAAACTATCCTATGTTCTTTCCCGGGACTCAAACTATCTCTATGCCAAATTTCATCAAAATCGGTTGCGAGGTTTAAGCGGGAAAGCGTAACAGACAGACAGACAGACAGAGTTACTTTCGCATTTATAATATTAGTTGGGATTAGTTGGGATACATATTGGCGTAGTGTTAATGTTTCTATAAACATAGAGGCGTAGTAGACTCACAGTACCGTGACCTAAATAGTACCATACTGTTGATCTTGGTTTCGCTAATAATAAGATCACGCACAGCTTCAGTACATTATCTATTTTATTTGCTCCAATTCACAATGGGGAACATCTCGTGACAGATTTAGGCCTATTTGGACTTTGGACTGATAAAATTAACAACTGATCTCATGCAAACAGATTTTAACAGGCTGATATTTAACTAAGTATGTGGAACACATAATACCTACAAAGCCTTCACCAGACTGCAATGATGACATAGTACTTATGTGAGGTCATCATCAGCAACAGTAAATATTTGCTAGTGCAACAGTCATTGCCCAAATTACATTTTAATATAAGATATAGGTGTAAAAAAATATTGTTCATAATATTATGATCAAGCAACCTTCACGTGATCAGGTGTTTACCAATTCCAACTATTTTCGTGTATTTGAACTTGTTTGACCTCTTCTTTCTGTTTTTTCACTATCGTTAGGTATAATAGGCAACTTTTACCTTTAACGCTAGCTTATCCTCTGTTTTGTTTACCCTTACATCTCTCCGACTCGTACAATATTTACTATTGATTGCCTCATTAATTAAGAACTCTGCCAATATCATAGACGTTTTTCCTCGTGGAATTATGTTCTGTTCATTTTTAAGTTGATTGGTTTAAAATACTTATTGGTGTAATCTAAGGTATGCGCTGAGGTATTTCTCATGCCTATGATTCGTTCCGTTTCATTTTCTTTCTCCGTAGCCAAATGGAATTTAACGTGCAGGTATGCGGTAATGCTTCTTTCTTCTGGGTGCCAATTCCTGCCTCATTTTCAATTTCGCGCGTCGGGTTATTAGTTTTTAAGCCAGAATTTGTTATAGGTTTTGACTTGAAGTATTTTTTGTCTCAGTGTTCGACTGCAGCGAGTACCGCCGCCGGCACATGGCTCTCTACTGCAGCCACGACATCTTCCGCGCCGACCACCAGCAAGGATCTGCTATCCGCCGCCAGAGCGCGCGCGAGGCGGTGCAGGACGCGGTTCTGTGGCTGAAGGACGGGAACAGTGTTGCTGTGAGTTCCACTCATATCCCATCAATCCCCAAGCGGTTGCATTAATGACCGCGTAACAATTGATTTTTTTTTCTATTGTGCTTTGTCTCGACTCGCGGGGCTTTATAATCTGTTAAAAACTCAATTTAAAAACAAGAACCCATTCACAAACTGCTGTTCTTTACCCATTCCAAAGTTCGGTCTATAGTGATAAGACCTCCGAATAGTGCTGCTTTACTTTCCCGTATTTATCTTAGCTTAGTCACTGCCTTGACACATTCTTATGTTTCTTTAATTAATAAGCTGATGAGAATAATATCTGAAGGATTTAACATCATACAAATGATATTTGAAAAGAAAGCCGACAATCTTCTGTTTTTCTCTACATTTTCCTTTTTTCAAAGTTTCGGATAAATCCATGATAATTCAGAAGGATCTATTTCCAATTAGGTATTAAAAAGACGAGTTTAAAACTCAGTTTTCTCTTTCCAGATTTTTGACGGCACCAACATAACCAAGGAGCAGCGTCGGGAGCTGAACGACTACTGTCTCAACGACATGGGCTTCAGGATCCTGTTCATCGAGTGCGTCTGCGAGGACCAGGACATGCTCGAGCGGAACATCATTGAGATACTCCACTACTCCGCCGATTACAAGAACATGAGCGAGGTGGAAGCGGTCGATGATCTCAGGAAGAAGCTGGAGCACTACATGCGACAGTACGAGCCTATTGACGCTGGTGTGGAGAACATCAGCTTCGTCAGGGTCGAGAATATGGGCGAGACGGTCACCGCTCACAAAGTGGCCGGGCAAAAGGAATCCGGCATCCTTGGATACTTGTCCGGGATGAGGGCTCTGCCTCAGACCCTTTACTTCACACGGGTAATTATCAGACACTAATGAATCTAGTATTTCCCCTAAACGGTTACGTAATATTGAATGATCTTGCGGAGCCATTTATACTTATCATAGTGAGTTAGATAAACATGTTTTTCACATAGAATCCTATTTAGTCTGCAGCGTAGTTCATTAATCAGGCACGCGGATCTACAAGAAATAGTACTCGTAGATTGAGTGGGACGCATTTGTAAAATTTATTTAATAGTATTTTTACGTGTGAACAGTTGCTCTACTTTTTTGCCTTTCAATGCTGAGAATGGTCCTTCGAAAATCTAGTGATAGTTATAAGGATATAAATATTATCTAGTTTGGATCTCTGATTAGAAACGACAACCATTCCGTGTGCCAAGTGCGTCAATAAGCCTAAAATATATTTTAGGCAAGAAGCAGAACACATTTTCTTAATCTCCGCATTATACCAGTTTTCCAATTAGTTATTTAACCTTTAACCAGTGACATGACTATTTTATAACACTATAAGGGACATGACGTCTCACAGGCTACTACTTAGAAATCAAAAAATTGTCAAAATTGCATGTGGATTACTTTAAAATTGTATTTGTATTTAACTATTGGTATGTCAATAAAGCAAATGTAAATGAATTCAATCATTTTTTTTATAATTACATAGAAAAAAACTATAATTACCAATTAGTGGTAATTTTCAGCCTCAATTGATATGAGGTCCTTTTTTAGCATTTTAATAGATGTTATATAAATTCTATGTCAAATTTAATACTTTTTACTAAAAATCTAATAATACAGAAACCGAAAAAACATAAAAGCCACTTCTGAAAACTGAAAATAAAAATTCTGACACCCGCTCAATTTGGCATAAAATCAATGGCAATTTTTGCAGAAAAGGCGAGAACATTGCAAACATATGGGATTGCAACACCCCAACACAAGTGTACTGTGGCGGCGTAGCATGGCCTGGCACCCGGGGCGACCCCTCCCCCCCCCCATCCTCACCCCTCATAAGACCATAAGTTGGATGTTTATATTGCGGGGGGCTAAGGCACCCCAGAATAGTCTGGTGTCCCCCAGAATTTTCGGGTTACCGATTTGATGCCGAAAGATTTTAGTACTAAGTCATGAGCTATATTATTATGATGAGATGATACCAATCGCATGCACCCCCTTATCATGACATATCAGATGCGCGACGTCCTTGTCATGCAGATGCACCTGTGGGCACTAATCTTCGCGACTGAGTTGTCACTCCGTTGTCACCCCCTGATGCTTGGAACCCTGGGCGGACCCCCCCCCTTACGCCGCCACTGTCCGCTGTGTACACTGTCATTTTGTGTAGTTTAGGCAGACAAATACTGCATGCCCTTTACTTGGCTTGACTTGTTTCAGGATGGAACAGACGGTCCATCGTTTGAACCTTGACGAGGTTCAAAAGGTTCAAACGATTGACTGACCGTTCGTAATATTTTATTCTTTGATGAATTCGTGGGCGGGAGTTATCATTTCCTAGTCTTTTCTGCCATTTTGCACTTAAAATAAAAAATGGAGTGTAAAAGTTTTTGTATGACAACTAGGGACATGTAGCCTCACAGGCTACGATGGATTTTCTAATACGTATAACTTACGTGCAAAACAACCGATAACACGTCTGCCTTCTTCTGTGGTCGTTTTAGCACTAAAACAAAAGCTACTAAGACGCTGGGTCGCTGCAAGCGAGGGGAAGTGGTCAATTCTAAGAATTTGAAAAACATGAGACGCCTGTGAGACTACGTGTCACTGGTTAAAGGTTAACTATTTACGTATGAATTAATGAGTATGGTTACAAAATTTTTATTTGGTTTTTATGCAACTATCCGCAACCATATTTTCATAATATGTTTTCCATCTAGCACTTAGTGTTATCGAGTTGAAATGTTTCACGTTATCTATGTTTACTTTTCATAGCAAATGTAATGGCTGAACTTTGTTTCGTCATGACCGTCCGATGTTTTATCAAATCCGATTATTATCTTTCAAGCCTAAAACAAGTGTTGAATTTGAATTAGTTGCTACAACAAAATTAAGTTGTTGGCATATCCTGTTTCACAACTAACAGTTTTGAAATAAGATAAGAAGCTTATGGTCCGTTTTAAATGTGTTCTTCTTGCCAACTTATGAACTTACGCAACAGTTCCAGTATTTCTATAAGAATTTTCGCTTCTTCTTCTAATCTGACGATTCTATTTATCTTTTTAGCACGGTGAAAGCGAATACAACGTGTTAGGGCGCATCGGTGGCGACGCATCGCTCTCGGCCCGCGGACAGCTGTATGCGCGCGCGCTGGCTGAACACATGAACGCGATCGGCACCCGCGACGCCATTAACGTGTGGACCTCAGAACTTAGGCGCACCAAGCAGACGGCCGCGGAGATCAGGGCCCCGAAGCGAGCTGTGAGGGCGCTCAACGAACTCGATGCTGTAAGTTTCTAATCGTTTTAAAATGTTAATGCATTTGGTCAATCATCGTCATCAGGACAGTCTCCACTGCAGAAGGACCCTCTAATTTGGGTACCAGATGCAAATGGAGGATTTGGGCTATATCCCATCTGGGATCTCAAAAGACGACTCTTTAATTTACCAGAGGCGAATGGAGGATTTGTTCCTCATTTATATCAACTCCGCCTTTGCTCGTTTTGGGTTCTAAGAACATATGCCATCCTCTGGAACTAACTCAATTTTACTGGTTTTCTTATCGTGATGGACAAATGTTAGTGTAATGAGAATGACCTATCAAATCAGTACATGTGCCAAGGATCTTGTCCACTCAAAAGAACATCACCTACTTAATGATAACGAACTAAAATTATAAAAGTCATGCATAAACATTATGAAAAACCCGCGAAATTATCAAGTTGACTACAACGCTAATTAAATTGATATCGGAGTTTAAAATAAAAAGGTAAACGTGTCTCTTACATCATCATATCGGCTGCTCGGCATAATAAAAGCCGATTACTTAATAGTAATTGCCAAGATGAAGGTTTTTTCGCCTCGTATCTAACAACTGCCCGTAATAAGTAATTAAGTAGTTGTATGGGCGGTCCAGCTCTACATATAGTTGGATCGATATCCTAGCTATTTATACTACTACTTACTAGCTATACTCAAGCTGTAGGTAAGAACATAATTTATCCTGAAATGTCGCACAACATGCAATGGTCAATCAACTCTTTCTCAAAGAAAGTCAACAAGACGCACGTCATGTTGCTCAACAAACATCTTTGGCGTCACATTTACGCATTATTGAATTTATTTATGTGAAAACTAGGTTAAAAAAAACCTGTCTGCTTATGCATGCACGTATAAGATTATCTTTCATAAGCGGACAAAAGCCTAAAATCATGGCATATCAGCAGATTTTTTAGTGGCGTGATGTTCAAATACGAAGAATAAACAGCACATAACTGTTACAAATCAATCTAAAAATACACCTGTAAAATAGATATTTCTAGACAACATCTGCTAACAACCTAAATAAACAAAATGAATGAGTTGACATTTATCGCATAATAATTTACAAAGAAAACAGAACCGTGATGTGCATTATAAACCGAAGGTTTATGGGCTAAGTAGACACGACATGACTTCTATAAATACATGGGCGGAGTCATATTCTATCTTGTTAAAGTGCTCTGTAACCGTTACTTTGTATTGTTTACAATAAAGACCATCCATTATGATAATTTAAGCTATAGAATTATCTTTGCAGCAAGCATTACGGGAGCTGGGGGGTTTCAGTATAAAAGTACTAATCTGTACTTAACTTTCTTTTATCAACATAAATCTGTATCTGCTAAATCAATCAATATCTACGATATCAATATTAACATCAGTAGGTAAATAGCTAAGTGCGATGTCAACTGTAGGTAGCAAACAACCGTTGTTTACAAACCTCATTAGCCAAAGTAGGTCGCCCTAAACAAAATGGCTTGGCATGCAATTCTACGTGTGATGGATTTACTACCGTATGCTCTATGGCGACCTACATCAATGCTATCGCGTGGATATTTCCGATCGACGTTCAGGGAAAACTACGGAAAATTACCTACGACTTCTTCATTTCTACGAACTATCGAATAAATTTTCAACGGTGCACTAAATCTATAATTAGTGCCATGTGACTCACGGCAATTCAGTTGACATTGAAAACGCTTCGGGAACGGAAAATACGCAAATTGTGAACAAAGCTTTAAATAAAGACCAGGAACTTTCATTTGTGATGTCAATGAACCAAGATCCGAGTTTCTTTAGATAGTAATTACTTAATTGAGATTTAAAAGAAACGCATGTGCTAAGAGTAAAAAGTAGGAATAAAACGTCCCGACAGTGTATAGAGACTATATCGGTATCCCGACCATGAACCAAAAGAGCGAGTGATACGAAACTTATTGTATTTTATCTCGTGATGCGAACTTTGAACTACAACTTAAAGTGATCGATCACCGGCACGATCCGTGATGTTAACAAGACATGACTGATGATAGGCCTCGTTCTTATCTTTTCAGGGACTTCTTAGTAATCTAATAAATGCCATAAAAATGAGTGATAGACCTACATTTTTAATATTCAAGGAAATTAAAGCAGTAAAAAGATCGTTTGAAGGCTAATAAGCTCGCTCTACACTATTGTCAAATTGTGATTGTATGTCTGAAAGTAAACAAATGATTTGATTGATTAATTGATTGTAATAAAATCTGTGTGTTATCAATGCACCGCTCAAAGATAAACGATCGGACACTGTTTGGTTCACATTAGGCTTTATATTCCAGCGATCGATGAAGATCGAACATGCGCTCCTCAAATCTCGTAAGCGGCAGTCCTATACCATAACTGTCATATTGACGCCTAATCTTAATTGTTTATCTATCTTCCCCAGGGAATCTGCGAAGGCCTAACCTACGAGGAGATGCAAGAGCGGTTCCCGCAAGAGTTCGCCTGGCGTGACCAGGACAAGCTGCGCTACCGTTACCCGTGGGGGGAGTCGTACATCGATATCATGACGCGCCTGCGTCCTGTGCTGTCGGCTTTGGAGGACGAACACAATGTAGTGGTGGTTGGCCACCAGGCAGTACTGAGGTGCATGCTCGGATACTTCCTGGATGCTAAACTTGGTGAGTTGACAATCTGTTCTAAGTTGTAGTAGTGACTAGTGGGAATGCTTAACTGCCTAGCTTGCATAAATGACAGCTCTCTGACAATAGTGACTGAGTTTCTTGCGCTGCTTCTTTTCAACACTGGCCCATTTATTGTTCTGAAGCAGTGGTAGGGTTAATACTGGAACGTGTAAAAGTGCTTTTTAAAAGCCTACTTGCATAAACAAATGAGTTTTTATAAGACATTTTTCTAGGCTGAGTACACAGGCAAAACTTTGTCTTCATTGCTTGAGTTTCATCGGATTTGATGATGCAAATTCTAGGCTTCAAAAAGTTTTAATGATAGAAATAAAATAAGAGATGGGATACTCCAGCTCTGATTAAAAATGTTACTACTTATGATTTTTTTTTATTAGATGTTAGATTCTACTAGATTTTGATGTAAACGGACCCCACCCATCACCGATCAGATACGGTTAAGTGCAATGATAAAGAATGGTAAATACATCGATAAAGCTTCGATCTTGAGCGTGATGTGATATGGCATTGTAATATGCGTATTTAACAACAAAAAACATCATCGTACTACGTCATAAGGGAAAGTTTATCCTTGCAAAACAAGTTTATCTGAAACGGAGATCTGGAAACAGTTGAAAATAATAATATGGACAATGCTTGTAATAAGATTTGGCTCTGAGATTATTATTAAGCCTTTATCGTCCAATTTGACGCATATCGTTATTGATTGGTGTCGTTTTAAATATCGATAAAGGTTAATTGTAAATACAGCTATTAGACAACTTCTATTCTTAGAATTTCGTCACATTTGCTCAAGATATAGTTTCAACCTTGACAAAGCCTGCCTGTCTCAATACAAACAGAACTTTACAAAGTTTTAATTTTATCTCCAATTAATCGCAGTCTCAAAAATACTTACTGGATGGATTAACTAGCTTTTTGGGCAAAATCTAGTCATTTTAACATTCAGGGGTTCAGGGGAGAGAGCTGGAGAAGGCCCATGCCAAAAGGCACGCCGAATTGGGAGACATACTATGATAATAGAACTTGAAAATATGTTTTGCCACAGGTAGTAAATTCGGAAGAAAGGGGCTTTATAATTATTGTAATTTTACAGACGAACTGCCGTACATGAACGTGCCTCTCCACACCATCGTGAAGCTGACCTCGTACGGGTACAAGTACAACGTGGAGATGATCAAGATGCCGATCGACTGCGTCGACACGCAGCGCCAGCAGCCCAAGGTGAGCACGGTAAATATTTGGCTGCAACGCAACCGTCATTTTATATTATTAGTTTATATTAGACTACAATATAGGAGAACCAAAGTAACCGACATAGCTCGCAGAATTGCTAAAATCAAGTGGCAGTGGGCGGGGCACATAGCTCGTAGAGACGATGGCCGTTGGGGCAGGAAAGTTCTCGAGTGGCGACCACGGGCTGGAAGACGTAGCGTGGGCAGGCCTCCTACTAGGTGGACCGACGATCTGGTAAAGGTCGCGGGAAGAGCCTGGATGCGGGCAGCGCAGGACCGTTCATTGTGGAAAACCTTGGGGGAGGCCTTTGTCCAGCAGTGGACGTCATTTGGCTGAAACGACGACGACGAACGACGACAATATTGCAAATATTAATTTATAACATTGACTCCGGAAAACGCAGCGTGGGACGTCCACCCAAAAGGTGGACCGATGACATCATAAAGTTAGCAGGGAACGCGCTGGACGCAGGCCGCTACCAATCGATCAACGAGTGGTCAAGCAGTGGACGTCCTATGGCTGAAATGTTGATGATGATGATGATTGACACCATTTGTCAATGAGTAGCGACTAATTAGCCCAATGGTGTCGCTGTCGGACTGGTCGAATCGAGATCCGAGGAACGCGGGTTCGAACCCCCGCCGCTGTTTGAGTATTGTGGTGGACCCACTCGTAACACAAGTATAAATTAGCTTACCAAGAGGGGTTAACGACACTGTTAGTAATTTGTGTCATTCTCGAATAAACAAACGTACCTACTGTCCGACAACAGCATAATTAATTAGACTAAATTGATTAAATATCATGAGCGCTAAGGTTGTCAACTTTTCAAACCTTTGTGTTAGGCCAATGAGTTTCTGGTCGACTATAAGAGACTGTTAATTAATTAAGCCAGCATACAATTTATTTATAGCTACGATTTGGTAAAAATAGCAAATTTTAATGTTCAACATCACGTTCTGCCCCACGCTCTCGCGCTGGCACTTCGGTCCGCGCACGTTTCTATCACATTTTGTGATTTTATATAGATTTATTGGCTCTTTCCGATATGCAACGGTCGGTTGAACTCATGACACTTTATATAGGTAATGACAACACCACCGAACAACACTAATGACACGTGTAAGATAAATAGCAACCTCAAAAGAAAGAAACCTGTAAATTGCTGTAGATAAAATTATTTAGTCAAGATAAATTTTTAGTCATTTACGAATGAAATTAACCACTAAAAATAAACTATGAAATCATACGATAATGTATTAACTTAATCATACGAATTTACGTTATTTATGATAATAACTAATGACTGGAAATAAACTACAAAATCATACGATGTCGGAATAATCATACGAATGAAAGTACCGAATGATAAATGATTCATTTCAGTCTGTAATTTCTGTATGGTCCAAAGGTTGACTGAAAACTTGTTCACTTGTTATAAAATACGGAAAATTTTATAAAATATAGATAATAGTAGTAACTGTTTTTTTTATTTTATAAATAAATAACAACTTAATTTCTCAACACATCCTAACCGTCTTTTTTAAATTTCAGAACTGCTCCATCACGAGGAGTGCGTCTGACGCGCTGGTGACGGTGCCGTCGCACTACGACACCCTCCCATCCAACCTGTGGCAGAGCGCGACCGAGGCGCAGGTCTAGGCCTCCGGGCCCGGGGCCAGCTGCCCCGCACCTAGCACTAGGGCTCCGCCCTCGAGTGACGCCTGACCCGCCCGGGAGTGGCCCGCGGCTGTGAAACGCTGCGGACCGAAGACGCGACGCACACCCGTTGTGAGAGTCGACCTCCACGGAAACAGACTTTGGAGTGCTTGATTCCTGTGTCGAAGCGCGTTGAATTTACCTAGCTTTTATTCTAAATCTAGTATTAGTCTGCGAGCGTGGAACGCTCGCCAACGATCTGCGATCACCCCGTTAGCTCAATCGTAATTTGTACAAATTTTCACATGTGACAGTGTAAGCTTCCAATTATTGTAATAAGACTGAAAGGTGTAACCTATCCATGATCCAAACCGAGTCAAATTCATTCGTTTTACACTAGAAACATTTATAGATTAATTATTGTGTTCTTAGTATAAGCAAGTATGAGATAGCTCCCTTATCTTATCGGTTGATTATTTTGGTTAGGTAATAGTACGCTATTTTATCTAGTATAAGCACTTCGAATCTAAATATTTGCACGTAATTTACTCTTAGGTTGCAGTTTTCATTTTAGTAAATAAAAAAATAAGAATCATCTTTTTAGCACTTATATTATTCGCAGTATAGAGGGTCTTCAGTAATGCTTGTAATGTTTAAATTCGGTAATTTAGTTTTACATTAATTAAAAATTGAACTAATTAACAATACTTTTAAGTGGAATGGAATTAATCTTACGTTTAGTTTAGATAGTTGGTGGTTTTGCGATAATATTTTGTGCTATGCCTAATTATACGTTATGTTCATCTTTTGCATTATTATCTTTAGTCCTAAGCCGGGATTTGTTTCGCAATTTATATTTTCAAGGGTTTTTGCTATCAACTTGCTTACTGTAATCTGTAATGAATGGACATGGTGGCAGTATCTGAGATACTGGTCAGTTAGGGTAAGACGTACGTACTTATAGTTTTTAAGATTCTCTCTTACAGTACCTAGTTCTCCATGTATTGGTGTTATTGAATTTCTAAGATTGGATCACTTGCAAAGTTGCAACTGATGTCATGTTTGGCATTTAGGATCTAGCGAAGTAGCTGTTCGTATTTTGCCACCGTAGAGGTTTAGGGTGGTAAAATAGTAGATTTTATTCTATCATTCAGCATTTCACAAGTGTTGTTTTGAAAGATAGGACTAGGACAGCTTTGTTCTCATTGCCTTTGACTGGTCAAATTATGGTGGTCTTTACACCTACATAAACTGCAAGTTTATTGCTATTATGTTGAGTTTCGAATCATGTTTGATGAGATAATAATTTTAAGAATTACAATCTCACTGTCTTTTTAAAATAAATACTGTTTAGTAGGCACCAAGGTTGTTTTATTTTCCTCCTTAGTTATAAATAGGTAAGATAGAACAGATATCCAATCTGCATACGTATTCTTATTGTTATGTTAATGCATCTTTGGATCGCTCTCTACTGAAAAAGCACCTGGCATTTGTTCGTGCTATTTGTAGAAAGACGTGCCAAATGCGAATTAGAAATAGAAATTTTCCTCATCTTGCAAGTATAACTGCATCTTTTTGAGTTTATGCGGATTAAACATAAAACTTGGCTCGTATTTTTTTTATTAGTCATTAAATTACCTATTATAAAATTTTGGCTCCGCAATTTGTTACACGAAGTACTTACCTAATAGTTAATTATTTAACAATAGTACTAGGTAATCACATAATTAATTACCTACAAATTAACCTTTTTGCCCTTTGCTTCCTGAGAGTAAAAACATTTTTTTAACATCTCATTGATTCTCAACTAACATCAATCGATTTATTGTTTGGAAGAAACCTTTATGAAATTTTGATGAATGGTCTTTCAAAACTTAACTAGCCCCAGTCGTTATTTATTAGGCAATGCCATTGTTTAACACATCAGATGCACGACTAGTCGAGGGTGCAATTAATCACGAGCAGACAACATCGTGATCGAACGGCCAGACGGTTTGCTGACTGAGCGTTCTGAAGGTCACGCTCGTGCCACTAGCAGATTAACATCTGTTGGTATGAAAGCGACGTGAGATAAAGTCGAGTTGGTATTGTCAGGAGACAGTCACGAACGTGCAGGGTCATGCGCAGGTTACGGTTTACGGTCCTATGAACAGATTTTTTTATTTTCACTCACACCGCAGAACACCCAACTTATGTACCTACAAGATGGTAAAACACATCACGAGCCTATTCAATAGGGTACCGCTTAAGCGCTTATCTGATAGGGTTTTAATGACAATTTGATAGGAGAAAATTTATTAGTCTCCTAACTAGGTAGATTTTTAAGATCTAGGGAGGAATGGTGACGAACTGTTTGCCACCATACCAGATTAGACCACCAATACCACCATGACCATTCTGTCAAGAGTGAAGAAGATTAAGAAAAATGAAAATGAAAATTACCTTATATTAAATTAATTAAGAAGGTCCCTCATTTCGTCAATACTTATACCTTTGACTTTACTCCAAATGAGATGGATAAAATTAACATACACATTTCCCAAGGAAGTTAAGAGACACAACACCTGAGTCCATTTAAACAAATGTGGTCAATTGCGTCAGAAGGAGGGCTATTGACATGTAGATTGTAGATGGATAAAATCTATTAGTGTCATACCTTTCCAAGTTAGTGGTAAGCTAAAGCTAAATAAAGCTATTACGGATCACGCCCTTCATTACACCATATGGCACAGTCTCACGATTGAAACGTGAGAAATTATTTCATTAGTTAGATAACACCGCAATAATGAAATGGATATGAAAATATCTAAGGTACATCGATGACTGAATAGCGGTTACGATGAAGAAACTAAAAAATATCCACGACTTACTAAATCTATAAAAATATATGACCCCCCTTCTGACGCAGTTGGGTAAAACAAAACAGGCGGTCTTATAGCTAGGAAGCAATATCTTTCGCAGTTTCGCACAACCCAGGAAATGAACCGAAGTGGATAAGATTAATGCAATTCTGCTGATGTTCCAAAGATTTATGCCTTAGACCTTAAATTACCTACATATAGGCGGGTTAGGTACATACTGAATTGAGAGAGAGACGGGTGGGTGAGTGACCATGACTTTACTATAATATGTAGCCTTGATTTTGACGACATAGTAAATTTACTTTATGACATACGAAACAAGCAGAACTGACGGCCGATGGGGCAGCAAGGTTCTGGAGTGGAGGCCACGTACCGGAAAGCGCAGCATAAGACGTCCACCTACAAGGTGGACCGACGACCTCATAAAGGTAGCGGGAAGGTGCTGGATGCAGGCCGCCACCAACCGGCCATTGTGGAAATCATTGGGTATATCATATGGCTATGTTCAGCGGTGGCTGGAATGATGATGATGATGATGATGATGATGATGATGATGATGATGATGATACGAAAAACACATATTATAAAGCTTTTGCATTTGGTCAATTTTCTAACATATCGCTTAGGTGCATCACGTCGTTTCTGTTTGGTGAATCGAAACTGAGTTTCAACTGTCGAGAAAACTTGTCAATATCAATAAAACAACAAATGAAGGTACATTTCTGGGATGGCGAGAAAAGTGCTACAAGCAATAATGCATCTCCATTGAGAGTGAGAGGCTTCGACTTGAGCTTCGACTTGACCGTGACTTACTTCATTGACGGATCGCGCCCGGCTCTCGGCGCACACGCACGCATTGTCATACAAATCGCGCAGCGGCGTACACGCGACGTTTCCGCGGTAAACAATACGACACTCGTTTGAATTTCGAACTGTGAACGTTTGTGATGTGCCAGTGACAGTGTTGAGATATTTTTAAAACTAAAAATCTTCATTTAGTTATGTAAGTAGTTAAGTTTTCGACATCGTCCTTCAGGTATTTAGGTATTCTGCATATTGAGCGATTCAGGATACCCCCATAACTATGAATTTACGATTATTTTGCTGTAAACAATATTGACATTGGGAACTATTATAACCCCAAAGAGTATAACTAGGAATACAGAAAAGAACTTGTTCCTAGACTAATTACAAAATGTATTTATTTTCTCTTTGTCTAAGTTAACGACGTTGACAAGATGTAGATTTCTTGTGTTTAATCCTCAAAACCAGTTGTGGAGTTGAGTTGGTACAATGTAAACACTTACGATGACGAGTTTGTCTAAATAAAACTTTGATTGCCATTAACAACGCTTTTTGAATCTTCATTCTGACGGCTGTTTAAGAAAAGTGAAAACGAAAGACCTGCCAGCATTATTCAGTTGATTATCAGCTTTACTGAATGATAAACAATTTCCTTATGTGAGTAATAAGTACCTGTGCATTATTTTTAGTCCAATCGACAAAGATTTATCATCGTAATCATGAGTAGGTAGGCTTACTCATCAAACTGTTTTTACTCTGCGATATTATGCCTCCTGACCGTGATATCACTTTCTACCTACGATGTTGTAAAGAAAAATACCCGGACTAAACCGCAAATATGCATTTAATTTTATTTTACAAAAAAAGTTCCACAGGAAAAACTACTTTCAAACTCTTGATCTACTCTGGCAAATCTACTTACGCGCTATCTTGAATTCCAAACTAACGTTTCAAACAATTAAGAACAAATACAAGTAGATTCTATATTATATCGGTTACTTTACCTACTGGCGTAAAAGAATGGAACTAGTATACAACAATAATCCGCTCCTTTGCGTCGTGCTTTTGGGTAAAAACTCAGATCATAGAAGGATGATCTGAGGGTAAAAAGTATAGGTTCTAAGTTCCTAAAGCATCATCTTTAGTTTTGGGCCAGAACTATCCAGAACATCTGGAATCTCCATCGTGATCGGCAATCCTCTGTCGTGATAGCGTAAATAGCTTCTGCTTCTGTCTGATTTATAATATTCACTCATATTTTTTCTGTATTATCGTTATATTTCAACCAATAGCCAATTTACACAAAACATTGACAAATTCAAAACCTATTTTAGTCTTCCTCATGAATCACTGTTGGTGGAGAAACCCGCATGAAAATCCGTTCAGTTTTTGAATTTATTTTTAGTTTTGAGGCAGACAGACGCGCGCCGGAGGACTTTATAATAAGTAGGACTTATGTAGTGACAACAAGAAATAACGAAGAAAATAAATTACCTAAGTAAACTGATTATTATGTTTTTTGCTGCCATTATAAATCATAAATTCTACCCTGTCAGAAAACAGTTAAGTACCTACTACATACCAATGTGGAAGGGCAATACGTATAGTTACACAGGCCCTGTGACTTCTTTCAGAACTGACACCTCTATCACCTCAAACTTTCATAAAATGCTTGAGATTTTAGTATTCTGGGCCACCTATGTTAAACTAACGGCTACTTTAAGCCTTCCGATGATAACCAAAGGTTATTTTACCATTTACGCTATCACATTCGACCCTGTCAACATAGTTCGCCACACATGATGCTAACCGTCAGTAATTAAGTCTCAGTAAGCTGTCGAGGTGCTCGCCTTGAGAACTGGATCCCAATAAAATTTATTTAGGTACAACGCCTATGCATTCAATGGTTCGGCTACTCCCAACCCAATCGCTATTATCTTCGGATAAGGTTTAAAATTGCACGAAAAAAATACTGGGGGCAGGTGAATGACGGCGGTGTCATACGAGATACGACATTGATGAAATAGGTCACAACTGTAAGTGAAATTACTTGTTGTTATGTATGGCAGAAACCTATTATACTTGATCGTGTCAGGCAGGCTATGCCTAATGGGTAATAACACCTAATAAATAACCGATAAAGGCACGACCCACGAGTTCTAATTAACAGGTAGGTACGTACTAGGTAGGTGATAAAGGTTCTTTGATGAGGTTTATAATTTAAGGCTTTGATAAAGCGTTAATGGTACTTAATTAGTAAGTAGTCCATAGCGCAGGCCTAGTTGACTCTATAAATGTAGGTAGTAATTTATTACATCCATGCAGTTCTGGTACACTTGCGGGAAAGACACAAGCGCGAAGACTCAAGCACGAATAGCCATTGCCCATTTGTGAACATGCGCTTGTGCATGGACACATTAATACGCATTTATCACGGTAATACTATCATACAGTATTGTAACTTCATATAAACGGACGAAACGCGAGCTTTCCTTCGAAATTCAAATCTCGGTATGCGCTCGACATGCAAAAGTCGGGGGTGTCGCGAATGTGCCACAGTAATAAACGGACGATGTGTTGTTTTTTAAACAGTAAGCGCTCTTTTTTTAATAAAAATAATTACAAGCACCTATTGATACAGGGTGTTAGGTAAATGGGTTTATGAGCCGACACTAGCCCATGTTAACATATGCGT